ATGCCCCATGTGTATTGGGACGATTGACTGGTTTTGCTTCCGCAATTGTGAAAGCTCCTCAACTCGTGTTTGTGGACCCTTATTGAGGCACGAGGTCAAGCACAGTTGTATTCTTCCATCATGTAAGACCTACATCCGACCCTGCGTATTCACCCATCAACTCGTTTTACGGTCTCAACGCAGTTGACGAAAGCTAAGAAGGGCCGCCTTATTTCCATTCAAATTGGCGGGGCACTGTACTCTTCGTTTGGAAAAATCGAAAAGGCTCGCGGCACCTCTGAGAGCCACATTTGATGATGCGTATTTCAGGGATCGACTTTTTTTTACCACACCGTCCGCCGGGTATCATGAGATCTCGGGCGTTTCGCAAGTGGTCGCCGTAAGGATCTTGATTGAGGCGTTAAGAGTGAAGAAATTTGACCACTCATCCGTCGGGCCTGGAGCGGAGTCAGCAGCATGTAGGTGGTAGGTAGGATCAAACGGCCGACCGCGCTTTACCCGGGTCAGAGTACGGGTCAACGCAGCGCTAGCGGGACAAACTCATTCTTGGACGCATCTTGGATCTTGTATTGCGTATATTGGATGTCTTGAGTGGCGCTTAGCGGTGGTCGAATGACCATGAGACCAACATAAACCCCCTTTATCTTTGGCGGCAGTATTGCGAACAGTGCGGCCGGCATGTGCGCACGATTGAGTATGCTGGGATCTAGATGATCTTGGCCATTGCGACCACCCCTCTTGTGCTTCCGCAGGTTCGGACAGAGCATGTCAGCTTGAGCGCGCTCGTCCTGGACGTCCGCTGAATGTTAAGCAGCGATTGTGTAGAGCAGGCACCATCTTTGCATGCACGATGTGGTAATACTCCGCGATCCGAGTTATAGGATGCCAATATTACTGCGAAGAGGCTTATTGGCAAGATGCGCTGTGATGAATTGAGCAACGCGCTGTGCCGTAATTACGATAATAAATGCAAACGAGCATCCCCGGATAGTGACTGCCAGACAGAGGGGACGAGAAGCGAGCAGTAGGTGATGAGTACGTATTTCGAGAGATTTCGGACTGATATGCATGTGCATTGTGCAACGACCAGGCCTAGGACCTGGATAAATGGGTGGTAGATCAGCGTGTGAGAAAAGAAAAGAGCAAACAAATAAGGTTAGCGGGAGACGATCGCTTGGTGGGAAACTTGCACAATGTCGACCACTACCGTGACGACAGTACGGCCACCTGTCGACCGCGTCTCCTTCTCCTCTCTCACAAACAACAATCTCGGGACGGCCAGGGTGCTCAACTCCACCCTCTTCCCAGTCAAGTACTCCGAAAAATTCTATAAGGGTATCGTCCAACCGGAAGTCGAAGACTTTTGCAAACTCAGTTCGTCCCTCTCCCCTCTTCTAAACATTCTCTCTAGTCCGAGTATCGCTGAAAAAACCGCTTTTAGTATATTATAATGATATTCCCGTTGGCACCGTCTGTTGTCGCTTTGAAGAAATAAACAATGAAACTAGACTGTACCTGATGACCATGGGCGTTCTTGCTGTAAGATTTATGAAAAACAAACCAGAACTCGGCCAAGGCACTCACTTGGACTGATTGCTTCCGCCGCGTAGCCATACCGATCTCGGAAAATAGGCTCAAAGGCACTCCAACACGTTCTAGATGCCGCGAAGGCGAGCGAGAAACCGAAGATCTCAACCGTTTACCTCCATGTTCAATGCTCGAATGAGGATGCTAAACAATTTTACGAACGCCACGGCTTTACAGAGGCCGGTCTCGCGGTTGTAAGCCACTGTTCGGTCTTGTCTATCAATTTGGAATGCTAAGTACAACGACTTGCGCGTGTATCCGACTAAATACGCATATGCCTCGGCAGGATTATTATAAGAAGATTGAGCCGCGTGATGCCTGGATCCTGGAGTACAAGCTCCACACGATAGCCGCACAAAGCGAAGACAAGCCCGTGGAGGGTCAGGACGTGTCTCCGTCTCCGGCGGCGTAGAACCGTGCGACCATGGATGCACAGTATATACTTAGGCGGATGCTCTTCGGAGGTCGGAATTGAAGCCAAAGAATTCCGCTCCATCCTGTATCATCACATTTTACCAAATCTATACTCTTGGTTGCGGTCCCTTCGGACACGGACTACTTATGAGTGGGCCGCCGACGCCCAGACGCGTCTATGAGCCATTGCTTTTGAGGCTGAACTATCGATAACAGCGACAAATCGGACCATTCGGGCTTTCTTAACGTGAGGATCTGCGCTCAAGACTCTCAGGATCCTGCGATCAGTGGAGGCATAATCCGGGTCAATTCGATGAAACGTCGCCCCGGCTGCTTTTACATGACCCCCACATCGCCTTCTCGACATGTGGCATGCAGGGCAACGTCTGCATGGGACGCCTCATATCTCGCAAGAAGTCACCGGAGTGACCGATAGTACGTCAGTCTCGAAGCCTATCATCATTTTCCTCGTCAAAACATGCAATTAATGATTGTAGATTAGTGCGTGGCGCAGATAACGCAAAATAAGACAGGTTTAAATAAAACAGGCGATCGTCGTCCGTTTCTTCAGGAAAGGCATTAACGGCGAGCATTACGAGTGAACAATAAACGAGGAATATCAAGAGAAACGATTAAGCCAATTAATGGAAAGCACTTTCAAAACAAATAAGTCAGGAAGCCATCGAATTCTGGCTTATGGGGTCAGGCTGGTCCGTGAATGTTCCGAATCAGTCGTCTGACCGGCCGCAGTTTTTCACAAGCTAGACGACAACATCAGATTGAAGGTGAATGGGACAAATGGATACAAATTGCTAACCTGGTGCCTCTTCAGTGCGTCCTTACGGGTAAAGGTCTTTCCACATCCGCCGTTGCACAAAAATGGTCTTTCTCCAGAGTGAGTGTCTCTATGACGCTTGAGATCGTGTTGCCGATTGAACGACAATGCACACATATCACAAGGAAACGGCCGCTGCGGAGATGCGGAACCTTGTCCATCCTGAACATTTGAAGAATGACCATAATAATAGTCGGACGGACTCGGTGAGCCAGGTACCGGTGTGGATTGCAAGTATTCAGCTGGGATGGCATGTGGATGTGCAGCCATATAGCTGGCATCAAGCTGCGCGGCTTGTAGTTGCGAATGTGTACGGTGGTGGCCAAGCATAGAAGGATTCTGACTAGTAGCATAATTTCCCGACGTTGTCGCAGACATTCCATGCATTGATTGAGTACGGTGCCTTGACGTGTCCTGGGAGTAGCCCGCCTGCGGGTGTCCGGCCAAGGACGGCGTCATGGAGCGTTGAGTCATGGAGTATTGGTTTGTCGGATATGACGGAGAATAGCTGGGCTGCCCTTGTGGGTATGGCACTGGAGGACGTTGGGAGCGTTGGGGATAGCCATTGGCGATATTAGATGTTGAGTATCCTTGGGCTGAGGTATATTGTGCATGAGGAACAGCGCCGTGAGGAGGATAGCGGGAGTCCGACATTGTGAGCGAGGGAGGAGATTGAATGGTCGTCGCAAGTTGAAGCCATTGGCTTTAAAGCATTTGGACCATTCACCGAAAGCTGTTGGTAATTTAAGCCGTGCAGTGCGAGATTAAGGTCAACTGTACACGGGCTAGTGTCATGTTTGCTTGGGTGGACCGAGTGTCAGAGCTAGCCGCAGATCTCCGCATTCCCTGACAATAAATCAATCTTGACGAGAGAGTTCGAGTCGGATTACACTAAAACACGGATCGGGGCTTGCGCGTCATAAAAGGATAGGGGTTCCAGCAAGTTCACCGTACTTTTGATTTTATTAACGATGTCACCATGAAGGGTTTGAATTAAGATTAGGCAGCAAGCAATACGAGAGACTCGTGGCGCTTTTTCGTGCTTGTATCAGGGTACCGAGATCATGACAGGTCAATCCGCACAAGACTCGGGGCACGTTCACTACGAGCCACGATGAGCACTAGTGTCGGTCACAGGGCTCGGGCTTGGACAACCATGGGTGGTATGGTGAGAATTAGGTTCAGGACCGTCAGACACGCGGCAAACCAAGGGAGACATGGGTAATAGGAGTAGGTTATGGTTGAATCCGATAAATCAGGCATCCAAAGCCTCATTCGCGTAAGATGAAAAGATAAAAAGGCAAGATCAAACTTCGCCTCGTGCATGGTAGCGCTCGAGGTCAGGACGTCTTCGTCTCATCGCTTGATGCACCAGTGATTACATCGTCAAGTCTCAAACATGCTCTGCATCAAGCTCTTCTCTACAATAGTCTCTTCGTCAGGTTCAACAAAAGTTAACATCAGAGTATTGAGCGTCCCGATGGGCTAGGCAAGATTTGACGAGCTTCCGACAGAGTCTCTTGCATGAAAGTATCACTCAAACGGACCTTTTTCCCACTTGCCTATTAGCGCTGAACTAACTCGTGACCGGATACGTTGTTCCGGACGTCCCATGCATATGAGAAACATGCTCTGTTGGGTCCAAAAAGTGCTCACTGGATGTTAATACTTTTCTTACGGGTTCTTTGGGTCAGTCCTGGTCGGCGAATAACGGGAAGTACCCATCCGGGGCGCTCAAAAGAAATGACCTTGTTTACTTGGATTCCGATGAAAACGAAATCCCGTTATGTCCGGCCGCAGATTTGTATTGTTGTGACCAGCGTGAGTTTCCAAGACACTGAGCATGAAACTTAGGAGAATACCCGCAAGTCATTCCTCACAAGAACTAGAACACCACTGTATCGACTCGCCTCAAGATGATCTAGCATCGCCTTCTCGGGTACGCCGGACGGACAGGCCATGATACCACCTGGCTAATGGGTCAAGATGAGCATAGAATTGAAACCGGCGCCCGGGAGCGACTCATCGCATTAGAAAACGTCAGCGGCCAACAATGCAATGTGGAAAAGAATCGGTTCAATTTGGAGGTGATGAATTGATTAAATGCGTTTTGAACCCGATGCGGACCAAATTATCCGTATCGGAATTGTTGAAGACTCGGAAGTACTGCCAATTTATGAGGCAGTTCTGACTGGAAGCAATTTGTCGAGAGACTGTTGCAGCTATGCAAAATTATTTGATGGTCCTTAGTTACTTTCTTCACTTGATGCTCAGAGATCAAAATTTGACCTCGAAGCGCTTTCTCGGAACGGCAAGATGCGAAAGTAGAAAGCAATCGATGCGAATTATTTCACCTCGTCCCCAGAAGAATGAAGACTTACGTGAAGGCCCTCGCTGCAGCGTGAGCTATTTATATTGGATTGCGGCAAACAGACTCAAATGAACAGTACAACTAGATAGGAGTGATCCGGATAGGAACCAGGTAGAGCTCCTTAAGATCGGACCTCGCCTGTAGGGATTCAGAGATCTCGTCAATCTGGTTCTAATTCAGATATACCTCGTGACGGAATGCTTCCCGTTACGTTCTGTGCTAAGGCACAGCTATGTCGGGCTCGTGGCAAGCGTGAATGGATGTGATCTAAGTTTCACGAGTCGGACTATGCTCATAGCACATAAGGAGCTAAAAGCAGAAGGCAATTCGTCTTATCAGTACCAAAATTACGAGGGTTTCATGACTGGGCCAAGCTAGTTTAGATCCTTTCATTGCTCACGGTACGGAAGGACCGGGTTTTGAGATGACTGTAGCAGATCAGAGTATCAGCATATGCAGACAAAGTCCAAGAAGGTCAAGCCGTACCTATCACGGCGGAAAAATGAAATGAATGCGAAGTCGATTCCATTTTCTAGAAGCGCCACGCTAGCGTTGAGCTTGAGGTGTCCGTCTTTCACTGAAAGCTGCTGAGAAAGACTGCAACCACTGGTAAAATGCGGAAAATGGATCACCAAACACAGAAGTACTTTGTAGATACGGTTGCGGGCATGATCGGCATTCCGTTCCCGCGGTCACAACACGTGCAGTCGGAGGATTCAGGCACTAGTTCTCCACCCCCTTCACACTCTGCGATGCTTCTGCAAAATTTGTGTTACACAACCAATTTCACTTGATTTTATCACCTTGTGTTTCCTTCGATGCCTCCAAGGCGCCCCGCAGCGTCAACTACTTCACCTGCGAAGAAGCGCAAACTACAGCATCATGACGGCAGCGTTGGCCTCGAAAAGTTCTTCCAAAAGCCTCCGCAGAAGTCCTCAGAAATGGAATCACCTGACAGTATTATGCGCCCATCCTCTTCCAATGTAACAGTTGAAGATGACGAGGCCTTTGCGCTGGGCCTTGCTGCTGCAGAGGGTATTAACCTCGAAACTTTGAGGACACTGGAACAGAAATGGAAGACAAGCCAAACTACACCATCAATTAAGCAACCTTCTCGTGAAGTCATCGACGTCGACGCTGCAGATAATGTTTCAAAGATCAGTGAGTTTCCCAGGCCAGATTGCGTACGAACAACAAACTAACTCAAATTGATCCTGTTTCACTAATTAATCAGCCACGGAGGTCGCAGACCGGGACGGCGTTAGGAATTCGCCTCGTCAAGCATCTCATGGGGCAAAACCTGTATCCAATGCTAATTTTTCGTCTGAGGTTCACGGATTACCTCTTGAGACTGAGTCACTTCCGAATCTGGCGGAAGATCCACTGTGTCTTTCTGTCATGCAGAATCCCTGGGCAGACAAGCCAACCTCTGCGCCGGAACCAGCTCCTTATTCGTTCCTAGCACACACACTATGCTCTCTTTCTGGCACAAGATCTCGCATTTCCATCTATAACATCCTCACGAACGCATTGAGATTCATTATCTACCACGATCCATCTGCGCTACTTCCCGCGCTTTACCTTCTTTCTAATTCGCTAGCACCGCCATACACTTCTATTGAACTCGGTCTCGGACCGTCAACTATTTCGAGTGCGATCCAGCATGTTTCGGGCCTTACCCCTGCAGCTTTGAAACGGTTGTATACAAAGTCCGGGGATGCGGGGGATGTAGCATTCGAGGCAAAGTCGAAACTGAGGACTCTCATACCTCACGCCTCGCTTACTGTGACGGGCGTCTACAGTTCCTTGCTAAAAATTTGTTATGCAAAAGGAGCGGGAGCGACAAAACAAAGGCAGTCTATTGCGGAAAAACTCCTTCTATCGGCTAAAGGCGAAGAAATACGCTACCTTGTCCGCACGATGTCACAACATATCAGGGTTGGTGCCGTTAGGACTTCAATCCTCACCGCCCTAGCCCGTGCTTTGGTCCTCACCCGACCGGCTAACTGCCAGAAGTTTCCTCCTGATGATTCACCATATTTCGTGTCACCTCAGTCTCTTGCACTTATCAAAGCCGCTTCTGGAGAAGCTAAGAAGAAAGCCAAAGAAGATCCGTTGAGGGAGAAGATTATGGTTAAGTTCAGTGCTGCCGAAGGCTTGGTGAAGCGTGTTTATGTGCAGCATCCAAACTTTGACCATATTGCCAAAGCCCTTTTGGAAGGTGGCCCCGAAGAGCTAGCCGAGAAAGTAACCTTGACAGTCGGTGAGCAGCAAGGTCTGCGATTCGGTAAGGCTTCATGGCTGACTTTGCCAGGATTACCGCTGCACCATACATTGGGTTCTCCGACCCGCTCTCTGGATGAGGTATACGATCGTCTCGGCAATCTGCCGTTCACTGCAGAATTCAAATACGACGGACAAAGAGCGCAGATCCACGCACGGAAAAACGAAGATGGCGATCTTTTCGTCCGGATATTCTCCCGACATTTGGAGGAAATGACCGATAAGGTTCTCCTCCCTTGTCAACTAAATGCAGTATCTAACCGCGTTGCAGTACCCGGACATAGTCGCTCTTGTAGAAGAAATGTTTAGATCATCCAGCCTGTTGAGATCTTTCATCATTGACACGGAAATAGTCGCAATTGATGCCGTAGATGGTTCGTTAAGGACTTTCCAGGAACTCTCTAATCGTGCTCGGAAGGACGTTCGGCTCGAAGATGTGAAGATAAAAGTCTGCGTATATGCATTCGATCTCATGTTCCTCAATGAAGAGGTAAGGAATAACTTGTACATGAGCATCCGGTCATTTGGCTTACCCTCGCCAAAAGAGTCTACTTGAGCAGCCCTTCCGTTTACGTCGGCAGAAGCTTAGGTCTTACTTTCCGCCTATTCATCCTAGCTCCCCTTTTATTTCTAAATTTGACCATGTCGAATGCTGCGAAAGCGAGGAAGGACGGGAGGCAGTGGAAGAATTCTGGCAGAAGGCGGTGGATGGTCGTTCAGAGGGACTGATGATCAAGGTGAAATACAAATTGGTGTAGCGCTTTGCAACCGAAATTGAATCTCTACAAGCTTCTTGATAGCCGAGAAGTCGATGAAGATCCCAATGGTGCGAAGACGAAGCAACGAAAGAAGCCTCTTCCAGCTACGTATGAACCAGGCGAGTGAAAATGTACCATTGAAATAGTGCCTGCTAACCATCTATACCGCTGGAACAGACAAGCGGACACTGGCGTGGCTCAAATTGAAAAAGGACTATGTCCTCGGGCTGGGCGATAGTCTCGACTTGGTTCCGATAGGTGCGTGGCATGGGAATGGGCGAAAAGCTGCATGGTGGAGTCCGATCCTCCTCGCTGTTTGGGACGAAGGATCAGGGCAACTTGTGGGAGTTTGCAAATGCATGTCAGGCAAGTCGTCGGCGTCTGTATGCCGTCATCGCCAAGTTTAACAACCGTTCAAAGGATTCACGGATGAATTCTATAAGGTATGTGGATTGACGTATAACCTAGATTCCACGCTAATCCAATTCCTGTGAGTCTCTGCAAGAGCGCTATGCAGAAGGTTCTGAAGCCTGTTCTCGCACGTCACTTTGGAATGTCAACTCGGGAGGCAAGTAGATTACATCCTGACAAGAATCTAAATAGCTTGACATGACTACTTACTTTGAACTAGGCTATTCACCAGAAGTGTATTTCAAACCTCAAGAAGTCTGGGAAATACGAGGAGCAGAGTAAGTGACCTCCGTGGATCAACACTCTTGTAGCTCATGATGCGCCTAGTATCACTTTAAGTCCAGTGTCGGTGGCAGCTCTTGGTCTTGTGTCCCAAGATAGGGGACTGAGCTTACGCTTCCCTCGATTTATGCGTGTCAGGGACGACAAGGCCATAACGGATGCCAATACCCCAGAGTTCTTGGCTTCGATGTGGCACAAGCAAGAAAGTCGAGGGAGGGATACTGGTGGGATGGACGACGGTGACCTCATTGATGCGTCGCCCGAAGTGAGCGAGGGAGAAGAGGACGACGACGACGAAGACGGATGAGATTAATTGAACAATTGAACAAGAGTGATATTGGCTCCGTAATTGATTATGTAATATTACTAGTCTCGGTGAAATTGATGAGCTATCTCCTATCTTATCAGTTAAACTCCTTCACCCTCTATTCCCACCACGGTATGCTTGTCCAACGCCTCGCACTCGCCGTTGGCACTATTGTGCCGTTCGTCTTCTGCAGGGAGACAGTGAGAGATGCGGGTAGGACGTCTTTGTGTATCGCTGATGGTCGTTTTTGACTAATCAAGAGAATACGTTTGGTTGGGGCAGCTCTCCTAGCAAGGCAGCTCGTTGCCTCTCCTCAAGCTATAGGTGTCATGGCCACCATTTTCCCAGCCAACACGAATTTACAAGGTTAGAACATACTAAATTTACGAAATGAGCATTCTGTTCAACGGTGAAATGGTGGGACAGGGGAGCCTTTCGCATTGCAAGAGTATTACGCGAGGTGAAAAATGATGTTCCGCGCCTTCGTGTTAACATATGGCACTACTCTAACGCGACCTTATCCAACTTAGCTGTTACTCGAATGGATCATTGAGCTTAATTACGATGCCAATCTCCCGCCATACACGCAATATCCGGCATTCCCCAACTCATTCTGCTTCCATGACTGTCTGGAGCTCTCCGCCTGCGGCAAGTCGCGCTCGGGTGTCACTCATCGGCAACGTTACTTTCCTGGAGACAAGTTTTGCGGTCAATTCAGGTATTCAAGATTGCTACCTTGAGCATCACCCAGATGCAAAATGGTGGTTACCCGATGACCCTGATGGTGCTCATGAGGTTGGCTACACAACTGCCGTGCTATTTTGACATAAACCTGACATTTTCGTCCGTTCAGGCGTATTGGGCTAGATTTGACCCCCATGTAAGATATTGACCCTATGAACTTTGCGTTAAAGTCGGCCCGCTTACTCATCATCATGTTTGTAGAGTGTCTTCTTTGTCGGAGGATTTGGCGAGTAAGTTTGAGTTTAGTGATTTCTAGGTGTGCTTGGTCTGATGTGTTTCAGCAAACATTACATCGGCGATATACCCCTCGATCTCTTTCAAAGCATAGAACCTGCAGGCATCCAAAGTGGAACGGAGATTGGGGATGACCGGCTCTTTGTTCAAGGACGACTTTGACACGTCTGCCAACCATGTATTCATTGCTTTGTGGTAGATTTTGGTTAAATTTTCAAGAATTAATGAAGACTTGTTTCCAGCCATTGCACTTGCTCGACAGGATCAAGCGCATTGTCTTCACCACCTTTCCATCACTTTCTGTTAAACCATCACCCGAGAAATTTTCACTGACTTTCCGTTCCAATTCTCCATCGAGGACTGCATCGACCCACTGACGGTCCGTGTGCTCGTCATATTCAGCAGCTAGTATGCCAAACGCTGTGACTAGATGGAAGAGGACGGTCAGGTTTGACAATGAAACGGCTCCGCGCGCCCATAGGTCCGAGTTACGCTCTAGGAGACTCAGGACTCGATATGGTGTAGGTAAGTTCCATTGGGGATCACCAGCTTGGTTCCGTGATGTCTGAGATGCTGACTGTGAGTCCCGTTTGCCGTCCACATGCACAGACAGAGGTCGTACTCTCCGCGCCTGAGGACGAGTACGTCCTGCTGAGCTGTTTGCAGACGAGGCACCACGGAGGCTCTGTGTAAGATATCGGTCGCATATTGCTACCTTGAACATATGTCCTAATGTAGACTCTGGTAAATCCCCAAGGAACAATCGCAGCACATCGTTCTGACTTGCTTGAAGCCGGACACCGACTGTTGTCAGGAATTGTGATGGGGAGAAGTGTTTGCTTTTCGTCAGGGGTATCAGCTAGAAAAATCACGGGCTCAATTCTTTGAAGCTTCTACAAGACATATAATACACATTGCTCACTGAATTCATTAAACGTCTCCCCAAACTTCTGCGCCATTGGTCATTCTGATTGTAACATAAAAACACAATATCCAGTACTGAGTCCACACAGGAACGCGGGTCTCCATTTCTTGAAGCAGGTCGTATTTGGGATAGCAAAAGGATAGAGTAGCAGTCTGTTGGCGAGGTCAGCAAGGTGATGAGCTTGCCATAGAAAAATAGAATATTTGCCTTCTTCATTTCCGTGGTTTTCCACGAGAGCTTGGTCTTTTTCGAATAGTAGAATAAACCACTCTAATAGATCCCATGAGTGTTTCCCGACTACTGCCGAGGACAAGTCCGCTTCTTCGTCCTCCTCGGGGTCTATGTCGAGGAACGGGTCTTCTTTCTGCATCAAAGCAAGGTCCTGTCGCGTGACGACACCTTTTCGCAGCATACTCCAACAATCCCTGCATTCCTTCAGCCTTACAGCCTGCTTTGCGACGTATGAGTCCATATCTTCCACCACGCTAGAATTGCCCGTGACTGTACCTGGCCTCAGTGTGCGAGGTGAATCGTCAAGCTCTGCTTCGGAGAGAGGATAGCATGGGATGGCTCGTAGCAGCGACTCGGGTGAGATCGAGTCCTTAACGAGCTGATCTAGAAGCTCTTTTGCTGCTTGCGTAGCTTCTGGAGGCGGAAAGAGGGCCTGTTTCTGGAGTCGCCTGGCCTGCTGAATCTGCTTTGATGGGGAGCCGCTCACGACAGTCATCTCTCTCCTCTTTCCTTTTTCCTTCGACGGGTCCTTCAATGGCGGAGGTGGATACAGAGAAATATAGATTAATTGTCGGACATGCGCACTGAGGGGGTAAAAATGAAGAAGAAAGTATTGATATGAGGTTCCACATTATATCAGCTCTACATCTATATAATATTGAACTCACGCCGAAGGTCTAAGATTCTCCTTTCGCAGTTGGTTGAGAGTTGCGATGCCTCGTTGATAATGGCCCTCCTCGAAGCACCCATCTACCATACCCCGCTGGTGCCTATTCATTTCTTTCTCGGCCATGTTGAAAGAAGTGATGGAGATGAAGTACGAGTCTATTGCGGAAGTCGTTATCCTTGCCGCGCGTTACGTCACGCGTTTCAAATGATAAATGAGCCTCTGCTGTTCCGCCGTACAAGTTTAACACGGCGAAAATAAATTAGGAAACACCCTATTTCTGACTGTTTCGACAACGATGACCATACACGTTTATTTTTAAAAAACGAAGCAAGAGGGAATTTTTTACAATTCAGTTATGAAATTGGGAGAAAGTGACTGTGATGACGCGAAGAAGTAGCGTTGATGCAATGGGCGAACAGAATGAGCCTTAGTGAGTCGAAAGAAAGGGACAAGCGACAGTAATTTGAAGGCAAGAATCGATTGCTTTCCTCTTCATATAGGACTGTCTTTACAACGATTAATACGAGGATAGTCTTTGAACATGATTGGAGCATTCGATGTGGTTGTTCGGCGCCGTTGCCGTTGCCCACACTGCAATGGTTTATCTGAAGACCGAGTCGTGGAGATATGGCAGACTTTGTCCCTCAGCATTGCAGAGATTTCTCTTTGAGGCGTTCCCGAGCAATAACAACATGCGCATAGAGGTCGACCTAGGTTATCTGTTGGGTGTCCAAACGCCATCCATTTAACATGCAACGCAAACTCCTGAAAATGCAGAATCAGCCACGCCTTGCCATTCATTACTGTATCAACTATATAACCTCAGGCGATCGAAACAGATTACATCGGTCAGTTGTCGAACCTAATGTGCATTCAGACAATGGACCTGTGGAAACATCATGAAGAACGCACCATACAAATAACTGTCTCTACGCGGGTTTGCCTTAGTGCCGGTTATACGGGTATATAATTTGTATCCCTTTGGAAAGCATTTCAGGGTGTATTTACGGTCTCGGCCTTGCAGAACCCGTTTACACAACTACTGCAAGAGACACTTCTAATAAAACAGACAGCTTACTAAGGCTATGCCAATTCCCTTCACGTATCAGATAATTTCCAGTCTTTACGAGCCAATGCTTGACTGTCCCTGCATCGGCTTCTTGCAGGAAATTGATGATTTTATCGCCATTTATGATAATCTCACTGTCAGGTTCAGGGAGACGGCTTTCGTCGCCATCAGAGCCGTCGTCCCTTATTTTCGCAATGCCAGAGCCTACGCAGACGAACTTGGGTTCTATAGCCTCGTAAGCAGCCTGAATAGTTTTCTGCGAAGGAGGAGCCACCATGGTGGTAGTATTAATTCTTGTACAAAGCCGAGACGGTGAATATGGTCGCCGACTCGCCGAGACTCGAGAGCATATCTTCGCTTATTTTTGCTTACCTAATGACGCCCACTGACGCTTTGTTCACGTGCCCACATCAGCACATTGTCCAATCAACTTGGGACTTAAGTTCAACAACCGATCGTTCCTTCATGCTCCATCGTCTCGTTGTTCAACAGACGAAGACCGCTTTACATCGCTGTCAACGAATGTCTACGTCTCAGGATGCGGTAATTGGTCCCGTTGAGACTTCTATCCGGCAAAAGGTTGGTGCGATAGCTCATCCATATCGGATCAAACCTTCGAGCAAACAGTCGTGTCTTATAGCTCACAGAGATACTCGAACCGAGTGTTCTTGACGTGCAGAATGACTCCTGGAAGCATAGACATCATAAAGCGATGCAAGAAAAAGGTGGAGTCGATGGCGAAACGCGTTAGTTCCATCAAATCCGAGTCGGCCTCGTATACCTACTCATGGTAACCTTCAGACTTCTCTATCACCGTTGTCTCGAATGCTTTCAGGGAAAAGGTTAACAGGCCTCATATTTGTCTTACGTCCCTGTTTATAGCTGATGGTTGGAGCTCACAGACTTTGATGCAGAGACACAGGATGATATACGGTGCCCTAGCCGACGAATTGCGGGAGGGACTACACGCTCTTTCTTTAGTCACGAAAACGCCTGAAGAAACTTCCGATACTATGCAGTGATATCGATATCCAATGTTATCCGAGCTCGGTTGATCGCATCTGTTTACTTTCAGTAATAAGCGGGCTATATGTAGACCTGATCCACCATGGTTTACTTTTGGTTAATTAAAATCTGGTGGTTCATCATTCTTGATTTGGATTTTACTGGACTGCCGGTTCTCACCTGTGCATCATCGTCAGATTGTTCACATCGGGACGAACATCCCATCACGTGGCGTCGAATTTGGGCGATGATTTCCACGAAGCGTCGGTCGTTTTCGTTCTACGTACCGTCGCTAAACGGACTTGCTCACGGAATTCCGTGGGCGCTTGCAATATGCCCATACCGAGCATTGTCTTGCGTATCTCAATGGAGTTAGGAATCAACTCGATCACTGTACAGCATTGCGAAGTCAAATAGGACTGCGATCCGTTCCGGGTCGCGTAGCATTGACACGTGCGCAGAATGTGTATGTGGCATTTCCGCTCAGCGAAGGCGCCGCAGCTGTTAGGCGGGACAGGTTCTGCTCAACGTCATCGCATCCATCTGCAGAAGCGTGTGATTTGCAAGCCGTGTCAAATCGATTATAATACTCGAGCCTGCCGCAGTGATGCTAAGCATAGATTATTGAGTGTTGATTCTACATCCGTCAATGTCTTCACGGCCATCGTCGGTCAACAGTTACCCGCATCAGCTCTCATCATCATCATTAGACTGGATTCTTCCTTTTCTGGTCTGGATTTTGATTGCCGAGCCCAGGGAAGGAGATCACCCCAGTTAACGAGTCACTTTCACTAACACGGCCGTCCTTCTTTGTTCATCATGATGGCTCCTAAGCTGCAAATTTATCTATCTCAAAGTTCTGAACAAATCAGCGCCGTAGTACCAAAAGACACTGAGCTTGCCTTGGAGCTGAAACGTCCGCTTCGGATCTGAACAAGTCGAGCAACCTTCAACAGCGCTGGAAGTGATCCTGGCTTTTCGGCTCAATTCAGTAACTAGATTTCAAGTGCACTAGATCATCAGGGCCAGAATTGGCGTTCCTTCGGACCTTCCAAACTATATCTCCGGACCTAACAGTGGCAGCGCCGTAATTACCTGCTTCTTCCACTGATTTACCTCCGAAAACGGACCAGTCAACATCGGCAGGGTACTCAGGATTTATGGAGCAGCCCTAAAGAAGCGCAATTTCGGCCATTTTAAGAGTCTTTGCGGCCCAATGGAGCACAACCTGAGAGCTGATTGCCGGTAAAGCTGTGTCAACCGGAATTGCTGTGCTCGTAAGCAGCAAACGGAATGCATTAGAGAGGCAAGGTACGTATGAGCGATCCGCTGACCTACTCATAGCTTATGAGACGAAGTGCAGCGACCCTTCGTGATATATAAGCCTTCGGTGAGCTATGAAACGTACCTCTTTTCCTTAGTTGGTCACCAACATCATTGCGTATGGTTGGAATCATAGGTCGTGGAAACCGCCTGTTCTAGGTTACGGGAGTACACTGTTTAGAGGCTTATTGGTTTGCACTGGCGAATTTGCAAGTGATAAATTGCATTATTTCTGGCTTTACATCCACGTATACTGATCAATGTCTTTAGTATATAATAAAGGGCGGATTGCGATATAGCAAGCAAGACCGAATCTTCCTGCTTTCAGACATACTATGCCATATCCCTCCACTGGATCCTCAAGAGACAGCTCCAGGGACAGGCCTATTACCCTGCCTCCTATCCGAGATATCTTTCGAGGTAATGCGCTATTTAGTAACTGCTGCGGGAAACTATCTATTAACTGACGTTTAGAGCAACTAAATACACCATCTCCTCAGTCGTCCCCTCGTCTACCACGCACCTCCAGAAATGATGGTCACCCAGTCTTCGCAGATGAGTTCAGACCACGCACGTCTGCTTCTATGAGAGCACCATCAGCAAGTCCAGACATGCGCTACAACAGAGTATGTCTGAGTGGCATTATATTCCCTTGCCACCGAGAACTCATTCCTATTTCACCAATTTGTCTCCGTGCTCAGGAAAGTTCATGGAGTAGCTCTTCGTCGCCAAGGAATCCTGCACCCGGACTACGTTCCTCACATTCATACGGAGCAGCTTTTCCCGAAGTTTCTTCTCGTCGACCTGTGGCATTTCCAGAACATGCCGGGTCGCGATGTCCGTCGTCGGTTCTGCCGGCAGGTCAGTACTCTCCTCCTAGCGGCTATAGGTTTAGCCCGAGTGCAGTATCCGGCCATTACGCTGGTGCGCCGTCCGGCAGGCCTGGTGGAATGTGCGACCCGTCTCGGCAAAGCGCTTGGAATGAACACAGGCGTCGAGACTCTGCGGATTCACTCTGGTCTTCGCAATCCGGTTCGAGTGGGTCATCTCACTTGCGGTCGAGGCCACCTTCAAATGCGCTGCAATTCCAGCCCCTTCCTCACACTCAGCTCGGTTCAAGCTATCCTAGGACTCCGACACAGGCCAGCGCCCATCCTGCGAATGCAGGTCCGGTTGATTATCAGTCACCGTTCGGCGTCCTTATTGCCGATATTGATCCGCGAGGCGCGCCCCCCTCCGATCCACAAAGGACAGCCATTATCCGTACTCTGAGAGCATCGGGAGTCCAAGGTTCCTTCCAAATAAACTTTGACGATTCAACTAACACGCACCACCAAGCACGCTATTCTTGTCAATACTGCGGCAAGGGCTTTGCCCGACCGAGTAGCTTGAGGGTACGTGACATCGCTTCCTAACTTGTTTCCGTTACTGATTACGATATCTCACAGATACATAACAACAGCCACACTGGAGAGAAACGTAAGTGGTAAATTAAATTACTTGGAACAAGTGTAGCTGACTGGCTATGATTTCAGCGTTCCAATGTCCCCACCCGGATTGTGGACGCCGTTTTAGTGTGCACAGTAATATGCGACGACACTTTCGCGTTCACGGTGGAGAGGCACCGAAGAACGGTGAAAGTTCTGGTGACGAGAATCCAGAGGAATGAAATTCTCGGTGCTTTCGCTTCGGTTGACTTCTAATAGATTTTTTTTTGCTATTTCAGGCCTACTTAGATCCACTCTGAAATGTTGCATATTAGTTCTTACCTTCCACTTCCACTTCCCCAATTTCATTTGTCTCTTGGTACATCGGTTCATCACTCGTTTCACCTAACTTATTATCTTGCTTCTTGCCACTCTTTTTCACATTAGTCTCCACTGCTCTGTTTCAAATTATTTATCCTGTCGGTCTGGATTTTTTAATCTTCTGAAGGTCATCGGTATTTATAATTATTACAAAGTTGGAACAGAAGAACAGGCGCTAGGCCGCTCATTGCCACCATCATCATCAATGCTTCTTGTACTAAATCGATGTAGACATATAGTAATAATAGCTTGTTTCAGAATGTGATCACCCTGTGCTCATTTGTCAAGAAGCCCTTCTCTTAGTAATTTACATCACATTGCTCCCAGGATGTGTAAATTGTTCATAGTGACCCGTGCTGGGCGGTGCATACACTAATCATGGTACAATCTGCTATCAAAGGTATCGGGACTATAGTTACACATAAGAATGACAACAAGAATAAGAAGTGTGACAAAAAATAACGAGATCACGCGGAACGAGTATGGATATCGAAGTACAATGTTCAAGAAGAGTCGTCGTTAAAGGTCGTGAGGGTTGCGTGAAGAAGAGACAATGAATTTCATAGGCATTCCGTAACAACACCGCCGGCCGATCACAGTGACATTGCTCGAGAACGAAGAATGGACCGTGTCTCCCTAACGGTCGAGCGGCCCCTGTCTTCTCCCGCGTCATCGTTGGAGAGATTTTCTCCAAAGGCGTGGTCAGCGCGAAGGTACGTTATAGCGCGAGGACTCTTGTGCGTGAATCCGGCGAAGGCAAGTGCTTTTCTCACGTTCAGAATCTCAGCGCCATGTACCTTATCCCGAAGAAGCGGGTCCTTTGTGGCGTCGGGGGGTGCCCCATTAGCAGGAGCCAAAGGCTGTGTGAAGGGCAAGATTCAGCACAATCCGCCACACCAGCATGCCAAGCGAAGGACGGCTTACTTCTGCAGGAATATCATCATCAAAATGTCTCGTGTCTTCAGGGTTCTGTAATTCCGGTCGGAAAGGAGCAGGGTAACGGTGAATGTTTGCCCAGTCTATCCCCCTGAACCAAGGATGAGCCTAGAACATATGAGTCAGATAGATTGCAACCAGAATTATGTATAACCAAACCTTTATATGTTCGGCCCCGTCTACACTCTTGCCAGCTCTCATATCTGGCAGTATGAACCCACTCCGTCGGGCCTGCACCACCATTGAGTTTGGTCTGGATACAGATGACGATGCCTGAGACCCTAGTCGGTCTTCGGGCTCGCACAGTAGCTGTTGCATCAGATTAATTCCCTCGTGCGATACGCGTGGCCTCGCAGGGAATTTCAATGATTGCTTCCAATTTAATATCTTTTGACGAGTAACGTGGCGCTGGACAGTTTTGATTAGACACCACGAGTGATGGGACCCGTTATTCTCGAACTTACGGAGTTGCTGACGAACGGTGGAAATCTAGGAATACATTTAGACGCCGACTTGTTGATGAAAGACAACACAGCACTCACCCGTATAGGCATTCAAACATGATCACCCCTAGACTCCACCAGTCACAAGAGAAAGTATAACCATGTCCTCGAATGACTTCAGGGGACACTATAAAAATAGTCGTCAGCCTCGTAACCGCCCACTAAAATCCGATACGCCTCAAGGCTTACTGTAAGAGTTAGTGCCGCAGCTTCAATTGACAAATACGAGTTAGTCGCAGATAGCACAACAATTCCAGGGCTTACACAGAGTATGCCAGCTGTGAGAAGAAACTGAGTTCACCTTGTAACTCAAGGTTTGGGTGAGATCCTCATACCTTCTTCCTGTTCTTTTCACGCCATGTGAAGATACCCTCACCATTCTCGCCACTCATGAGCCGGTTGACTTCCTTACGATCCAAACGCTTGGTCTTAGTGCCATCAGATGAACCGTTTCCATCGTCCAGGTCAATGCCGTATTTGTGCAGAAGGTCGCGCCGCTGTTGCTCGTAATCTGTAAAAATGGTAAAAGTAAAACACGTTAGCAACATGCCTCAAAGAAGGACACTGCCGAAGTTCCCATGAACACTGTCGGAAGCCGGGCACTTTCGCTCCGCCTCCATACGTCGAGAAGTAACTTACAGGAGGTATCATGCGCCCAATGAAGATCGGTCCTATTTGAGGTAAGGCGAGGCACTCAGCAGCGGCGTGACTACAGAAGAAGGCACACCCACGCTAAACCAAAGTCACTCAGTTTGATATGGCCCTGTGGATCGAACAAAAAATTCTGTATAACAAATTAACCCAGCAAATAAAAAGAAGTGATTGTTCTTCAACGAACGTCTGGTTTGATGTCTCTATGTATGAAACCAAGCTTGTGACAAGACTCGATTGCCAAAACCATCTTGAAACAAAAAGGGTGAGTGGTCTGAGGTTTCACCTATTTGTATTTTCACACCGAACCTCTGCAATATAGAAGCGAGCAAAGTCCTCTTCGAATACGTCCTTCTCAATCAGCAAGTTCAGCAAATCACCGCCGCCCATATACTCCAAGACCTAACAGAACCCGCGATGATTAAATCAGATATGAAATCAGGAATTATCGTATACCAAAAAGTGATAAAGAATTCTCACTAGGTAAAGATGGTCACGATCCTGGAAGCTATAGAACAGCCTGACTATCCACTCGGCCCCGCCGGGATTATTGACCAAGGAGGCAGACTTAAGGACGTCTCTTTCAGCACGGACGTGTCCTTCCTGGCCTTTACGGAGCATATCCGTCTTCCGGAGCTAGTAATGCAGAGTCGAGATTCAATGTTTTGAATCATCAGGAAGATATGAAACTACGGAAGTGAAATGCCGGACCTGCTTCATCGCGCATAACTGGCCAGTGGTCTTCTCCCTCACAAGCGAAACCACACCAAACGCACCTGAAGTAAGCGCCGATTTGCGACCGCAATCAGTCAGCATCATGTATTCGTGCATTAATCGATAAGAGGAGGCACACCATGACCAATTGTCTTAAGCGTCACGAAGGTCGAGACGTCAACTTTGCGGCGACGGTCCCTTAGATATTCTGTTTCGTTCTGCCTCCATCGCCTTCGGAGCTCCGCTTTCCGGTCTTCGCTCAATCGCATTTCTTCCATCTCGCGCTCCATGGCAAGCCGACGCTGTTCACGCGAGGGTGGGTGACGGAGAAGTGGAAAGTACAAATTCTCGAAGTAGATTTTAGCCGCAACAGCCTTCTCTAGTGTTTGCAACGAGGGGCTTATAGCCCTTGGTGTGCGTTGTTGGGGTATCTCTGGCATCTCTTTTTCGCCTATAGTCGGATCATCTTCGTCCTCATGCTCGGGGTGTGTTTTAAGACCTCCCATTGCACGCAGAGTAGAGTTTCTCGGAAGGCCCTCCACAGGCGAGGGGCGACTCGAAATCTGAGTTCCCGCAGTTGCGGCGGTAGTGATCGTAGACGCCGTAGGCGTGCTCATTCCATTCATGACTCTAAGGGGTGCCTTAAGGACACTCGCATCGCTACTCAAAGAAGGATTAAGGGCATTAACAACCTCATTCACAGCTTTAGCTTGGACATGCTGGCGGACACGAAGCTTGATGGGGCCCGCCCAACGAGGATCTACGAAGAGAGGTTGAAAAAGCTCGGATTCATTATGCAATGCGCAGATGAGGCGGTGACTGTACCTCCAATTTTTCCCATCCCGTCAGGGCCCCATCTACTGAGAAGTGCTTCCGCCTGGTCGGCATCCGATGCATGGACCAGGTGACTGAGACGTTACGAGTAAAAAAGTGGTCGGAGAAGGCGTGTATCAGAGGCTAAAATGGCAGCTCACACAAAATTCATTGGCTTGGAAACCATGTCCTTGCTGAGCCGTCTCCCTTTGCGAGGTGATGCATTCGGCGAGCCTGGTGTAGGCAGTCCAGGTCCAGGTCTAGTTGGTGAGCGAGGTGATATGTCTTCGTATTTGGGTCCAGCCACTGTTTGTTCCTCAATCTTCTGTTGCGGTTCGCCCCACAGAAAACGAGACGCCGTTGCCGTCGAAGGTATCAATGCAAGTAGATCATAGAAGCCCTTGTGCAAAAGCGTTCCACCAGGCAGAGCCGATACTCCATCCTCACGGGCAGGCGGTGGATGCGAAGCATAATGGGGGTATGGAGCAGGAGGAAGAAATGGTGAAGCGGCCGCGTAGATATCGGCGGATGACTTTGGGGTGTAGCCGTAGTAGTTATTGAAGTGCTGCTGGTCCATCGCGAGGTCTGGAGTTGCCGGGAGAGGACGACGAAACTGAGAATACATAGTACACGACGTGAAGGCGTTTCCAGTGGGATGCCGTGTCAAGTCAGAGAACACCAATGAGAGTGTAAGAAGACCACGTCCGTCAGCACCAGATGGACTACCAGGCCAGGAGACCAGTAGCAGACTAGCAAGCAGTGACAGAGGAGACCCCTATAATGCACTGCACGTGATGTCGACATGGATCGACCATCAACAACGGCCGGGAGTGGCCGGCAATTATATCCAGTTCATTTGTGGTTCTGCGCTCTGTAACTCTGTTCTGCTTCTGGTTATAGTATCGTCACAGATCTTCAAAGAAATGGAGAGCAAACAATGAGCGCCTCCTATGCCTTCACATGGACAGGCCTAGAAATGTAGGCGCCAGTATGTCTATCTCCTAATTTGCTTCCGGGTTGCCAGGAAGCGGTGGCAAAAGGCCCCTCCTGACCTCTTCACCCTTTGATGCCAATGACAAAACTATTATTTCACAGCTTCGGCGTCGGTAGTACATCCATCCGGTCACAACGGCACGGCCTGGAAGGAAGGGATATGGGATGACACTTGCTGAGTCGCACAATTTTGAAGGGGATCTGTGGCGTTCGACCCTACTTGGCATTTTGGCGTATAACCTTTTTGCAATGCCTCGTTTGCAGTTGCGTAAAAATGGCACGGCGATGGACGCTTCCGGCGGGCGGGTGCAAATAATGGCAGTTCGTGGTATAGACGAAGTATTCACGCAGAGCGCAATCCCGGATTCAGGGCCAAAGTCGGCGCAAATGTTTGTCCTAGCGTCACAGAATTTTCAATTGCAGCATTGCAGTGGGTCCCGTGACTGTGCTATCGGCAAAGTTGCCAAATATGGGGCGTGTCGGCTTATTTGGTTCCGGTGCGGATCGCAGTCCAGAGAGCTGCTTCTCCAAGGCAAAGCAATTTCAAGATACAAAATCCTGCAACAGACAACGTCATCATAGCACACCAAGCTGAGACTCGGCTCGAGCTCGTGTCGCCATGATTTTGCCTCCCTTCACCAGCGTGGCAGGGCTGTGCCCTCCTGTCTTCGGTAACCTCGACCGATTCCCAGCCATTCTCCACGAGGCGTTCACTGCTCTTTCCAGGGCACGACGCATCGACAGCCCCAGGACGCGAGGCGGATACTCGCTGTTCTGACACTTGAAAAATACCATTGTCGAAGAGACTTGTGCGCAAAGAAATAATCCGGCTTTCGAGGTTCTTTCACCTAAAAAAGGTCAAGATGCAGCGGCAAACTTCTAGTTTTGCATCTCTTGAACCTGCGACCCCGGAAGACCTAGTGTATACGTCACGCTATATATACGTTTTAGTTAACGGCGTTCTTATGCTGTGATTTGTTTGGCCCCGTCCCAAAATTGTTTATTGTGCCTTGTCTAGCTTTAAAGCCAGTAACGTGTCGCGCAGCGCTCTCCTTCCACCAATCTCATACGCCAACCTCCCCCTAACCTCACCCCTTTGCAAGGAGCACGCTAAGATCAACGCTGACCTACTGTGAGTCATGAATTAGTTCACAACTCAGCCTCAGCCTCGGTTCAAAAGTATTAAATGCCTCGTCTCCTTCTTCTCTTGTTCCAACTTCTGTACTCGTATGTCGAACATTCGTGATTCTGCGTTTCCAGCTTCAAACCGCTACCGCAGAAGCCCACCAGACGTAAACGCTCACAGCGGAACATATAGCTCAGCTCAGAGCAGTCGCACCGTACTTCCTCCACTTTCTTCTGCTTTCGCAGCTCCCTATTCAGGTCGGCTGTTTAATATTTGCTAGTTTAGGCCTTCATTATTCACTCTTCTTAATTTTAACTCAGACTTACAGCACGATTCGCTCCCATCCAGAATGTCACCAAGCAGGAACGAAGTTTTCTCACCTTCATTTCCCCCTGCTTACTGGAATAATAACGGACGTATGTTGCTCTTTTCCTTCCACGTTACCCAGCATTCTCACCGTCTTTCTCTCTCATTCAGACGCAACGATGGCCGGCCATCCTCCCTATAATTATTCCAGTTTTGAACATTTCGACACTCGACACCAGGCGCAGGCTTCTTCATACCCACTACGACAATCACCAGCAATACCTGCTCATCAGGATACATTGCGACGAGCTCCGCCCCTCACTATTCCCCCGGTCCCGCGAGATAATCCTTGGGAGAGCGATTACATTAATTCTTCATTCCCGGCAAATTTTGGACTGAATAATGTCGGACCAGAGACTACGGGTCTCCATTCATCCAATTATCCGTCTAATTACGACCCTCCGTACCATAATAATGCGCACTCAGCTGCATATCCTCCGTTCCATCCTAACATCGATACCCGCCATCATCCGCATGCCCCCCACCCGATGCCTTTCGCTCCGGAGATTCATCAATCGTCTCACCGAAACTCGCATCAAACAGAATGGGGACCACCACAGAGAGCGGAATCACATCTAGTCTCGCCGTATGCACGCACTCATCGTGAGTCTATGCAACCATCCCCGCAGGAACCCTCCCCCGTGGACTACCCCTCCGTCAAGAAGAAGAGGAAGCGGGCCGACGCGGCACAACTTAAAGTGTTGAATGAAGTTTATGCCCGTACAGCATTCCCGACTACAGAGGAGAGACTTGAGCTTGCGAATAGATTGGACATGTCGGCACGAAGCGTGCAAATTTGGTAAGGCTGCAGCGAAGCCCTTGGTTTTTTTTTACGTTGACTCTAACTACTGTGCCTGCCAGGTTCCAAAATAAGCGACAAGCTACTCGTCAAAGTCGAACAACGACGAACGCACTGCCTCCAATCTTGCACCACCCATATGCTGGGGGACCTTCCTCCGGGCCTTCCCCTCTGCCCAGTTCCGGACGCCCCGGTGCTGAAGTCGCAGTCAGCCCCTCAAGTCATGGAGGGTCATACACAGCCCATTCATCTACGCCTGGCTCCCACCGATCTCAACGGGAGATCTCACCTCCAGTGCCGCCTTCCGACCCAGCTGCGCTCCGACGCGTCCGAAGCCCTGAGGGAAACGGGAGACCGAGGCGCCAAACTGGGCATCAATACTAATGTCCGTCCACGCTGCGTATCTGCTCCACACCGCCTCAATTTTTATTACGTCTTTTTGGACTGTCTCTTTTTCTCTCTGCATCTGCATCGTGACCGACAATTTCATTGACATATGTACTGACCTCACACATTGATTATTCTTCCCACATGTCTATTGTATCGCTCATACCATGTTCCTTGACTCAGGCTTCTGTATTATTCATTAACTTCTGCTGTAGTGATACCGGTTATCCTTCCATCACACTCGTTTCTCATATACCACACTCTCTGCATAGTATCCTTACATTATCATGTCTTATGCATAATTATTGTTCTACATCTTTGTTCCGCATCTCCTTTTTACCTCCGGGCTCGTGCGTAAATTAATAATCTACTCGCAAATGAATAGTTATGGAGACTTTAAATAAGTGGACCCCTGAGTGAACGAAGAATAAATGAAACATCAGTCGGGAAGTTCTTGAGCCTAGCCATTAAGGAACGCCGGACAAGGTAACTTTGCGCGGTAAGATCTACCAGTCGACATTGACCTGTCGAAGCATTAGAACCAGCTTCTGAAGAATTCGAACCTGCGGAACTATGAGGCTGACCCGCCGAACCTGTTGGGTTGTTTCCGGAGCCAGAAGAGCCAGAACTGGCGCTATTTGGATCACCCGAGGTGTCCGCAAATGAAACGACGGTGGGGCCCGGAGGCGCCCATGAATCAAACGTTTGTGTCCATATATCCGGGAAACTAACGCCATTGTAGAGGCCAGGGATCTTCACAGTTTCATCGGAAGAAGGTAGCGCGCTTCCACCACCGTTTACTTCTACTTGACTGATGATACGTCAGAAGCTGCTTCACCGTTACATAGAAGGAGCTTACGTGCAGCTCGGATAGTATTGAGGTGCACCGGTGGAATGTAAAGCGACGCTACGATAACAAATGAAGATGCCGCGTGATACCTTCTATAATAATAATAATGAGCTTACATCTCATTTCGCATGAGCTACATCGATGGGCATGAGTTCGGAAGTGCGATCGATAAAGGTAATGAACCTGACGCACGTATTGTCCCGACGCTAAAGCGGAAGGGATTGTGCTGGTCCATGTGTTGTTGTCTACGAGCTTTGTCTTTGTCGGCTTCTTGAGGCCAGTCCAGAGAATGCCTTACTGGATATTAGTTTAGCAGACGCCCATTGACCATTACTGTATCCGTCCGCATCGATCTTAAACCAATTGGCCCCGTTGACGTCAAAATTGGTACAATCGTCTCCGCAAGATGTCATGTAGGTGGACACTGGCCCTAAGTGATCTTCGGAGTTCGTCATGAATCGGTCGATCAGGCTCGGTGCCAAGTTTGTGTTGTACTGATTGCGTAAAATGTACCTACCTGTTGGCCACTGCATCCGAGTCGGCCATGAGTATCGGTTGAAAAGTAAAGCAGAGAGGACCTTACGTTTGTCCACTCAAACTTAACGACACTGCCCGCCGAGGCTTGAGCAACGAGGGCTGCCCCGCTTTCACCGCCCTTATTACAGGCAAGATCTTGATCTTGGTCGTCCGTAACTTGAGGCATGCTTCAAAAAGTGTATGGCCTGGTCGAAAAGCGGTAGGGTACATACTAGGGCCATCGCTTGGTATCTTGCGGATAACACGTTCTGGTGTTGGGTTTGTAAATCTGAAGAAAGAAATGGTAAAATCTACGGTAACAAGACGGAAGAGCGTACTTACGGATCACTGAAGGGATTCCAACCTGGATACGCGAAGTCAGCTACAATGACAGTTTGGACATATCCGTGGGCTGCAGCGAGCGGCGTGTTGATGCAAAGAGCCAGCGCCGCGATAAATGCAAGTTCAATCGCGATGGAATCGGCAACATGGATTTCAAACATGCTGCAAAAGGGTTAAATCCGAAAAAGAACTTTGAGAAAGAGGATAGGCAGTTTCTTCGTAAAGAAATTAGTATATAAACCAAGGCGCACGCGCCAGTCTCATTGTAACATGCCGAACGCGAGGCAGACACGCTCTCCGTGCGAGCATCGTGGCATAAACGCGAAAACAACGCGAAAGATTCAATGTAATAAAGCTGATTACCAAAAGAGGCAATTTTAAGTTCCCGCTGCATCAACGTTAAATATAATTCTACTAGAATTGACCTCGAGGACAAAAACGACCGCTAAAAGCTACCTAAATCTAAAGAGTAATCTATCTATCTATTCTAGGACAGGGGCAGGGAAATGGAAGAAATCACATATCTAATACACTTCTGAATCTCCAGTCGAGTGATCTAGAGCAATGACACGCGATTTACAGTGTGTTGGATTTACATGCTACGAATCATGATGCAAGCTTCTACCAAGTGACCAGCAGAGTCGGACAGTGCAGGAGAGCTGACGCGTCGAATCAGTCACTGTCCGTGTCTTCAGGTTTCGGGCCCCCGAAAGCAAGCCAATTCGACATCCTCAGGCGCCGACGCTCTTCCTGAGCTTTCAACTGATTACGCGTCTTCTTCTTCTTTTTCACCACCGGCACGGCTGGTGCATTTCCTTCTGTGCCACTGGCGACAGGCGTACCTGCCGCAGAAGCCGCCGGCGTCTGTACACGGGAACGGACCGGCGTGTTGGCCCCACTTCCCCTGGGTGTTCCCTTGGGTGTTTTCCCATCTGCAAAAGCGTCCTCGACCACAGCAACTTTACCTTTATGCGTCATGCGACCTGATTCGATGTGCCATGTTTCCGGACCTGTAAACAACTAAATTAGGAACCGCACCCGAACAGACGAAAAGAAGACAGCCCGCATACACAAGGCAGACACGAATTCAGTGTTGTGCGAGATGATGACCTAACAAGTGCCGGTGAAAAAGCGGTTAACTTTTCTGACTGAAATCCTTACCACAGCACCCGCCCAATCCCGAATGGCAACAGCTAGACCACCGAGTGCCTCACGGTCCAGGAAGTTACTCGGTTCATCAAGGATACAGATCTGAGGCACATAATAAGCTTCATCAACAACAGCCTAATCCCTAAAAAGCCTCCTTACCTGCGGATTATTCCACAAACATGCGGCAATGACCAATTTGATTTTCTGGCCTGCAGGACAACGGTCGATGTTGTTGACACGGGTCAAATAAATTCGATCGCGTACCTCCCGATAAACCGTTGATCTCATTATATTGTGCAATGTCTCCATCAAGTCCGATGTCTTCGAGGTGCTTCCGTACTAATTGAGCTGAAGTATCGCGCGATCCGGCTCCTTCTCGAGACGCTTCAAGATCATCGAACCGCTGGACAAGCTTCGTGAAGCCCTTGGCAAGTAGCTCATCACGAGGAATCCAGGTGTTGAATTTGTGATCCAAATTCTGCCATTTGATCTCGTATTGAAACGATTTTTTAAGCTTCTGCCTGCCAAGAATAAACTGTGGTTGGGCTTAGTTACCGGGATTTATCGTGATGATCACCAAACAAACCTCTAGTTTACGTGTCGTCCCATTCTTTCCTACAAACGGAACTTCCAACTGAGCCTTCTCTTCTTCTGTTAGTACGCGAGTGACCTTTTCAAGAGTCTCGCCTGAGGCATTGTGAGGTAATGTTTATCTCAAAGAATTCATTTAAGTCTTACGATCATGTCCGTCCTGGTAACGCCACTGGATGTACTGGATCGGCGTCTTCTCCAAATGCTGTTCTAAATTCGAGTTTCAGGGCCTGACTTAACCACATGCATCAAACTTACCAATATGGTGCGTAGCATGCTGGGAAACATAGCCGATGCGGAGGGAAGGGTGTTTATAGACAGCGCCCTCCTGAGGTTCCGTCTCACCCTGAAAATGCGTCAGAAATTGCCTTGCTCAGCATACGTAGATCAAAGAAGGCATACTGTCAACAGCTTAACTAAAGTCGACTTCCCAGCACCGTTGGGACCAATAATTCCCACCCGGCTATACAAATGTTTTCTCAGTGAATCATGAAGTACGTGACAGCTTGTGGGAAACAAACCTTGAAAGAGAGAGCGCGCAGCTGACGTTCATAAGGCTTGGTTTATCGCACCCCGGATAAGTGAAGGTACAGTTCGTCATTTTGAGAATGGCGCGTGTGTTGCTCCGCACTCCCATAAGCGACCCAGGAGGAGGGAACGAGAATTTAACTGATGTAGCGGCAAGGGTATAATACGATTTCGCCTCCGGGTGATGGCTTACGAATTTTGACAGATTTCCACGGTAGTATACAAGCTGGAACAGATGAGTTACTGGACCGTTTTCAATATGAGACGTATAGATATCTACCTTTTTGGATTCGTAATGAATTATATCGGTCGTGACATTGTCTAGGAAGCTAAAGCAACAATTAGTCTCAATATAAAGTCGAGTAAAGTAAGTTCGAACAAGCTGACCTAGAGTCGTGACTAACAATGAGGCAAGTAACGTCCTTGCGAGAAGTTAAGTAATCCTCAAGCCATTTTACAGATTTGACGTCCATCTAGAAAGCATGAACATAAAAGCAAGTAGAAAGAGAACGCAGGGATTACTCACATGATTGGTCGGTTCGTCCAGGAGTAGGAGATCTGCGTTATATAACATAGCACGGGCGAGTTCTAGCCTCATTTTCCATCCTCCAGACAAGCTACCGACAACTTGTCTCTGCAGTTCTTCATCAAATCCGACCTCCTTGAGTTGATTTACAATTTTATCACGAGACGTGCTAGCCAGGGCTTTATCTAAAGTAAAGTAAATGAACGTTATAGAAGTTCTTCTGCCAATAGGAGAAGGGAGAGAGGCCTACCTGATGCGACGAAGTCCACAATTGACATCGTCGTGTCTTCTCCCTGAAGCGCGTGCTCAACCATGACACACCTCAATTCACTTTGAGGCGGGAAGTTCTCGACCTTTCCTTCTCGCAACTGACGCATGAGAGTCGTCTTTCCCGAACCATTTGTACCCAGAATTCCATACCGTCGACCTCGATAGAGACGAAGTACGGTGTGTGAAAGGAGCAAAAGAGTTCCGTAGGCTAATGAGAAGGTCGTATCGCAAAGTAACTCTCCTTCCTCATCTTCAATCTGCTCGGGAGCGAATTTCGCGCGATCAATAGCATCATAATGCGATCGCACAGATTCTGTGTATCTCGCAGCCTCTTCAGCGGTGTCCGAAAACCATGGCCGAATAAAAGAGGTAATCGAGCGATTCCATACCTCCTTGTCTGAAAACTTCCGGAGATGGACAAGGTCTTCTACTATACCCGCTTGGAAGTCTATGGTGGTCAAGAATGTTGATGTCTGATTGCTTTGTAGGTTCGATGGGAGTAAGCTGATCATGTCGGTCTTAGCGGTGCTGGTCTCCTCTTCTATGTTTCTTGCCGGAGGTGGACCAGACGAAGACGCTCCTGCCTTCATTAACGTCTTGTACGCTGCCTCAGCGAACGCACGAACCTGGATAGATATTAGCGATAGTCCGAAAGGGAATTCAGATGAATTACCTCTGGGAACGCTGCGCTCTTCATAATCCTCTCGACGCCATCAACGAGACCACTCAGATGCTCAGCAGCAACATTTGGATCGCGAACAAGTTTTACAAGGTTGTCGATGACGACAACTGTTCGTCGTTGAACCTCCATGCTACGATCATTTAGGGCGCGCATGAGAAGGGGTACCACTACCGCCAGAGCTGGGGCAGTAACTTCTGCAACAAATGTTGTCGACGATAGTGCCTTCATACAAGCTTGTACTGAAGACGGGTTCGACATGCATTCGACGAGGATAGGGATGTGAGGATTGAGATCGGGATTGGCGACGGTTGTGCATAGTGCAGTCGCGCACTTCTTTGCTGCGGTAGATACCTAATATAAGCCACATTTAGAAGAGATCGCAGAGCCGATGATTAAAAGCAGACTTACTTCGGGTTTCGTATCATGCATAGCCTTCTCTACCTTAGGTAAGACAGCACCAAGCTCACCAGCGACCTCATCCTTTGCCCGATCGACAAAACCTCTGATGGACTCCAATGCACCGACCTTCGTCCGCCACTTTCCCTTCTCTAAGATATCTTCTAATTGACGGAAGACAAGACGAGTCGCTTCAGGAGGAAACAGCTTCAAAAGCGTTTTGGTAGCAGCAACCGCCGCAATCCGTACAACATCACCCTTGTCCATGTAGAGGTCCATGATCAGTGGCAGGTGCGGAAGCAAGATCGGTGCGACAGGCGGACCAAGAACAGATGCGAGGTACTGATAACCTATGGCGGCCGATTCCCTCTCATATCCAGACTTCTTGTTGGATGCAAAAGCCTGAAGAGTGCTGATGATATTGGCATCCCTAGAAGTGGCGTGTTAGTAGCATATATGCAATCAGATGAATACCTACGTGAGGCTCTGCAGCCCATGATTCTGCACTTCTCGAGCTAGTGAGTCTGCTGCTGCTTTAGCATCTAAATAGCGTAGGTGAGTGGAACGCGGCTGGGGGATCGCACACATCTTATTTACCTGGTGCTGTTGGAGCAGTCTTGAGTGCCTCCACAAACGGAGCGAATGAAGAACCCAGAGTAACAGTCATGATGCAGAAAGGCAACTGTAAGCACGTCAATACTCCTCAGGATCAGGACTGTCCAGATAGGCGAGGTGGTGAGGAAGGCGATCACTGCGCAGCGTTTGCTGGCTCGTCGTCGTGCGTCCAGCAGATAAGAGAGGTCGAGGTTCGATAAAGGAGTCTTTGATATAACAAAAGCCACTGAGCAATACGTTCGAGAGAGGAGCAAACCCAAGAAATGGGTAGTTACGGAAGAAAATCTGACTGAGGGGGCGAAACTACTTCAAAATTTCCGTTTGCATCATGTGACCTCAAAACTACTGAGTAAATAAAATAAAACCTCGAAAGATCTTGAATACTACTGCATTAAGGGGGAATCGAACCCCCGGCGGGTCGATGGCAACGACCCAGGTTACCACTACCCCATTAATGCTTAAAATAAGTTGTCACAAGACACATACATATATACTATTTGCACAATACCTTAAAGCATTTGTTACCGACCGAAGGAAAAGAGAAAGTCATCGTCAAGATTGCAAAGCCGACTAGCGTGTGTACAATGTGTCCATTAATCCGATCCGATCATAAATTAAACTAGTGTAACTTTATGGCATCCCGTTCTTCATGTTATCGAACTCGCTGTACTCATAATTAAGCCAGTTCGGACTCCTGTCCAGCTCGCCCATCGCTTCATTGACAATTTTGACCAAGCTCCTTCCTGGCTGCGGGTCCTTACCCAAACCACCATCCATACCCTCGCGTGGACCGTTCTTATCCCCACTCAACTCCCAAAACATGCTCCCACCGAGGCCCTCCGTCTTAATCCACTCGCCCTTCCACTTACCAATCTCCTCTGAATCAAAGCTCACCATCTCGCGTTTTTGATAATCAATACTCCAGCTTGCGATGGCTTTCTCATCGCGGAACACGAACGTGTCTGGAAGAGGAAGCGCGCGATAATCGTACACGCCAGCTTCCCATGATCCTGGTCCAATACCGGAGAAGGGTTTTCCTGGTCCTTCTGTGTTCATGAAGCTGCGTCCGTACAACGGAATACCAAGGATAATCTTATGGCGAGGTACACCGTGCTGTATGTACCATTGAACAGCATCGTTCGAGTTGACGCCTCCGCCATACACATTAGCCTGGTGGTCCGCAGTCGTACCCCATGATCCAGCTGCAGTGAAGTCAGAGAGCTTGAAGAGCATCTATGAAAGAAAAACACACCGTAATCGTAGGCCATTAAATTCCAGAAATCTAGGTATTTGTCCATGTCTCCAATCCGTAGCATCTTATAGTTTTCCGGGCCACATGGCGCTGCAATCTAGACGAGAAACATAAATAGATCCCTCAGGGTTTCCAGAAACAATACTCACGGTTAGTAAGAACTTATGGTTCGTTCCTCGGACCTGTGATCGAGCATCCAATGCCTCGCGTAGCTCCTTGAGTAAGGTAACGTAGCCATTGGCCTGATACGCATTAGACGGGTATTCATAGTCAATATCTAATCCGTCCAGCCCAAGACTCTCCATGAGATGCACTGCACTTTGTACAAAGTTCTGTCGCGCCATTTCCGAGACGACAACCGGGTGGAAGTGTGGTGAGTATGTCCAGCCACCAATGGATAAGAGCGTCTTCAGATGCCTATTCTGCTGTTTAAGCTTGAAGAGAGCTTTGAAGTTGCCGTAGAGATTATTTCCTGATTCGTCCCAAGAGTCGCCGGGATAATGGATGTCTTTGTCTGCCCACACGTCCGTGATGTGTACGACACCTGAATCAGGACGGACGTCGGCGAATGCGTACAGAATGTGACTATATAGACAGATTAAGTCCTTGGAGCGGTGAACAATTGATACACTCCAACTCACGTCAAATCCTCGACAGGGATCTTCTGCGGAGGGAACTTTCTTCCATAAATTCCCCTGTATGATTCTTAGCAGCAAGATACTAGGAAAACACGAACATGCATACCAATTCACGAAGCTAAATGAGGGAGTCAGCAATGACAGAAGCAGTAGAATGCCACTAAGCACGCACTATCCAACGCTATATTTCCCAGTAGGCATCTTGTCTCCACCAGTTTCGTCACCTCCTTCTGGCGGTTGTTGTGTCGGTTCCGAGGGGATACTTGACGTTATACTACTGGATGTACCCTCTTTTGATTCTTCGTCTGGAAGTCGTCCTCCTTCAATCGGTGAATCTCTAAACCAGAATCTGTAGAAAACGCCGAGCAGTACAACGACGACAATCGAAAGTAGGACGAGTCTAATTCGACGCGATCGCAGCGCTTGATCCCTGTCTCTCTGAGTTGGCCGGGGAGCGTTTGGGTCGTCTGTGGAGGGAACGAGTTCGTATTCAGCCCGCCCTGACATGGTCGCATTGAGGCAGGTGACGTAGATCCTTGGCGCTACTTATAAGTCACTGCGGGTGGAGACGGAACCACTTTGAAGCCGGTCGTACCACACGTTTGCGCTTCACAAAAAAATTAATAAATTTATTAAACACCATTCGATGCAATTCTAATGCGGCAAATTACATTTGGTGAACACTTAGTAACACATGCAAGTTCTCCAAAAATACAGAATAAAAACAGCTACACGCATTAATTGCCTTCAAAATAGCATATCGTGATGTATCCTCGATTCCTCGTCGAAATATTTAGATCATAGAAGCTCCGTTATGACACCCAGGCCCTACGAACGTCAGCTATTTATCTCAACCAACAAGTGGGAACTCGCTTACTTTGGTCTTCCCTTCGCGGAAGAGTAGCTTCATGCCTTCCTTGACAAATTCGGGATGGGAAACGAACTCGAAGGTTACTGACGCGCGATCGCCTGTACGAAGCACACCTTGCGGATTATCCATATCGATAATCTTTACAGTCTGTCGTACAGCCTGAGGGAGTCGTTAGCAATATTCAAACTAGTTACATTTCAAGACTTGCCCCGCAGTGAAGCATTGCCTATGAAGTGCTAGTAAGTTATGGCTGAAAATAAGACAGTAAAATACGTACCTGATAACCCTTTTGTAACGTGGTATTGTGGCTGAAAACGCTCAATCATGATCCTTGCCGAGTCAAGCAAGCGACTCACTATAGAATTAAAACTTGTCCTTTGAATTGACGAATAGCTGTAAAACTGACATCAGGTTGATCGCTACGAAGTGTGTCGCGGTTTGACGTACCTCGGGGAGGAGTATCGTTCTTCGCTGCAATGATCATACCCTTACGCACGGCTTGTCGCCGCATCCGCTTTAAAGCAAACGATACACATTGTCCCGCGTCAGCAGACGTTACAGGTGCTCTACAGCGCTCTTATAAAACATAAGACCGTCTAAGAATAGTACAGATCTTACCGTTTGCGTTGAATGCTCTTAATGGCAGTGACATGCCAATTCCCATTTGCATCAGGTCCAAGGTAGACTTGATCGCCAGCTTTCACTCGGCCAGAATTTATGATACCATTCACTACAGTTCCAACATATGGGACAGACCAAATTTCGGTAATAGAATACTAGGTCTCATTAGTATTAGTACAAACATAGGGCAAGTTTGGTTACCTCTAATGGCTGGTCAGAAGCAAACTTGTCGCCATCGCCTTCGCTGGAAGGAAGCAGATTCAAGAAAGTCCGAACAAGATCAAGGCCCGCTCCGGTAACATTAGAAACTTGGAAAATAGGACATAATCTCCATGAAGCGTGGCGGATGAGACCATGTGTGAAACGCAGCAGGAACGGGACGAATTTACCTTTGCTTTGCGAAGACTTGAGAGATTTCAACAGCAGTCTCTAGTGACTGTACGAATACTGGGGTCTTGCGACATCCGGGACTTTTGAGTATCTTCGTGACTTGCTTGACTGTCTCAGCGAGGACGTTCGGAGGAGTCATATCAATCTACGGAAAGGATAAGTTTCGAAACACAGACGAATCATTTAGAAACAACATACTTTAGTAATGCAAACCACTACAGGAACATTAAGGGCAAGGGAGATGGCAAGGTGCTCCTTCGACATGCCTATGAGCCCGGCGTTAGCTCCAACCATGAGGATTACGCAGGAAGGTGATCCAGATGTCAGGCCGTATAATGTTGTCTTCAAATATTTCTCGTGACCAGCAAGATCTATTTAATAATAAGTACGCCGTCATGTAATCAAGGGTGCAAAGGAAAAACTTTCCAATGAAAGATACTACTTTTGCAGCCTGCATAGTAATTTCGTCCCAACCGAGCTTCTCCCTACGTATTACATCCTGATCCGTAGATGAAGCAGTCTTAGGAAGAATAGGCTCTCCAGAAGTTGAGAAGCCCAATATCTAAGGTACGTAGAAATAATTAAGAATATTTAATACGTCAAATAGGAGAAGCTTTCAACTACTGACCTCCATACCAACGCTTGAGGTCCGTCCTGTTTCTATCTCGTGTTTGTGGCGAAATAGTCCAACCCGTGCTCGCCCTCGTCCATCGTCTAGTCCACCTGATTCGCCAATAAGAACTCAAAAGTACTCGAGAGGCTCAAATAATAACTACCTCTAGTAAGTACACCAAGTGTTGTTGACTTTCCACTATCGACATTCCCGACAACAGCACAGCGGACTTCAGCCAAAGCAGCTACGCTTGCTGGAGGCAGTCGCAGTAATAATGCTGTCCGAGGCTGCGAACTCGTGTACGGATACAATACAGACACCTTGTAGGCTTCAGTGACTGATAGTTGCAATCGAATCCAAGGAACAATTCACCTTTCCGCCGATCTCCTCTACCAGTCTCGTAACTTCGCCACATAACTTCGCCAAGTCATCCTCCGTTCGCGGAGTTCCTGTCCAATCGTCTGCAATAGTTGATGCGTTTCCAGAGAATAGTTGTGATCGTTGTGGTCTTGCTCCCAATCGGAGGATGTGTTCGCCCTTCTGGTTCGTGAGCAATTCTGCTAAGATTTCCCGAGCCAGTTCATGATCCTCATCATTTTCGGACAGCATTAACACCTGTACAGATGTTTAGTTCGGTACAACTTCAAATATAGACGGAGGGCAGACCTGTAATCGCTCATCAATCTCAGGATCATCCTCTGTGGTAGAGCCAGAGCTTCTGGCCTTCTCCATACTTCCATCGCTCACAACGGGATCCATATTTTCCTTCTCCCTACTGTACTCCTTACTAGAATGAGTCCGCTGCCTTGCGACCTCCTTTTGTCGTATCTCATCGATTTCATTCTGGAAGTTGCGCAAGCTCGTCATAGCGCCTAGAGGGGAAGCGTATTCCAACACTTTGCTGAATGGATAGATAGCACTTCGACTTGTACTTTGGCACGTTTATTATTACAATAACGTGACTCGTCGTGACTTTGCTATGACCATCTTTGATAGGGACTGGCGTGGTAAGGCTCTACCGCGGTACCGCACTGCGGTAGAGTATTCTCACGGTTACCACACCGCGGTAAATGTTCCCACGGTAACCGCAAGTTCTGCGGTAACTGCAAAAATCATCGGAATTCTGCGGAGCTAGCCTTAAGTAGCATTATATTCTCACAATCATAGGATAATCTCACACTAATTTGCGTGACTAGTCACATTAGTCACATTTTGTGACTACAGTCAGTTGTCCTCTGAGCACCTGATTCTTTGTAAGTCAACTTGTGCGGTTACTGCGGTTACTGCGGTTACCGTGGGAATTTCTACCGCGGTAAACCTGAACCGCGGTTCTTGGCACGGTTTACCGCGGCGGTTACCACGCCAGTCCCTAATCTTTGACTAGGAAACTCCCATGACTCGCCACGCACTTTCTGCAGCAAAGTAGACCAGGGACAGTCCTCCATTCACTCATCTTAGGTCTGAAGCTGCTGTGAATTTATGCAGTGTCACTGTGTCAGAATGTTTTCGTGATTTTTTTACGATCACGTGTATCCGTTTCTGGATGCATAAAGTCGCGTCGAGCGTTGAACACATTTTGTCTTCACAGTCATCCATCGCGACCATCAGTAATTATCTGATATGCAAAGTCAAGACGATATTGCGGAATTAATCTTCGATGATGAAGTTTCGGATATGAAGGAGGATTGGAATACTGCCATTCTAGTTGGCGACAGCGACTTCGACGAGGATGACACGGCAGTGGAGGACGAGGGCGAGGAGGAAACCTGTCAAGACGAACTAGATGCGGGCAGCAAAGAGTTTGTTTCGTGCCTAGATCTCTTGGAAGCTGCTCAAAAAGCTTGTAGGAGCGAGACTATCTCTCATCTGGAGAACCTCGCTTTGTCGTTCCTCTCTCAACTAACTGCATCCCTTACGCCAAAGTCAAAGAGAGAGTCTAGTCACACACCAAACTCACAGTCTTCGTCTCGTTCGTCGCCTAATAAAATAGTTCTCGAGCTAGCGAACAGAAGAACTATACTCCAAGCCAAGGGAAAGTAAGTTATTTGGTCTATCAACTCTCGTGGTGGCATCTGAGAAAGTTGCGCAGGGCGGGTAACATGCGTACAGTGCAGTTTCCGAAGAAAATGAAGGGTCCAAGTGCAAGAGCTCCAGGTCTCGTAGATTTTTACAGTAAAGTCGAGAGCGCTGGGACTAACGCCCGGCATATAGCGCAACTGCTAAAGGTCGTGAACGAAGCTCACGAAGCGCTTGTCAATCAGTCTCCAATGACTAAACGGTCTCCCGTCTGACTACTGCAATCGTGCCTGTTTATTGACTACGCATATAGTGACCTTTTTTACAGAGATGTGCCATTGTTCAATACTCAAGCCACAGTTGATGCGGTATTTGAAGTGCTCCTACCAGACATTCCGGTTAACTCAGACTTCAAGTAGCTGGTAGACGACCTAGCGGCCACCTTCTCGAAAAAGCGCTCCGAACTCAACATCGTAACTACTTTTCTCTACGGATAAGTCTGCTACTGAATGAAGTACACAGAGAGCCTCGTCAAAAGGGCTTTTCTGTGGTTCAGCACTTACCATTCATCTTCATGACGGCTCTACGATTACGGGGCACAACTCAGAGGTCCGCTGCCTTCGTTAATCACTGACGCGTTCCGAGCAAGTCATAGAATCTATTCGAATAATTCAAACTAGGCGGCCCTCATCCCTGAAGCGCAAGACATTGCCGAATTCTGCATGAATGAAGATATCACCTGGATTCTCGTAGTGGAAAAAGATGTCGATAAGCTTTAAATAATAGAAACCATATTCTCTGTGTCTCACTCCAAGCTCCAGGCCGTATTTCAGACCTTGTCTCGAGCTGGCCTGACTAACCATCCAAGTCTACCTGGTCCGGGCATTCTGATCACGGTACTTGCTATCTCCCACAGAAACAATATTTCCTGAAAGTAACAATCGGTAAATAGGGCAAAGGATATCCTGATCTCGCAACGAGGCAGTTGGTCAAGACCCTCTCTGATAATATGCCAGAAGAGTATGATACTATACCTGTCTCTACATCATGAATCTCAACCCTAGCTGACCTTGTAAGGACACGAATTCTCGCCCTCGTCGACGCAGATGCATATGGTCTCGATATCGTGTCAGTTTACAAGTACGGTAGTATGAGTATGCAGCACGAAAACGAGAGCCTCGCAGCAGAGCGAGTGGAATGGATCGGCGTCTCTGCTGGTGAAGCTTTGAGGTAAGGTAGCTCATACGTCCATCTACAGTAAAAGTCTGTAACCAGCATAGTCTAGGAGTAGACAGAGATGCGTTCCTACCAATCACTGTCCACGATCAACGTAAAGTGCGTGTCAATCCTTCTCCGCTTTTTCACTATGAAAAGACAACTAAAGCTTTTCTTGGAGGCCATATCGTTGCTACAATCACGCATCCAAATGCCAAGTGCTTGGAGGTACGCCTAGCACGTATTTTCTGCCTTCTCTAACCGTTTTGCCATGCCTCCCTCGTATCAATATATTAGGCGGGAACTTATGCAAATGCTCCATACTCGACGCAAGGCCGAAACTGAGGTCTTGTCTTCTGCACCAATCCCTTTACACCTGGTATGTCATTTCGATGAAGACGACGGCTCCGTTCACCCCGCGAAGAAGCTCCTTATCCCGCTAGTCTGCTTCACGATCCGCAAGATTAACGATGCTTTACTGCTTTGACACCGTATTTTCCTTCTTCCTGTCTTGCTCGCGGTATACTACTTTCTGGACAACTGGTAATCACGACTCATTTAATCTGTTACCTGATATCGTCACAAAACGTCTTCCATCAACAAAGAATACATATCTTATGGGTTTACATAAATGACGGTCTTTGATGAGTCCTCTCTAGTGAGAGACAGTATACAAGCAAGAAATCAGGTACAAACGTCCTTACTCGTACCGGGGCGGTGGATGTTCTGGCGTCTGTATAGGAGCAGCTCCAGACATGCCCACTATGACTGGATGCTCGTCCAGCTGTCCCATTTCTAACCGCCGATAATCTGTTTCGAGTTCTTTCTGTCGCGCAACCAACCCTTCATGCAGGCTGACACGTCCGTTGCCACCGTTGCTCCCATGTCCAGCAGTAGCGGCCGTCACACCTGTTGACTCGGAAGGTGAGATATATGACAACACTGTCGATTCGCGGTGCGTATACGAAAGCGAGGCGAGATTGTCTGTCGAAGTATATGCGGGGGTATCATATGGGATTTGTGGGAGCGTTCGACTTGGACTCCGATAGAGGCCTGGCGGGTGCGAGGGCTCAACATTTGACATCACCACGGCGCCTTCTTTGGTCCCAGTTGGCTGCGAAGATACCACAAATGAGGGTCCGAGTAACGATTGTTTCTTCACGAGTTGCTGTTGCCTTCGCTTCCTTACATAACGACGTCGGAAAAAGCAGAGGGCGTATGAGGCAACTATCAGAGCAACAACTGCTCGTGATGCGTACAAACGCTCAGCTCACTTTCAACTTGTTGAAAAAATATTTTTGTACTGACTGACGGCAATGACAATTCCCGCAATGGACCCTTTGCTGATCCCGCCGCCTGTGCTTATGTCCGCATTATTACCACCACGTGCCGCACCACCTGTGGACGATGCCGAAGCTAAGGATCCGCCATTACCTGTCGCGCCAGGTGTTCCTGTAAACGTCCTCGTCCATGTCCCCGTTCTCGTTCCCGTCGGTACTCCGCAGAATGAATGGGACGTGTGGTCACTCGCATCGTCATTTTCTCCATTATCGTCGTCGTCGTCCGAGTCTCCGTGTTGATCATCGCTGTTTGCAGCACGCTGAGCCCAACTCGTTGTAAACTAAATGTCGAAGTCCGACTCACCCTTGGTGAGGCACGCAACTCGTCGTGCTTTGTGCAAGTACACCTATACGAGCCACTCCGATCAGACTCAACAGCAAATAGCGTTGCGCATTTGAGATCGAGAGCGCTTGACAAGTCTTCATCCTTCCACGTTGTAGCGCGTCGTCACTCACCCGTCGGTGGGTGGGAAGTAGGGAGGGAAGAAACGGACGGAGTGAACAGAAGGCGTGCGTGCGCCCAGCCCATTAATATTCCATCCATCCAGCATCCATTCCTTCTTATTCATAATTCACATCTACTCGTGGGTGATGTCCGTCCAAGTGGACGGCAAGAGACCGGCAACAAGAAGAAAGAAGCTCGGTGGTGTGATTGATGCTAACCATTCTTTTCTATGTTAAGATGCTTAGTCGGACGGATGGAATGGCTTGGAATCCACATTCCGCAGCAGGGTTCGGAATTTGTATGGCTATATGGCAGTAAGTCGGTGTGGTTATATGCACATTACAAATGCGGATTCCGGCTGGCCGGTAATTGTAAGAGCTTGCTTGAAGTGAGGAGCGGACGGCCGCAGTTATTCTATCGAAAATTATGTTACTCCATTCTGAGTTAAGGCATATTTCGTCAGTAATGATTAAAACGGGCTTGTACGGTTCGTGCGCAGTCGATGGTCAACAACACGAGGGTCTCGGCGAATAGACTCTGCATGCGCTTTGCAGTCACCTAAGATAGAAGAGTATCACCAAGGTCCGATTCTACAGCCCGAAAGGAATGAGGCGATGCACAAAACTGAGGGAGCGGATACCCCACATAAAGAACGAGCCGCTGGTAGCGAACATAGTACGCTCTAACCCCGCGGCATTTCCAATAACCAAAACAATGGAGCTCGAAGCAACGTCGCATCTGGTTTGGTGGCGTGGGCATAGTTACCTACATACTCTACCTCGAGGAATCCTTTCTCCAGGGTGTGCATAGCCTTGCTTCCGGATAAAAATAGTGAACACGAGTGCCAAGAACACGTTCGGCAGGATCCGACGTCGTTCAAAGCTTATTTCGACTTCGAATAGTTTTCCTCTCTCCCGCTAAATTTCGGAGAAAATGTGTCGAAATCAATCGTAACAACGTTCTCGGTTATGTTAGTTGAAATTTTGTAAAAGTATCTTGGCTCAGTAAGGAAACCTCTTTGCCAGTATATTTGCTAAAAATTATAATAATTTGTAATATCTACATGTTTTAATAATCCATCATAAATCATAACCGGTATACACACAAACAAAAGAGAATGAGAAAAGTTCATATGAATTGGATGTGTTCAGATGAATCATCGAAGAGATCCATGAATAAGAATAGGCGCTCCAGTTGCGAACAGCAGATTATACCTTCCCCTTCTCCTTCACCGCAGCCTCCTGTTGGACTTTCCATGCACGTTCCTCCTTCTTTCGCATTAAAATCGTAAACAGTGTCATCGTGACAAGCGAAATTCCTATCCACGCGAACTGAACTCCGAAGTTCAGGCCAACTGTATAGAACACAGGTAAGAAGAACAGTTCTAAATATAAAGAGGGAGCGAGGGACAAAGAGAACGACGGTGCTTACTCTCATTCTTCGTGTTAAAGAGGATAGTCCGCACAGTCTTGGAGACGTTGTAGAATGGCGACGCATAACCATACTTAAACACGCCTGGGAGGACTTCTATGGGCACGGACGCGACGGATACATTTGCTGGGCATGCTCGTTAAATGGAAATGCATTTTCTAAATAAAATATTACTTACAAATGATCCAAAGTATGAGAAAGAAAGGTGTGAAAATTGGCGTGAGGACGGTGATCACGGATTCCATGGCTAGTCCTCTGAAGAATCGTGAATGACTTGATATAGGTAAATGTTATTGATCAAGAAACGGACTTACAATGCCAACATTCCCATCCAATTCATTATCCAATAAATAACAAATCCAGAATGTCCGAATCTAAGTAAATCCGATTAGTACTCGAATCACTGTGTAACAAGGAGAGTCGACGAGGAAACGTACACTCGGTCAAATGGTGCTTGGAACGCCAAACTGAGCATGGAGAAGAAAGCCTGTAAAAAATACAGCGCGTCAATTGACTGAACTTCACGCGACTGAGCGGCTTGGAACTCACAGAAACGAAGAAGTAGAGAACGAAAGGGATACATATGCGCATTACAACTAATGATTCCAAAGTCAGATGACGGTTGAGTCCAGAGACCAGGACGCGTGCTTGATAATTCATCATCTACAGTCGAGATTAGGCCCTTTGGGTTACTACATGGCTAAGCCTTGAAACTTACGCAAATGATGAACTAAAAATGCACGTTTCTAATGTCAGTTATTTCCATTTTCGTCTATCTATGGGAGGGGGCGCTCACCGATATAATTAGTAAGTAAATAAGTCCGACATATCCAACAGCTGTCGCACTACATAAATTAGACAAGAATTCAATTCAGCATCCCTCTTTACAAGGGTCGAATAAAATACGCCACGCACACAGGTGCATCAAATGGTCGTAAATTATTGATTGTAAAATACATCGGCTGAGTAACAACAGTCGGTGCTCGCGAGAGAAGCGCCTGGAAGTCAGCAGACGTGTTTGCAGCGAGTTGTTGAGAGTTTTGCAATGAGAATTCGTCCGCTGCCTCCATTAGAGCTTGGATGACCTACAGAGGAGCCGACAAATAAGTAAACATTAAATGATTATGTATAGATAAATACGTACCAATGGCTGAATGAATTCTGAGCTGTAGGAGGGATGACGATAAGCCCGACAAGAGCCTATACATATGAGATATAATACGTACTATCCGTCCTCATTCCTAGCCTCATTAACAAATGTAGTCACGGCGGAAGATCCATTGTACGAGCCGTCCACGTTTGCAATAGCGGTAGTAAGGTTAGCCGATGCACCCCTATTAACTGTAATTCAGGACGAATAAACATTAGAGAAACTAGTCAGGAGAAAACGGCACTCACCCGATACTACAACCCAAACTTTCTCCTGCACAACGGCTTCTTCGATGTCACTTAAATAACCAGGGAATAGCGACGCATCAACTACCCTCCAGCTCATTTGTTCTGGCATTCCTGTATTGTTGCGGAATGCCTGAATGACTGTTTGGCCTATCGGTCCTCCATCAAAGTCCTAATAAATCAAGCAAAAAGATTAACATATAAGTACATAGCAGAAAATGATACAGTGTGAATAAAAGAGACGGGAGAAACACGTACAACAATCCATCCCTCTAACTTGTGAATATAGGCACTGACGTTATAAAGTGACGCCCAGAATATCGAAAGCACAGCAAATATAACAATAATCATCAAGAACGTCCCTCCTCCAACAGCTCGAAAATACATCTTCCTTTTACCAGCAGTTATAGGATCAGAAGACCAGAAAGATGCTCGAAACGGGGGAGGAGGTGCAGATCGAGAGTGAGATTTTTCGGAGCGGAAATGCGCTTTGGTAGTGGAATCGACATCGAGCGAGTTTGTCCGTGTTCGATCGTGGTTTTGCTCCTGGTATCGAGAGGGGAAGTGTCCATCGTTCTGTGCATTGCCGAGGTGTGAGCTAGAGCCATCGACCTCACCAGAAGTTGGACGAACAACTCCAGTCCGGTTCAGATCCACGTTCGACATATCCTTGCAGCGCGTCAAAGGCAACACCAGCTCTTGGGAGTTTATGTGGAAAATAGATAACGGAGACGAGACAGAAACGAGCTTGAGCTTAAGAACAGGAGGGGAGAAAATTCAAGATACGAAGCACGATCTTATATCTGCACACAAATCGCGCCCACTCATTCGGTCATTTATCAGTAATCAGTACCTCACCGAACACAGATTGCGGGGCGGACTCAGGCGAGACATCACTCTTTATTCAGATTCAACTAAGCGGTCTGGAAAGAAAAAAAATAATGACGTTGTCATCGGGATGGAGAATATCTGTCTGACTGAGACAGGCCCACTTGGATCGGACAAATGATGGATTTCTTTCTAATATCCAATCCACACAAAAGAAAGTTGCAAATATCAGATCTGATTATGCATAGTATAGTTACTAACACGCACGCTTGGTAGGAAGTCTTGGTTTTATGATACTTGCGGCACGGCGAACAAGCGGTTTGTTGGTCTGGATGCGGATTATGAATAGAAGCAGTGCCAAGGACGAGGAAGCAGGATCAGTCCGAACCCGATTTTGGAAGCGTATTTCGCACAGGCAATATTACATAATTTCCGGGTCAAAGTGCTCGTAAAGTATTGTATTTTCTTTAGTCTGAAAGATACGATATTCAAGTTAAAGTTCCATCGAAATAATCATCTGAGTTACGAAAACATCTATATGGTGTGGATTATCCAAAAGGTAATGATTGTAAAATCGTGATAACCATGTACGATAAATCAGTAGGCCTAAGGTAATCAAATATAATGCGAATGTGGTATGTAAAATATAAAAAGAATAGCCAGATTCAACTCCTTCCTCTTTCAATGAAACCAGAAATCCAAAGGCACGAGGCACAGCTGATTGGAATGTTATACTTTCTCCTTGTCTCTCACAGCAACGTCCTGTTGAGCCCTCCACGCACGTTCCTCCTTTCTTCGCATCAGAATCGTAAGCAGTGTCATCGTCACTAACGAGACCGCTATCCATGCGAACTGTACTCCGAAGTTCAGGCCGACTAACAATGAAGGGAAGGGGATAGTTAGTAACCGGAATAAAAAGAGGTAGGCATTACGCACTCTCGTTCTTCGTGTTGAACAATATAGTTCGAACAGCTTTGGAGACGTTGTAGAACGGCGCCGCGTATCCGTACCTGAACACGCCTGGAAGGACTTCTATCGGTACGGATGCAACGGATACATTCGCTATGCATTTGTGTTAGATAGTCAAATGCGTTATCAATGGCGAAGTAGCACTTACAGATAATCCAAAGCATGAGGAAGAAAGGCGTGAAAGATGGAGTGAGGATTGTGATCATGGACTCCATCGCAAGTCCCCTTGAAGAAAAATAGAGTGAGCTCGGAGTATATGCTAGATCAAGGAAAGAGACCTACAGCGCGCACATCCCCATCCAATTCATCATCCAATAAATAACGAACCCCGAATGGCCGAAACTACATACAACTTGTCAGTTCCTCCGAACAACACACTACAAACAAGGTTAATTATGAGCTTACACTCGACTAAAAGGTGCTTGAAATGCTAGACTAAGCATGGAGAAGAAGGCCTATGGAAAGTAAAGGACGGTGAGCTGAAAGCTAAGAGACGTAGCACAGTATACTGATGACTCACCGAAACGAAGAAATAGAGGACAAGCGGCACGCATAAGCGTATTGCGATGAGTGATTTCAGTCGTAAGTGGCGATTGAGACCAGATACGGTAACGCGCGCTTGGTAGTTCATCATCTGGCAGGACGAACGTCAGACACATGAGAATAGATAAAGTGTGTCGTGGTCTAATGCGCTGACTTACACAAACAACAAACTAAAGACAAAAAGAATACCATTAGATTAATCTGAAACTTCTATCGTCATCGGGAATATTGACTTACAGCTATAATGAGCAAATAAATGAGTCCAACAAAATCAACTGCCAATGCTCTACAATAATCAAGCGATGTGAATCATTATTCTAGCATAACACATCAAAGAAATTGCAGCGTACACTGGGACATCAAACGGCCTTAAATTATTAATTGTGAAATAAAGAGGCTGGGTAAGAACCGTCGGTGCGCGTGAGAGGAGCACCTGGTAGTTAACAGACGAGTTCGCAGCAACTTGTTGTGAGTTCTGCAACGCGAAGGCCTGCGATGCTTCCAGAAGAATTTGCGTGATCTATTAGAATGGTGGATTGCTTAAGTAAATTTTGTAAAACAGGAATAAGTTAAAGACGTACAGCTGGCTGGATGAATGATGCGCTAGAATAGCGGAAAGTATTCAGGATTATAGCAGTATGGAATCCTTTGGGAAGTCCACTTACTAGCCTTGCTCATTCCTCGCCTCATCAGCGTGCGCGGTCACTGCAAGTGACCCATCATACGAGCTATCTACACTCACGATGGCAGTACTCAGGTTAGACGATGCACCTCTATTTACTGCATTTTCGAAGCGCCATTAGGATTAATAATATATCAGTGTATAGAACAATGAGAGTACGAACTTGAAATTGCAACCCAAGTCTTCTCCTTCACAACCGCCTCCTCAACATCACTCAAATAATTCGGAAACTGCGACCCATCAACAACGCGCCAAGTCATTTGAAAAGGCAATCCTGTATTGTTCTGGAATGCCTGGATGACAGTCTGTCCTATTGGTCCGCCATCGAAGTCCTAAAAATCGAGCAAGAGGAGTAACATATCAGTGTGCAAAGATCAAAATTGAAGGGGGGGGGAGGGGTGGAAGAAAGTGGACACGTACGATCACCCATCCCTCCAACTTATGAATGTAGTCGTTAACATTATAAAGTGACCCCCAAAATATCGCGAGCAGAGTAAAGATGCAAATAATCATCAAGAACGTCCCGCTGCCGACAACGCGGAAGTACAGCTTCCGCTTCACGCTCGTTACAGGATCGTTAGACCAGAATCGTGCCTGGAATGGCGGAGGGGAAGAAGGTGGTGCGGAAGAATGAGCTGCCTGGTGCTGCTGAGACTTCTTCTTCTCGTTCTCGGTACGAGAAGGCGTCGTAGAAGCTACGAGCGAATTCGAACGCGTCAGATTCCGGTCTTGCACTACACACCCAGTATCATCGTTCCCTTCGAACGTTTGCGTACCAGTATCGTCAACCCCACCAACAGTAGCATGAGCAGAGCTCGTGCTCTTGCGTTGTTTCGCGTCATCCACATCAACGTTCGACATCGTTTCACTTTCTTGTCTTTCGTTTCTAAGTAGTCGTTAGATTTAGAATAAGTAATCGCGTAGAGGACGAAGCACCAGCGAGAAGCCAAGACAAGACAAAAATTGCCTACCCCTCCCTACGGACTCAACCACATACTCTATATATAACGCGCCCAAGCGGGATCATTCTATTCATTCAGTAAAGTTCCTGAACGAACTCGACCTGTCGCTTTCCTTATCCAACCTGTAATAACGTCAGCTTAGGCTTAGCGTATCCATCGGTTGTCCAGCACCACATACGAAATTGAACGTAGAGAATGATGGATCGGACGAAACACCTGACTTTCCGACGCGTCGGTCCCTCCTCAGGGTCCATTCACTTCAGTGGCTTCACTCAGAAGCAAGGCAGAAGCACAGAAAAGGAAGTTCCGGTCTCGGCCTAACGTTATTTTCGTTATGTCAGCCTTCTTTGCGTAATGTTGTGGCTGTGCGATTAGATCGATCGTCTTCTCCGTCGGACGAGTGGCGTTGTTGATTATTCACCGAAAAAGAAAAGAAAAAAAAGAAGAAAAATATGATTTCATGGATGGAATTGCATTCTAATAAATAATCGAAAAATGACTTGAAAATTGAAAAGCGCATCGCATTGCGTGATAATAAATTGCAGAGATATTGTTGTATCAGATATCAGACCTTGCGTTAGATATCACCAAAGCAAAGCAAGAAAGGTTCATAAAACTAAAAAAAGAAAACTTTCCATCCGTATGGGAGGCACTGGTATTGAAAAGAAAACTAAGCGAGGACGAGAGCTCGAGGACAATAAAACAGGATATGGGGAGAGATAGGAGGAGATACGCAGACGGGGGAATTATTACACCAACCAGGGGGCGAAAGGGAGATATCCAATATCACTTCAGCAGCTGAGTTACAGTAACGTTAAACGAAAGTGTGTCGTCAAGATGTGTGAGTATGAGTTGAAGGGGTTTAAATGAGATATTGAGAAGATGAGATTGAGAGTGAGAAATGAGGTAATGAGATACGATGAATGTGGAATCAAAAATGAGTATGGAAAAAAAATGGTGAATATCGATATCGAGAGCGACGTAGACCAAGAAGTAAGAGGAAAGAAAACGAGAAAAGAAAATGCAGCGAGAGATTCAATCAATCAATCAAATAATAAGTCAATCAGCCAAAGCCAAAACCAAAGCCAAAATCCCCATCCATATTCACATTCACAATCACCACCAGTCAATCACTCCTTCACTCACTAACTAGCTGCCACCAGCAGCCTTCAACACACTCCCAACCCAATCCTCCACTCCATCTCCTCCTTCTCCAACACTACTAGCACCACCATTGCCGAAACTGAAATCCAAGAAACTATAAGACCCCGAACTACTTCCCTCACTCACACTCGACGCAACAGAAAGCGAATGCGCCACAGGAGCAAGCGCACGTGCCGAAGTCGGTGGCGTATAATAAAACTCCGAATGCGTGTTTGAGATATTCGAGTTCGTCGTGACTGCAGATGAAGAAGACTCGGCGCGGTCTATGGCTGCCGGGTGGGGCGAAGAGGATAGAGGAGAAGGAGAGGGAGAGGGGACTCTTGGCCTGCTCGGCGCGGCCGCTTCGTTGTTCTTGGTCTGCGGTTGACTGTAAGGATGAGCTTGGCCATCGAATTGCGATTGCGATTGTGATAGTGATTCCGGCTCGTCCGTAAGATCAAGTCCAAGTCCAAGCTGAATACTCGACGTATCAACAGGCAACTCAAGCACAGGACAAGGCGTCGACGGCCGTCTAATCGGCTCGTCTATCTCCAACCCTCGAATTCCAAACTCATCCACCCTCACTTCCCTCATCGTAATCTGCGGAGGTAGCGGCTCCGCCATTTGTTGTTGTGGTTGGGCTTGTGATCTACCCAAGAGGGAAGACAAAGACCTCTTCGACGCAAGACCCAATAACGACGCCTTACTCTTCCTTCTCCCAAGACGCGGGGGTGACAAACTCCCCGAAGGCGAAGGCGCAGAAGAAGAACCACGAGAACTACCCCCAGCAACACCTAAATTCGGACTACTCGACGAATGCGAAGTCAACGACAGCCTCTCTGACCCAGTTAGCTCAACAGGCGTAACAGGTGCACTTCCTCCACTGCTACTCCTGCTCATTCCAAGACCCAGTGGGAAAGGAACTGGGTTCCCGATTAACGACTTCCGTACAGCTTTCTTCGCTGCGGACGGCGAAAGTGGCGAAGGTAAGTCAGACTGTGCGCGCAACGCGAACATCTTAGTGCTCAATCCCGCCGTGTCAAGTCCGGGCTTCGCCATAGCCGTACTAGGAGGGGGTGGAATAGAAGTGCTAGGCGACGGGCTTTCGGGATTCGAAGACGGTGGTGTATTGAGTGAGATAGGTGAGTGTAAAAGACCGTCTGGAGAGGATAGATTAACCGAGGCGCTAATCGAGGAATCCGTCTTCGTATGTGAGCTCGCTGCAGTCGTCCTTCCGTTCAACACTGGGGACGTATCGGGAGGAAGAACAAGACTTGGTAGTATGATAGGAGGTGTAGGTGTAGTTTCAGTCTCCTTTTCGGCTGCGTCACTTTCCACCTTTTCGCGAGTAGCTTCATCTGACGTCCTAGGAGAACGACGGATCGTTCCCTGAGAATGCAACCCCGTTTCTCCTTCATTACCCCTCTCCTCCTCTCCCTCCTTCGCCTTCTCCTCATCTTGATCCTCTTCTTCTTCCATTTTCTCGCTTGTCTCTTCCTCGGAATCTGGCTCCTCACAAAGACTAGGAATCTTCACATCTCCAAGCGGTCCATCCCAGATATCCTTCCCCTCACAAAGCACCCTCAAAAGCGGCGGACTCATCATCAAACTCGGGCAAAACACAAGTAACAAATTGCTCAATGGCATCTTCGTCTCCCGACTCGCTCTTGCCGTAGCCGAGATCAATTCCGTCACAGTTCTTAACAAGTCTCGATTCTCCTTGGGTAAACGAGCAATGAGCACTGAAAGCGCGTTCAACAACGTCGCTGATATCGTGCGTTGAGAAAGCGCGGGGACTGCGAACGTCGAGAGGGACGGTGCTTTGCGTACTTGGACGCTATCGCGCGGACCGGATGGTAGACCAGGTCCTCGAACGCGCTCAATGCCACTGCCACTACGTCCTTCTCCGGAAGCCTGCGCATCATTCGCTTTGTTCATATTGTTCTCAGCTGCCAGCGCAGCCTCAAAATACGGCATCAGATGGCGTGTCAACAACGGTTCTGGAACTGAATGGGCAACGCGGCGTCACGTCAATCCGGCGTAGTGATAGACAGTCAATTAAGAATAATTAGACACTCTGTCAATGCAAACATAATTTAAGGGTAAAAATATACTCACGTTCGCGTAAATAAGCCTTCAAGATCGACGACACCGCATGCGGGTCGATCTCGCCAGGTCCGCACTCACGCAGATCGTAGTCCGCGCCGGAGTCAAACTCTGCACGGAGCTTCGAGACATGAGTTGACCGACCTGAAATTCTGTATTTATGAGATAAACGATTTCTAGTCAGTGAGCGGACCGCAAGAATTCGAAGCGAAAAAAGTGAAAGAAATACGGACCGGAAGAGACCCTCTTCTTGAACACCCCACTTGACGATGTGCTGCGCACATCGCACCACAAGTGCTGGTAAACTCCTACCCTCAAGATCAATTCCGTCTGCACTACAGTCGACGCCAGCTTCACAAGCTGTATCTTGTACACAGAGCTCAAGTTCTCTTCCAAAAGCCAGACCTTTCCCATTATTAAGACCCATAAGCGGTCTGCGTAAGCATCGACCGAGGTTTGGTCCTGATGGCCCATCCGTGTCAGACAGCGACGCAGAGTGCGAGTTGGTATTCGAGTTGATAGACCAAGTACCCGAAGGACTCGCCCCGTGTCTACGCATAGCCTTCTTCGCACTCGACGGAGGATGCTGAGCCGGTAAATGTCCATGCCCATGTTGACGATGGTGCTGTCCATGCTGCGACTGCCCGTGTACATTCGGGGTCGATGCTGACGACGTATGGCTAGAGCTACTGCAAGCTCCAGCCGGCATCTCGTGTGCGTCCGAGTTTGAAAGGCTAGACGAGCTTCCACCTAATGCACGGCCCAATTTATCGACCGCTTTTCGTGCAAAACCAGCTGCAGGCGCCAGCCCCGCGCTCAGACTTACCGCTGTCTGTCGGAATCCACGAGCCTGGATACTCTGTAGGCGAGTGCGCTGGTGTGCAGGACGCAGCGTCGAGCCGTTAGATGTGTTCAAGCTCACAGGAGGATGGCCACCCTTTTGAGCATCCGCGTTCTGATTGATGCTTCCTGTAACCGAGCCCGTAGACACAGACTCAGAAGTCGACAGCGACGCCTGCGACTGTGATGCAGTGTTGTTGTTAGACGACAGAGCAATCCACGGATCGAGCTTCGAATTAGCTTTGTACTGCGCATACTGATGCGGACGTTGCTCCGAGCTCATACTGGATGCGATGCTCGCTGACGACGCAATCTCAATCGAAGGTCGTGAGTCCTTCGTACTCGCGCCTGGCGAGGAAGACGAGACAGAAGTAGTCGAAGAGTTCGCTGTGAGTACACCCATACCAGTATCGCGAGTTGACACGGACGACGAGAGTGCTTCGGATTCAGAACCGCTCATGTGGCCATGCTCAGACGTGCGAGCCTTGGAGCCTGACAATCGGCCGATCCGGATGGAGAGGGAACCACGTCTGGGTGCAGTTTGTGGCTGACAGCCGGGTGCAGACGCGGGAGAAGAGGAACGCGAGCTAGAATGACCCGGGCTTTGTTGTCGTTGCTGTTGCTGCTGGTACTGTTGGAGACTATGAGCCGAGTTGTTGAAGGCTGATGGTGGCGCAGAAGCGAATGGGAGCTCGTCCTCATCGTCCTCATCCTCTTCGCTATCAACCTCTGGGAGACCAAAATCGGCATCAGTCATGAGTGCGCTAAGGCGCTTGCCTGCGCCCATATTCATATTTCCAGCTGGTGAGCCTGCACCCACGGACGGGAGAACAGTGTGGCCGGAGTTTGTTGATTCAGCGAGGGAAAGCGGTCGTGGCGTGCGAGAACCAACAAGGCGCACGGTCCGCAACGTCGAATCGCTCTTGCGCCAGTCGTCGGCGATGTCCTTCGCCGTCTGCGTATCAGCATCTTCGCGGCGTTCTCGTTCTCTGCGCAGAGGCACGTTGACGTCATGCCCTACTGATGCTACTGATGCTTCTGTTACCGTAGGGACCATCTCCTGCTGTGCTTCGGCCTGCGTGACGGGAGCCGACATGTCCGTGGTCGAGAACGGCGGAAGCGGCTTGCTGCTCCGATCCAATGCAACCCAGTCTCCTGAAGAAGATTCGCTATGTGAAGATGTTGCGGAAGATAGTCGGGACAAGTCGGGCTTTGGCGGCAGAGGCGGCGGGGGCGTGGTAGGCGAAGTCGCTGCCGTGCGAAGCGAATGAATAGACGCCTGAGAAGCGTTCAATTTTCCCTTGAGCGCGGTGAGTGTATTCGAGGCGAATTGAAACGTGAGCTGTTTCGCAGAGGATGTTCGGGAGGGAGGCCGAGAGAGATCATGCAGGTGAAGCCCAGAATGGCTGTCGACCGAGGACACGTTGGTTTCTGTTCGGCTAAGCTCCCGTCCTCTTGTAGTGTTGCCCATAGCGCTGGGAGGCGGCGGTGGCGCAGCCAATGGCGACGGCGTGGATGCTACCGTCGGTGCGCCCATGATCTTTGTCAAGTCCTCTGACTTTTTCCTCCGGCCAGGCCATCCAAACCTCAATTTGCTAGTCGGTTGTGGTGAAGGCGGAGGTGGCAGCTGGTGCTGCTGCTGCTCTGAGTTGGTGAGAGAGCTCTCCGCCTGACCCATGGCGGAAGTTGTCAGAGGAGGAGGGCGACGAGCAGGGGAGAAAAGGCCCCTCGCGGAGCTCGGAGGTGAGGTGAAAGGCGAACTCGCGTTGTGCGCATGTTGGTTTGTGGCTGTATCGCGGTGCATATCAAAGAAAGAAGGGGTGATGATGACAGAGGACGTCGACAACGAGGTCGTTCTCGAACGCGAGGTCTAGTCGGAGCAGATGTCATCATTAGCACATTCAAAGTAGCACTATCTGCGCAGACATACCAATTAGACTGTGTCTGTGACCATGAATGTGTCAGATGCTGCAGCGCGTGTCCCACTTAGCGGCCGTCGATGACAGGGAGAGAAAAAGAGGAGAGAGTAAGTATGAGAGTGGTTGTGGAGAGAGAAAGCAAAAGATGGGGCAGGAACTGAGGAAGCGACGGGCAAGAGCCGATGAGCCGTGTGCTATGATAGAGTAGTGTAGAGTAGAAATGCAGATCCTGTGCGCAAATCGCACTCGGCCACAGTCTACGCTCCACTGGTCACTCTCCGCCTCAGTTGCTCGTCGTCAGCAACAGCGAGGGGCAGCGCAGAGATATGATCGTGGTCGTTACAACAACCACCCAACTCCCCTCGAGGGCGAACCACAATGGCCAAGAGGCTCCGAAACCCAATCAGCGGCTGCTATTCTCAAAAAGTACACACAAATCCCTTCTTCTCAGCATCTTTGTGCCCCCGTCGTCGGTAGTCAATTTTTATTGATACGAGTCACACACTTCATCACTCAAATTCTACCAATAATAAATAAATATGTGCGTGGGGCATGCCGGCTTAGCGCTCCAGCACAATCTCAGAGTCTACATGCTACCGATATATGGCCCCACTGTCTCCGTCTCGGGCTGCTGCATGTTACCAAGTGTGCAATTTATATGAAGCAAGGGAGAAGTAGAAACAGGTTAGTGCGGTGATCGAATACAACAATGCATGCAACAACGATTTATACAACTGAATTAGAGCCATTAGTGGACCCTGATGACCTTGTATAGAGATCATCATCAGCAGCAGATGATGCTTTTTTTCACGATGAAACGGAGGGATGAGAAGTGGCCGCTGCCTCCTGGTGGTGCAGCACGTGCAAAGGAAAGATGAGGCGAAAAATTGTGGTGCATGTACGAAAACGGCAAGTCGGGCCTCGTCTGGCCAGTCGTAGTACAGCCTCTTGCTCCCAGCACCACTCCACGCACATGCCATCTCTCTCCTCTCTCTCCTCTTCCCTCCTCTCATCCTTATAACACCCATGCCTGCCTTAGACACTCGACAACAGCAACAGCTGCCCTCGCTAGTCGGGGCTCGCCACCCCGCAGTGGCACAATCAACAAATGCAGCAGTTCCTGTCGTCGCCTCTTCATCCACAGATACTCGATTAATAGACGAACAGCAGAAACCTCGCTTCTCTTTCACCTCCATAGTCAGCCCTCAAGTCTCCTCCTACTTCATCGCAGGTGGTGTCGCAGGCGCCGTATCTCGCACAGTCGTCAGTCCGCTCGAGCGGTTAAAGATCATCCAGTCAGTATTAGCGCCTCATACATACATACTCCTCTTCTCGAGTACTTTTTGCTGACCTTCGATTCAATAGGCAAGTCCAGCCGGATACTCCGGACAAAGCATACCGCGGTGTATGGCGTAGCCTCGTGCGCATGTGGCAAGAAGAGGGTTTCAAGGGTTTTATGCGAGGAAATGGTATCAACTGCCTACGTATCGTTCCGTATAGCGCAGTCCAGTTCACCACCTACGAGCAACTAAAAAAGGTATGCGCAGTCACTTCTCCTATTCTCTTTACGCAAAAAAAGGATAGATTTAATGCCTGTTGTTAGTGGTTTACGGCATACGGTGCGAAAGAACTCGATACCCCCACGCGATTGCTTGCCGGAGCGTTAGCTGGCATTACCTCTGTCTGTATGTGGCATACCTATTTTTATCCTTGACACGCTGCAGGGCGGAATAAGCTCATAAGCTCATACCCTTGAACTCTCATCAGGTACTACCTACCCATTAGACCTCGTCCGATCTCGTCTTTCGATAGCAACGGCTTCTTCCATCGCTGCTGCTGCTGCTGCTTCGGCAACACCAACACCAACACCACCTCTACCGGTTGTTCCTCAAGCATCTGCTACTCAAACGTCAAGTAGTGCAACTGTCGGCAGCCAACCCGTACGCGCGTATGCAGCTGCTTCCGCCTACCACACCTCTTCCTCTTCGTCCTCCGCCGCCGCCACTGTCACCGCTACCTCCACCCTAGTAGCCCATCGGAAACCTGCCCACCTAACAATGCTCGGCATGACCCGCAAAGTAATGGCCGAAGAAGGCGGTTTCTTTGCCCTGTACAGAGGTCTCCCAGCAACAGCCTTCGGCGTCGCACCCTACGTCGGTATCAACTTCGCTGCCTACGAAGCTCTACGTGGTATCATCACTCCTCCAGGGAAACCTGCTACGATTCCAAGGAAATTAGCGTGTGGAGCGCTTGCGGGGAGTATAAGTCAGACGTTAACGTATCCTATGGATGTACTTAGGAGGAAGATGCAGGTGACGGGGATGAAGACGCTTAGTAGTGGGGTGAGGCATAGAGGTGCGGTTGATGCACTGAGATGGATTTTGAGACATGAGGGTGTGAGGGGGTTGTATAAGGGGCTTTGGCCGAATTTGTGTATGTGTCCCTCTTTCTTCGTTGAATATTTTTCTTCCTTGGAGTGATGGGTGCTGATTATTTAATTGTTGTTGTAGTGAAAGTTGCACCGAGTATTGCGACTTCGTACGTCCCTTTTGTTGTTCCTTTTTTGTATCCAAGAGTACTAAAGTTGATTTTTTCTTCCTTGAAGGTTCTTCACGTACGAATTCGTCAAGGAACTCCTGCTCGCGTAGTTTTTTTCGTGACAAGAAGAAGATCCTCGTCTATCTCCCCCTTCTCTGACTCTCACCCGTCATCCTGGAACTTTTGACGCACTCATACCTCATCCTTTCACGCTTGACCCGCAAGATATAAATACAACATATATATATTTCTCATTGTATAGATAGAAGAACCGGAACCAGGTTCACAGCTGCACAACGACGACAGACATCTCATAGTATCCATCGTAGTTACTCTTTGCATTTGTTACTCTTACATTTAACTGTCTTCTTACCGGTTGCTTCTCTTTTGTTTCTACTATCCTTTAATGTTATCGAGACGAGGCTAGATTTGGTTTTAGGTGTTAGGTGTTTGATAGGAAGTGTTGATGAATATCTATAGTACCTAAATATAAATATTTTAAATATATTTTCTATTTTGTTTCGATAGATCATTCATTCACTGTAACAGTCAGACACGTATATAAGAACAGGAGAGCCTTGTCTACAACACACACACATGCAAAAGTGAAAACCTTCAGAACCGAAGCTATTTGTACAACTCTCTTGCATATTGTGAAGCAAATACTGGCACAGTCTTGTACTACAACCTCTTAAAGTTATACACATATTATTATATGTAACCCATATATTATAAAAGAGTAATCAGTATTTACTTGTAACCTCATCTTTGTACTTTGTTCCCTATACTAAGGTCAACCCCTTATCCCATATCTTTGCCTATTCCTATCTCCTGAGTAAAGCACTATAGTTATACTTTGCATCAGTTTTAAGGTTTAAGGATTTAAGAAAGTAAAGTAATAAAAGGCTCAAGTCCTAAGTTGTAGTAAGCATTATCTCCCATCTTCTTACTCCTTACTATACTACTACTTAATACCTTTATAAGGTTGTCCAGAATTCTTTGACCTACTTATAAACTGCTATCAAAGAATCCTGAAAGACAATCATGGCTGATAAAGCTACACTAATGATGATAAAGATACACAGAGGTAACTTTACCAGTCTCTACTCTAAAGGATTTTAAAAAAAATCTTTACTAATACCTTTTCTCTATATTTCAAATACAGAGTTCAAGGACGTCACTGAAATTGAGGTTGACGGACTCAATCGACTACCTCCAGGAAAGTATGAAGCAAAAGGTAAGTACTAAATATTGACAATACACTATCTAAAAGTCCAAAGGCCCAAAACTCCTATCTCATATTCTTTCTTCCTTCTACACTTTTATACAGCTAAGAACAGAAGTGGAGGTATAATAGCAAAGTCGGGTGAACAGTCATCGGAGGAAGATGCGTATAAACAACTATATACAGAGCTTTGTAATATTCGTGATAAGAGTACTGGTAAGGAATTTTATATAATATACAATTATCTGTATCTATGACACTGTCTCTTATCACTCTGGCTTTATATTACTATATAGAAACAAGTGAGAAATAGTAAGAGAAAAGAGAAATTTGGAATTTCCTCAGACAACAGAGACAAGTAGATAGTAGACTTGAATTCAAGATAGAATAATGACTGGTATCTATTTAGCTGGAGAATACAATAAAACTGAGAGTAGCTTAAGAAACTGATATTGATGCATTTCTAAAGTAGACATGAGGCATCAAAGTTGATGGATGAGATTGTGCCACAGGCATTTAGCAAAGTCATGCTTGTGTAGTGTCAAATCTTGCCCATCAATTATGTGGCAGACAAAGAATGATGTACCTTACTTTTTAGTCTTTTCCCTGTCTTATTGAATTGTGATTGGAATCTGAATCAGAATGTAACTGACTACTAGTACTTATGATGAGCCAATGCATATTACCTTTACTTGTCTTTGTACCAGTCAATTTTTTTTCTGTCTCTACTATCTTTAATGTTAGCAACTGTCTCACTCTCAAGACAAGGCTTCAAGGCTATTATTTAGCATTTCTTGTTGTAACACTCAGTCAGATAAGAGCAGGCAAGCCTTACTGTATATTAAACAAGACAGAGATACAGAAGAATATATGTATAATACTAGGATATGCAAATTATCAATATGTTGCAATATTGTGTATTTTAATATTGCATTTCGGCCAGGGGCAGAGGCTGGTTATCTGGTCTGAGCTAATATCATTTGGTTATAGCATATTTGACTGTACTATGGAGAATTGAGACAAGTGTGTATTTTCCTTTATTGTGATAGTTCTTCCAGATAAAGTACAGCTCAATCAAGGAAATTGTAAAAAGTAATACATGAAAGCAAAGGAATGTTCCCATCACTTCTTTCCCACCACACTAAATTAAGTAATATTAACTAACTTTGCATACAATATTGAGACTGCAACAAAGCAATATAGGCCTCTATAAATAACAGTATGCATTATCTCTTATAGTCTTACCATACTACTATTCATACCTCTAACTAGTATACAAGTGTCTAGAGTTCTCTACCCTATCGACTTTTATTGAAGCTTCAATGGATGAGCCTGACAAAACTGCTAAACTAATTGAAAAGATACACAAAGGTAATTTCACAAGTCTCTAGTAGAGAAAAGAAAATAGCACACTCACTAAAACTATCCTTTACCATTACCATCTTTCTTTATTCACAATAAAGAACACCCAGATGTCAAAGTTGAGTATAAAAGAAAACCAGGAAATAAATGTGAAGTAACTGGTAAGCATTAACAGAACATGATCCAAAAAGCCCTCTAATCTCATATCTCTTCTACACTTCTATATTTTATATAGCTACAACCAGATCTGGAGCTCCATTAGCATCCTCGGGTGAACAGGCATCTCCGGAAGATGCTTATAAAAAACTAGATGAAGAACTTGGTAACATTCGTGAGTTCTAATGATTCTTTATTTTGCTGTAGTACTGTGTCTCATTGTTCTGGTTTTACATAGAATCAAATGGGTTCCATTAATAAGAAGAGGATAGAAGTTTGTTAAAGAGACAAGTGGATTGTCTTGAGCTTAAGATAGAATAACGTCTGGGATTTATTTTACTAGAATACAATAAATTGAAAATGACTTGATGGAATGATGTTCTCACATTTTCGAAAGCTGACGTGAGTTGACGAGATTGTGCCACATTCATTTGGCAAAGTCCTGCTAGTGCTAGCGTGGCGTCGAATCTTGAGCCTTGATCATCATTTGCGTGGCGAGCAATAATAATAATGTACCTCACTTTGCCTCATCTTATCAAATCGAATCCAAATTGGAGTGAACCTAACGAGTCACTCTGCGGACGAGAGACACGCTACTGTGAACGCAGAGCTAACAATTTGAAAACTTACGAATGCACAAACCCTTTCTCTAAAGTTTCTTGAAATACTTTACTTCAATCTCTTACCTACATTCTACTTCCACTCTATCTAATTGACATCAACCCGAGCAATATCTGATCTATATAGAAGGAAAAGGGAAGGGAGGAAAAAGAAAGAGGAACCAGGAACGACAAGAGCAGAAATCAGAAGGGTAAGAAAAAAAAAACGAGTAAAAAGTAAAAAGAAATGCGGAAAGTGGCGAAAGAGACGAAAATAAAGGAGTCGATGCAGGCGTTCGTGTATATACGGGGTGGGTGTATGCGGTGGTGATGGTGATGGTATATGCGCAATAACGAATTGCTGATGCTGATGGATGTATCGCGAGCGAACGGCATGGAGGGTGCAAGAGAGTTAACGAGACGGAAAGTTGTTCTCAATGAGGGTTAGGTCTCCCCGTCTACCGTCTTCAGCTCTTCTTCAAGTACCCTTTGACCTTCAGCAGTCAGCACTGGTATACCCGAGTCGATGTCCTTCTCGAAGAACGCTGGAATAAATCTTAAAGAAAGTAATAACGAATTCGTCAGTCTAAGAGAGAAACAAAGACAAAGAAAATAACGTACTCCTCGCCTTTCTTCTTCCTCTCAGCAGCTTTATCCCTCTGCCGCTGTTCAATCGCATGTTTATGACGCGTCGCCTCACTATACTCCTTCGCAAGCAGATTACTCGTCACGTTCTGCCACAACTTCCGACTCTCATACGTATGCTGCTTCTCTAACGGTCTTACACGTTTCGGTACTACGAGTAACGTCGAGACGTCAATCAGCGTTGCTTGTTCCTCGTCAGCCGATGCATCCGCACGCCGCCACCGCACTCTTGACCGCCAAGACCCATCGAAGTAAACCTTTGTTGCGCTCCGTGGGACATGCTTCACTTTAATCCAGTCCTTGTAATCTTCGTCCCCTTCGCGATACGTATGAATGACACCTTCTACCGCAAACTTGGGTGTGCCAAGCCAAGGCTACAAGAAGGATTCAGTATGACGCTTACTCAAAGGAGTCAATCAAGACGCGGACTGACCTCTTCCTTATACTCAATAACCGCTCTCAATCTTTCCTTTCCCTTCTCCTCACCTCCTATCCCGGTACAAGTGATGATCGTCGATTCACCAACCGTAACGTAAAAACTACCACGCAGTAATCCATTTACCATAGCAGTTGGATGCGTGACCTGATATTGCTCGCCAGTTCCTGGTCCAGAATCAATTCGCATGAAAATACCCTTATTCAGTGCACCTGGCGCGACGCGTACCCCGGTTCCGGAGACCCGCGCACTTATTTGATCAATACCCATCAACGAGACGCCGCGCGTTGGGCATGTGGCGTAGTAGGTGCTAATAGGCGGGTGATGCGACACTTGCTCGGTCAGAAACGCAACCCGTACTCGTTCGGAATCATCAGCATCTCCCGACATCCCCGAGTCATACGAACCCGACGCATTTCCAAGGCTGAGGTTAGATACCCCCGCAGCAAGGTTCGATTCTACGGTGCCGTTGACTGTGGGAGTGACATCCGGAGAAGAAGGACCCGGAGATTTGGGGAGCGGCGTGACGCGTGCAGTGGCAAAGTCAAAGATCGAAGATGCCCGCTTCTTATTCTTGGCGGAACCAGCGCTCTTTGAGGAACGGAAAGATAGAGTACTCTCGTCCTTTGGCCCCTTTCCGAAGACCGCGGAGGGGTCTGCCGACGGCACGGGCGACGTGGTATGCTGCCGATGAACGGGCGCTTGTAGAGGGTCAGGTGGGTACTCCACCGGAAGCACATCCCAGTGTGCACGGAAGTGTTCGCCAAGGACGGAGTTGTATGGTTTGACGACTTTGCCTCTCTGTAGAAGGGTTAAGTTTTACGTGGACGCGCATATCAGGAGGATAGCCTACTATGAACTTGAGGTCCTTGGTGAATGTGAAGCGAATGACAGCGAGCATGCGCTCAAGAGGGTCATCTGAGTCGTTAATACTAACGATGGGAGACGAGGTATTGAGTACCATCCAGCAGTAGGGGTTTTGGCAATCACTTACGAAACAAAGAGATCAGGTCGGTCCAAGTATTGCCAATACTCTAAGTTGGGGACAGGTTCGAGAAGAGAGGCAGGTAACGACAGTCGCCTTCAGTCCGGTCGGATTCAGTCGTAATGAGCGATGAGCGAGAGGTAGCCCAGAGAGTCGTCATATATCAATTTCTCGCACCGTGAACCGAAGAGCTGAGAACACGTACATTGCCGCAAGATCCTTGACACCCAGGCAACGCTTCAGGAGTTGAACGATCATCTTGAGCTTGCCACCGTCACTGGCCTCGCCGGTGTCGGGGACAACAGCAGTCAAGTCTGCCTCTGGTTCTACGCCGTTCTGCTCGGGCTCGAGAACATTATGCCCCACTGACGAGTTTGATTGTGTGGAGATTGGAGTGGCCAGCTCACTACTGTCCTTATCCTTGAGAGCCATAGCGACAGAATTAAAATCTAGATGATTAAGGGGCGGGGTGAAAGGGAAAGACAAGAGATGAAGACGTGAGTGGACAAGCGGAGCGCATCTACGCGTGCATGCGAGCTACTATCTAAATACGTCTGCAGCGGATCTGGGAGCAGCGTCCCAACACTTGGATCTCGCACGTGCTCTTTTTCTTAGTCCAAACTTCGACTCGCACGTTTCACACCAACACACAAGCATTTTTATGAGCCAAAATAATTAAGCGTTTATTTTGGCCATAGAGGAGCAGTCGCATACATACATGAACAGAGCACGATAGCAATAACAGAGGAAAACAGAGAGTCCAAAAATACTACCAAAGCATAAATATGTGGGGAACTGACGGGACAGCACTTTTGAGCAGACAATGGCGAGCAGACCACATATGCAGTTACACAATGTAGCGACGGAAAGCATGTACATTGCATATGAGGTCCGAGGAAGGAGGGTGGTGTCGCAGTTGGTAGGAGGGGGACGGGGGCGGAGGAGCAGGAGAGGGAGGGAGAGGTCGACAAGAGGGTGGTGGCGAAGGCGTCTGCTGAAGTCGGTGTGTCGCTAGCTGGTACTAGCTGGTACAAGTTTGTCAGTTTAGAAATAGGGCTGTCGAAGATAAGTGTTGACAGTAAGGCGAAAGTGATTGTCGTGTGGCGAAATGTTGACATTGAGTTTTTTTTACTGTCGGATGTCGATGGTGTCGATAATAGGGTTGAAATGCTGATACCAGTAGTCGAAATCGAAATTCTGTCAGTTGTTGAAGTCGTGTCAGAGCAAAGAGAAGATAAACCAGAGAAACTGCGAAAAAGGATTAGGGGATTTTGAAGAGACTAAAGCTGCCAGACTTGTCAGAATGCGGTGTGGCGAAATGTCTTCACGAGTCGAGCATTTGAATGGCGCCGCATTCTTCGCAAAGGCCCCACATTGAACGGTTGCCACTGGGACCGGCGCCGCAAGCAACACGGAGTTTCGGGAGCTGCTTGCAGTCTGACCTGAAAAGATTAATAATCGAAACGGCATCCACGACAGATAAGGCGGTCACGAGTAATAGTTGAAGGAGCAACACTTGATCAGCAAATGTTAGAACACATGAAGCAACCAGCGCCCTTAGGCGCGTTTCTTCTTACCTGAGGTGGGAGAAGCCGAGTCCTGAGAAGGTACGCCCGTTGACTGGTGGTGGACATATCGACGGGTCGGAAGCTGGATAAAGATCAAAGATAGGGTAAGCAGCTGAAATGAAGACCCGTGAACTTCGCGTGGCATCAGAAATAGACGAGACGTACGGGAAGAAGTGGAAGCATCTGACGAGTAGTCAGTGTCCGACGACGCGCTTGACGGTAGACGCGAGTGAAAGCCAGCAGGAAAGTCAATGTCCATGGAGGGAGAGTCGGACATTGGTGCGTCCATGTCCATGTCGAGACTTTGTTCGGAGGACGGGAAGGGTACGAGCTTCATCTGCTTTAGGGACTGTCACAAGAATCGGGTCATTGATCAACCTTATATACGCGGATTGCCTTATATGGTAGGAATAAAACATACAGGTTGAGCAGATGCGTCGTCAACGAGCTTGCGCTTCAATGCCATGATAGATTATAGTAGTGATGAGTGGGGGGTAAAGTGTTGAGTGAAGGGACAAAGGGACGACGGGACAGCAAAGAGGAGGGACTGGTGAGCGTCAAAGAAGAAGGGTAGGTCCCAGGAAAAGCTGGGTTGGGAAGAGAGAAACGAATCTTTATATAATGCAATATAGAGTTTGTACTTATTTGTTCGATGCCGTCTACACCTTTATCCATATTCGAACAGATCATCAAACCTTGTCTGCTTACGTGTGAACTTTAATTGCCATTCAGTAGCAAGTCGCGTGCACCCACGGCTTAGCCGCACACGCTCGGACACGTACCCGCTCTCTGTCCCAGAGCCCCAGCACCTGGCCCGGCACTGACACTGGCACTCTCCTCCCGCCGTCATAGCGATGGACAACGTCCGTCCACAGGACCTGCCCGCTTTCCTCGATCCTCTGCTTGACTACCTCTCGGAGCATCTCCCGTCCTCTCTATATGACACCCTTTTCACCGTACTCTCTTATGGGCTCATGCTCCTGTCCGGCCTCTTCTCACTCGTATCTGCCCTACCCTCCTGGAAGCCATGGGAATGGGACGCACAGAAACTTCTCCCTCCACTCATAGTCTTCCTCACCGCATATTACACCCTTCTCAGCCTCTACCGAACTACAAGTTTCATGGTCCGCATGGCATTCCGTCTCGTCAAATGGGTGCTCATCCTTGGCGCACTCGGCGGGGCTGCTGGATGGCTTGCTGGTACAAACGGCGGACAGACTGGAGGCGCTCTCGGTGGATTCTGGCAGTCGCTACAGGGTCAAGGGACGCCTGTTGCTGCAAGCACACGAGGCCGGTCAACAAGGAACACGCGTCAACGACCACGTATGTACGAATCTTTCACCGCACATGAGCAGTGGCGGTATGACGAACAGCGAGCAGGGAGAAACGGACAAGGCGACGCAGCGTCAGACGCACAACGCTTCATCCAGTCCGTCGCCGGGCTCGCGGGTCGCGCAATGGGCGGGACAGGCTTCGACATCCTCTCAAACGCAAAGAACTTCTTCGATAGCCTTACAAGCCCCGACGTGGGCGACACGACCAACGAAAGTTCAGGCGCAGGAGGGCAGACAAGGAAGCAGCAGCCGAACCGCAAGTCGAAAGCTTCTTCTCGACGGAAGACGGCTTCACGATGACCTGAACACCCTCTTTTCATTCATTTATCTTTGGTCTGTTTTGTTTATAGTACGGTATAGACGTTCCGAGCTCCAGGGCTCCAGATCTCCGGCCATCCTCATTTGTATTTTTATGGTTTCAGCAAGTTGAAGTTTTCGCTCTCCCTATTTAGTCGTTCTCTCATTCGCCGCCACCACATAATCCCACCATGTCAATATAGGTTATAACATCGATCCGAGAACCCCGCATTAACCTCATGTACAATAACAATTTTGCTATCAATGTATCATCATCAACACAACAGCCAAACATCACTATCCTCACGCCACACTCGATGGTATTGCAAACGGTATCGTAATCTACTCTGCCTTCGGGGCAGGAGCATTAGCAAGAGCCTCTGGGTGCGTTCTCCGGTAACTACATATCAATTTCATTTCATCAGCATCATCAACTCGTCATTTCTAATGAAACGATGGCCCTATACGAAACACAAACATAACACTTACTCCCAGATCCTGTACAGCTGTCCAAGGCCTGTTGAGCCCACAAAGAAGTTCACCTATGCCAAAGATCAAAGCCAGTAAGAAAAGGTAATCAAAGAGAGGCTTTGAGATATAGACAAAGATACGCACAGCAGCCAAACTGTAGTTAATGGGCGTGATCACCAATGAGTATCGGACCCAGATGAAACCTGTTGCGGCGAGAGCTGTAATCGCGCGTGGGACACATCGAAAGGACGTGGAGAGTGTATGCATTAGTGTATGCCGTGAAGACAAGATATTGGAGAGTACGTACCGACGTTCTGCGATACACTAAGCTTCTCAGCCGGACGATTAAGATCTTTCACCCCAGCAGCAACAAGGCACCACTTCATCATTGGAGCCCAGAAGAACACAGTCTTCGGTCCTAAACAAACAAAATAACATCATGCATCAGAACCAAAGTCTATAAATCCCTGACCAGCAAAAGATAGCATTTTTTTAAGACCGAGAAGCGCCCGGGGGCAAACGAAGATTCAAGAACCAGAACACGCACGCACCTGCCGGATGGTTCATAAAAGCCTGGAATTTCGAGGCTCCTGCTGAAGCTGCTGCACCGGACATGTTGTCAAAAAGAGCAAAGTCTATGTGATAGCGAAAGTCGAAAGTCCTGGGGTTGAGGGTGGGGTTGATGGGGCGAGGAAAAGCGTGCAGCAATGACGATGGGGACACTGGGGACGGCGGCGCGGCCGTTGCTGAAGAAATCTTGTTTGACTAAAGTGAGTGTTTTACGTAACATCGTTGGGGTGAGGAGTTTTCAATTGGTTTATAAATTTAAACTACCGAGTATACAAAAAACCCAATGAATAGAATAGTATCCAAAACGAGCAGCCCAAGTGAAAATATGTATACAAAAGGTGAATAGGTAAATGGTTCAGATGTATCCTCGACAATCATGGCTGCCACACTTGCAGCGCGTCGCCCCCGCTTTCATCTTCGTCGACTTCTTAGTACGCTTCCAAGATGCGGACGGATTGTAGTCTATTGTGATCTCCTTCCTTGCTGGTATATCTTTTGAAGCGACGAATGCGATATATGGCATGTTTGCCTAAGAATATCAACATCAGGTTCAATTTACTGAACGACATTTGTTAATGGACTTACTTCCAACGGAGCGTCGAAGACGACTGAATACGCTTGGGTATTAGGGCTACACGAATGACTTTTCGGATGTAGATATTTAGTGCACATTTATGGGTAATCATGGAATGTGCATACTTTACAAATCTTGTCCAGTTTCCTAGTGAATGGAATTCAGGTCACAGATAGTCCACTTAAAGATCACTATCACGAACCTTCCGCATATGCACAAATAGAATATCGTTCTTCAAGGTCCGGATCATCATCACGAATATCCAAGTCAAAGGTATATTCTCGCATATCCTTCGTAAGGTTAGCCAAGTCCTCGCGTTTCCTATGTTGCTAATTAAGACAGACTTTATCGCTAAGACAACATTTGCTCACATAATTTTCCTAGAGAACACAGAATCATCTTGTCAGGAAGATAGACCTAGGAATACATTTACGTGCTCGACGACATACCCGGTGTACAAGCCGAGCACTGTTCCCTTTCGTATGGCAACCGGCGATCGTGCTCCCCAGCCGTTATTTCGAGTTTTAAAGATCTCTATTGGCACCTTCCTCGGCCGCTGTGCAACTGTATTGCTACATGTCCGATTACAAGAGCAGTTCTGTAAGTCATAGTGAGTGATGTAAAAGTGCAATTCGGTGTTTTTACTAACCTCGTTGCATTCAACGACTTCTCGTTGTTGATTAAATAGGAAGAGACCCTGTAGCAAGAGCAAGATGAGACCAAGAAACACTTGAAGTATAAACACCATTCTTACATTTTTGTCATATGCCGGTGCTATTTTATCATACTCATCTCGGCATTGTGACTCTGCCAAGCAGTCGCAAGCAGAGATATCCTTGCAGCCATCTGTGCATTCACACCCGAGTAGAAACATCTTGTTCTCAACACTATTTCGATCAGGTACACCAGCTGCGCTGAACAGACAATTGTTTGCTTGGTCGTATTTCGATACGAGAACTTAAAACATACTATGTACATCGGCTCTCCAAGTATTGCAGATTTGAAAAAGCTGGAGGATACTCTTCATCATCGACTTCGTTGACGACTGTGACCTTGGCAGCACCTGTCCCTTCAGTTAATTTCTCCCAACGCCTTTGATCGTTTGCTCGGGGCCGTGAGCGTATGGGCGGAGCAACGGAAGAGCTACTCCTTTTGTGCGTCAGCGCCTAGATCAGCCCGTTAGCTAGATGTGCACACAAGTTTTAGTCAACCCTTACTGGAGATCCTGCAAGCGTTGATGATTCCTCATCCAGCCTTGAGCTCGAGGCATGACTACTAGCCGCATCCGAATCAATACGCTTTCGTTTCAACAACGGTCGAACGTTCGTTCGTTCTAGCGGTTCCGTCCGCACTGATAAAGTAGGCGTATTCGGGATGCTTGAGTCAATTGGCTCGTTCTTCACCGATCCCTCTGCATCCGGAGCATCCATCGCGAGCCACTGGTTCCAAAGTTTCGGGCGTCCCTTTGCTCGGTGATTTTTCTCGCGATATGCAACTGCATCTTCAGCGGTACGAATATTGTGTGGCATGTACTGGTCCAATACTGCGAGGTCAATGTCATAATCCATCTTCGACTTCTGTTTCCTGTCTTTTTGTCGAGATGCGTCCCATGTATCCAGTAACCTGTCCACGCCAGGAAGCGCGCCCGTCCAAGTTGTGCTGGATCCATCGGTACGCTGCCAACCTTCCCATTCAATCTATTCTAATTCTTCAACAATAATTCTTCTGCGGAAATAGTATACAGACCTGATATCTGTAGTGTTTTACTTAAGCCTCGACATGCGTAGACGGTTTATAAATTGTATCCATACCTCTTTTCGTGATTTAGAAGTATCTCCTCATTCATCACACCTCTCACTGGCCACTCTTGGTCCGCATCATCCCCGAAGTCCTCCTCAGCACTATCCGACTGCTGGAAGATCTCATAATCTGAGGGAGGAGGGCTCGGTGAGCGGGAGCCTCCCGAATGTTCGTCCGCATTAAAGCTAGTTCCTGGGCTCGGTGAACGTACGACGCGATTCAGCCTTGCTTTCGACATAATGCCATAACACAGTAGTGATCATAAAACAGATAGTAAAAAGGGGTTATTTAGGCTTCGAGCGGTAGATCAGGCGTCAGATCCCAACTTAATAATACGCCCAACACGAACGCGGTTGATCCCGCTGATCGATAACATGAGACCGTTGAGACGGAAGTGTTCTTTGTCTTTAATGCCCACGTGACCCCATGTGCTGGAGGACACGTGCACACGCATCCCCTAACGCTCCTTGCCTGCAGTCCGCAACGATGCGCAGTCAACTGTATTTCGCAGCTGCTCTTGCAGCAACGCCACTTTGTGTGCTGTCTTACCCTGCGAGATATGCGGTGCAAATCCCACTTGATGCTAATTCATTGAAGAAGAACGAGTCGAACATCCGGCCGCTTGTTTTATGGCACGGTCTTGGTGAGTGAACTCCTTTCTGATGCAGAACAGACAGCACTAAATGATTCGTTTCGTAATTTCACGAAGGCGACTCATATGCATCCCCGGGAATGCTCGAATTCGGCAAGCTCGTACAAGGCGTCCATCCGGGACTTTTCGTCCATTCAGTATACATTGACAAGAACCTTGATGCAGACCAACGTGCAGGGTTCTTTGGGAATGTCAACGAGCAAATCGAACTTGTTACGGAACAACTGGCAGACATCGAGGAGCTGAAAAACGGATTTGATGCCATTGGTTTCTCTCAAGGTGCAAAATTGCTACTTTGATTTAACTCGCGGCGTTAACTAATAATAATCTTTTGATTAATTTTGGTGTAGGTGGCCAGTTTCTAAGAGCTTACGTGGAACGGTACAACGACCCACCAGTGAACAATCTATTAACATTCGGATCACAACATATGGGCGTTGCTGATATGCCACTTTGTCGGCCTTATGACTTGTTCTGCAACATAGCGCGAAAGGCGGCGCAGGCGGGTGTTTACAACGAGTATGCACAAACTCATCTCGTGCAAGTGAGTGATAACCCTCCCTCATTCCTTCATATTTTCCGTTTGATGCTGACGCCCTTGTTTCTTACTAGGCACAGTACTTCCGCGACCCAGATCGCCTGCCCGAATACTTTGCCTCCAATAAATTCCTCACATCAATTAACAACGAGATATCTGAGAACATTAACGATTCCTACGCTATCAACCTCAACAGACTGAACAACCTTGTGCTCATTTTGTTCTCCGAAGACAGGACGGTCGTACCGAAGGAGTCCGCCTGGTTCGGTTCGTACGCTCCGCCAACATCGTTATGGGATGAGAGCGATATGAGGGATAGGACTATAATACCCATGCATCTTCAACCCACCTACCTCGCTGATACCTTCGGCTTGCACACGCTTGATGAACGTGGGCGCGTTTCGTTGGAGATATGTCAGGGTGAGCATATGCAGATTACTGACGACTGTTGGGAGCCTCTGGTTCGTCGACATGTCGGCGGTGCTTTGGATTCGGACTCGGGTTTGTAGGTCCTTTTACTGGAATGTCTGCAGTATCTTGATTTTCTGTCGCGACTTATCTAATTCCTGCATATGTTACGTATTTATATTATACCAATCTGTTAGCCTTAATGATATTAGCTTAAATTAGGTGGTCCCTGATACAGATTGACAGAAAGTGATCACCCATAGAGCACAGTACGCACGTATGCCCGCATAAATTATTCTCATACTTTCTATGAATCGCTCATGTTCTTTTTGTCGCCTAATTATTGTCTATGCGGGCTTGGTCCTATTGGGAGACGTGTAGTAGATACAGCTAGTTACTAAAGTTGTGCTAGAAAAAAAGAATCGCTCATAGTTTATACATATACAGCAGTGTGGAGGGTACGATAGTAAAACAAAACGTAAATGTCTACTGGAACCCGTCTCTGGTCTTTACAGTCAAATGCATCTCTGTGCTTGATGAGCAAAGGACGACAATATATGTGCCACCTCATTTATTGGCTGAAGTTTATTTGAGACCCCGTTAAGGAAACGTGCTTACGAATTGCAGTTTACAGGTCATATAGCTTTGTCTTTTCCCTTCCACTAGTACTCTGCAGAGATGTCTCTTTCACTCAAAAACCAAGTCCACACTGAATACATTCTAAATGGCTCGTATTTTCAGGGCGAAGCGCATACAGAAACTTTGCATCGTACTTTGCTCTGAGCCCACGGTTTAAGTGCCCAGACACCTGGGCGCTGTAAAATATTAGCCGCTTGCCATGTCTGACGGCGAATGCGCCACAAATGAAAAGATTACTCGACATAGGTTTGTTGGAAGACTGCTCCTTCCAGATTTTATTAAAATTTAATTCTAGCATTCTCAAGGACGCCGAAAATTAATATATCCGTTCAAAGGAAAGTCTCCGGTCCCCCAGACTATCAAAGCATGGCTAGGTCTTTGCAATGTTTGCGTCCCCATTCCCTACCAGCTGTCCAGTGTGAAGTCATTTCACGACTTACCTGTTGCTCCTTACATGCAGGACTCGAAGCTGAACGCGAGTATACCTGTGGAAAGCGACTGCGTTGACTGGAAATTTGTTCCAGCCAAAGGCGATATTGAAGCATACTACGTTTACGTACAGCCTATAAAGAAGCGTGCGAGAGACAATGGAGAATATCGTTTGATCCGTCTCGAGAATGGACTCGAAGCCATCCTCGTGCATGATATAAGTATCCGTACAGCTGCCATGAACTTGAGTGTCGCCACAGGACATCTCCATGATCCGGTGAGTGGTAGCGATCTTGATTTGTGGTCGAGTGTCGATTGATGGGGGTGTGGTTTCTAGGACGACATGCCCGGCCTGGCAAGGTTGTGCGAGGATGCGCTATATGCGGTATGGTTCTAATCCGTGATATAATGTCATAACATATCTTAACCCATCAATTCCAGGAATTTTACGAGAGTGACATTGTAACGCACCTTCTTATAACGTAGCCCATTCGATTCTCAAATTCCTCCGTCTTATAGCCGGTAGATTACTCCGAACACGACTTTACAGATTTGTGTACCAAAAGTAGCGGATCAAACACAGATTTCCTCCTTTCTACAGATCCCAGAACTCTGAGAGTTGTGCTGGAACATTTCTCCGAGAATTTCCGCAGCCCAAAGTTTACCTTGGAGAGGTTGGAGGATTACATTGATGAGGTGGACAATTCTCATCATGCAAGTCACCTCAACAGTGATGTCTGGAGAGTTTCCTCAGTCAGGAATATCCTCGCATGTTCAGGTCATCCGTTACGGAGGTTTGGATGTGGGAACGAGGAATTGTTAAAGCAGTCTGGATGGAAGGTGAGTTTACCCAAAACGGCATGTGGAAAATATATTGAATGAAGACAAATAGAGTTATAGAAACTCGATCGCACGAACGAGTCCTAAAAGAAAGAAACTCGCTGATGACGATGCGTTAGACTCAAATGCGGCAATGGTGGAAATAAGGAAGAGATTGGTCGGATGGTGGGAGAAGGAATATTGCGCAAGGCGCATGAAATTGGCATTGATTGGTAAAGGTTCGTATAGTCCTATAACTAAAGCTGAGCGAGATTTTGACCGACGCGTAAAGAATCTCTCGATGAGCTCACCCACTTGATCATGAAATGCTCTTCATCAATTCCGAATCGTGGGAAGGACCCTACCCCACTTCTCGACCAGCCGTACGGAAAGGAAGAGCTTGGCGTATGCTATTTTTACCTCCGTGACATACTGTCCTAAACTGACGCCTCAATTTCATTAGAAAATCATACATGTTAGGGCGAAAACTGATGGCGCATATGCAGTTACAATCACGTTTCCTGTACCCTGGCAAACTCCTCTTTGGCGCGTGAAGCCATTCAATTTCATTGGACACTTACTTCGCTACGGAGGCCCCGGATCGCTGAAATCCCATCTACGGAAAAAAGGTTGGTTATTCGAAGACGTTGCAGAAATATCTGCTCGTCGGTATACCGCGCCTGGCGACTTTCATTCCAAACTAAAAAGAAATGGATGGCTTACCGACAATATACTTGCTTACGATGTGGAAGTTGGACGAGGAGTCTCATTATTTGAGATAAGGATAGAACTTACGATGGATGGATTTAGTGAGTCTTCGACACGAAGCTTTGCGAAATATCCTACTGATACATGCCTTGGTAGTGAATTACCGCGAAGTGATTTCGGCATGTTTCAATTACTTTGACCTCCTGCGCGAACCCAAGGGATTGTCATGGGTCCAGGAAGAAATTATGCGGATCGATGAACTCTCATTCCGGTTCGGCGAGAGGCCGTGCGAAGATGACCTTGTACAGAATATTACCGACCACATGCAGTGTCCTATTCCTCGAGCACTTGTCGTGTTGAATCCAACATTGGATTGGAATGAACATCTCATTCATGAGACACTTGATCGTTTAGTCATTGAGAACAGTTTAATTATGATCTCGGGACAGGATCATACGGCGAGCGAAGAGATGGGGCCATGGCTCACTGACCCATGGCATGGCGCTGAGTACAGCGAGAAGAAGCTTAGTGATGACTTCGTCTTCTCAGTGAGTACATATTTTTCGTGCCCATCGGGTCACATAGCCCAACGTGTCTCAACTTTCCTTAAGGCCCGAAGTCCAAATAAGATTGGCGAGCTTGCGTTCCCACAGCCGAACAAATTCCTCCCGAGGAATGTTGACGTCCAGGAGGTCAATGTTACCCATACCAGTAAAGGCCCGACACTCATCAAGCGTACTTCACTCACGGAGCTGTGGTATAAGAAAGGTGACCGGTTCTGGATCCCTCGTGCGAAAATTATGGTTCACGCATGGTCGTACGTACCGACCTTAAAGTTGATTGACATCTATTGAAATAACCCGATATACTCAACCAGGCCTTTCGCTGGCACAACTCCTCGTGCATGCGTCATGAATAGTATATTCTCGGAACTTGTTAAAGACTCGCTCGTTGAACCAACGTATGATGCACGATGCGCATCGTTTGAGTACGAGTTCTACGGAGATGATTTTGGGCTTCATCTCGAGTTCGAAGGCTACTCTGATAAAATACACGAGCTTGTAAAGCTTGTACTTGAGACGATTAAACGAGCTGAAATTAAGAAGGACAGGATTGCAGCGATGATTGAAAAGGTAACAACGTTGTTTCTGTCATAGTTCGCGTCCATAACTCATTTTCTAGGAAGAGGCTAGGCTCGAGCCATACTTGCCCGAGCTCGTTTGTGATGATTGCACTGAGAAATTTGCATTACTACTGAAGGCTCGTTTCACGTCAAAAGAGAAGCGCCTGGCGCTGAAAGGTGGGCTATTAAATAAGAACTGGATTTGCATACTTTAACACGGCTGATTGTGTGTAGAGATAACTACCGAGCGGTTAGCTAAACACGTAAGCCTGCTATTATCCCAGCTGAAGTACACCATCCTTGTCTACGGAAACGTTGAAAAAGAAGTGAGTTACAACTATATCTCCCTAGATGGATCGCATTTTTCATGGCCTTTGCAGGACGCTTTTTGTCTCGCTTCCTTGGTGGAAGAGACACTTGGAGCAAAAGCTGCCCCAGGGGAGAAGGTCACACAATATCGCACCCGTCGTCTTCCGAGGCGTAAGCACCTAATGTTCACCGGACTTATCACTCGTCTTAAATAAAAACATTTGTTCTGACAGCGTGCAATTATATATGGGAAATAAACAGCGCGGAAGGTTCTTATATCTCATATTATTGTCAAATCGACAACTGTTGGGACGTGCGTACTAAGGCAATAGTGTTGCTCTTATCCGAAATTCTCGATGAATTCGTCCAATCCGGAAATATGACACCTATTCGCGACTTCCTGTCTACTATCAGGGTACTCGATGTCCATGATTTGGGAGGGTTGCGCATAGACTTCGAATCGAGAGCTGACCCTACGTACCTTGAGTCACTTACCGAAAGGTATTTGACGCAGATGCGAGTTTGGCTCCAGGCGATGGATGAATCCCAATTCGAGTGGTTTAGAGCTGAAGCAATGGGTCGATGGACGGCAGGGATGGAGGATGACAGATTTGGAGATGAGGCAGACCTCTTCTGGAAAGATATCCAATCGGGTTATTATCGCTTCGACAGCCTGGAGGATAGAATGAAACTCATGAGGAGTGTGACGAAGGAGGAAGTCGTCAGGATGTTCGATAGCTTCGTCCACCCGGCTTCTCCGACGCGATCGAAGCTTTCGATACACATCCGTCCTCAGAATCCTCTTTCTCCCCGACTGAGTCCGCGCGCGAGCGAGGCATTCGCCGATGTGTTGCGTGGTGCGGGCATCACCCTGGATGACGACGACGAGCTCCAATGGGGATGGGCGTGGGGACCATCCGTAGAAGAAGCACGCAACCAATGGCAGGGAAGGTATCTCGAGCAGCTGGGAGGCGATGAGGGAAAGGAAGCAATGTTAGTTGAAGAATTTTATCGGGTTGTGAAGAAGTATCCTGTGGAGGGCGAGAGACATGCACAATTAAACCCGCAGGCGATATATATCAAGGATGTGGATAGGTTTAGGGATAGCCTCGGATTCTTCGAGAATTCTAACCTTGCTGACACCGAGATGGAGTAGGGACTGGTTTTCGTTTTGGTTGGAATTGCTATTCTGAACATGATTTGGATGGAATCGCACTTGCTTATTTATCGTGTTTATTTGCTATATTACTTTATTACATACTTATCGTAATGGCTTACGAATCTAATGGCACAGTTGTGTCTCTGTGAAATATATTATATCACGCAATCTGTCTGACTTGGTGAAATTCTATATGTCGTCTCACATTATTTATATTCCCAAGTCTACTGGCACACTTTATTTGGTTTGTACACATTATTGTCATTGAAAACTAATATAAGTTAGTATTGAAGTTATATTATGTAGAGCGGTTTGACATGAATATTGTATTTGATTCTATTCATATGATATTCTACCAGTCATAGAATATCCTACACTCAGCAGGGAAATAAGCATTTTTCAGGGAAAAAAAAGTCTAATATTAATGTCATCACTCATGCAAATGGCTATAATCTTATTGAAAGATTGAGGTCCATTTATATCATACATGGTGTCTTGGGTAGGTGTATTCTGGATAAGTGTCGTAAATGGAGCTTGCATGTTTGTTTCGTGCGGTGTAAGCCTGACGCTCATGTACAAATGTTGGAATAATCATTGACTTCGAATGATGCATATAATGAGCATCATCCCATTCTAGTTTGTACATTGGACAAACTATTAACTAACGGCATTACGTACTGCCCGAGCGGATCCGCGCTAACCTGAATGTACGGGAATACAAGTGTATTGATATATGAATGAATGTATTGCATACATCAAGGCATCAAGAACTATCACGTCTTTTTCCTTTTGTCCGAAGCAGCTACAGTACAAGAAAACCTTCTTTAGCTCACACACGTATACAAAGTTAACTGTCTTCGTTCCGGGTAAGGATTTGGATTAGGCGTATACGAGTACTTCGTAGTCCTGTTAACATGTCGAAGAAGTATTGTCATAAGTCAGTAAACCACGACGGGAATATACGAGAAAGAATAGAATAGAGGAAAAGGACTAACATCAACTTGAACCTCCTTATCGCCCACCGTAACATACGCTCCATTCAACTTCGGGCTCGCCTTACCAGGATACAACCCCTTCTCACCACCTCCACCAATTCCCATAAACCCACTATGCTCCTTCGCATGCGCACGAGCAATCGCCAAGGGTGTCCCGTCGTCCTCGTGTCCGCCCTCAACAGCACGTGCACCAAGTCGGTCGAAGGAGAAGCTACCGGACATCGGGACCCAGCGTACACCACGTGAGTCGCCGATCAGCGTCTCGTATTGCTTGACGTGGATCGCTTCGTGTCCGAAGCCGAAGAACGCGCCGACACCTGGTCTGCACTTTCCGGGTTCTATATTTAAGAGATGGATAGGATTAGGTTTGGGTATTGTTGGAAGGTGATGGGATGGAGAGTGTGCTTACGAAGTCCGCCCTGATCGAATATGGGTGTTGGGTATTAGAGTGTCTAGTATATTTAGTAGTGATATGGGAGAAAGAACAACTCACGATGTGCGGTGCTCTAGCAATGTACCAAGGCTGTCCGTTCTCTTCGCCGCCGAGCAAGAGATTGTTACGAAGTTCAGGACGATCGAGGTATTCACTGTACACCCAAGTCACAGGGGTACGAGGTCCTTGGCGTAAGAATTCCTCGGTGCGCTGACGTGCAGCGACCATCCAGTTTTGCAACTCCCAAGCCTGGGCTTTTTCTTCTTCGCCTCCCTTCTTGTGTTTCTCATGTGCATAGTAGGCGCCACCCGCGAGTGCGCCAAGTCCGAGTACGAGGCCACCAGCGAGCTGAGATCGTCGGAGAGATAGACAAAGAACAGTGCAGAGAGATGCGATCAGCTTTAGTTTGATAGTTACGGAACGTCGAAATGGGACAATGGGTGTGTAGAAGCGGTGTACGAACCAGAGCGTCTTTCTTCCCGTCGTCGAGATCATACCACTTCTTCTCGGTCTCATGCTGTTCGACCTGGACGCCGCTGTCTGTAGTGTATCCGGTGTTGGGCGCTGATTATACGAGAGCAGAACAGATGGACGGATGTGAGGTCAGTGAGACACAATCAGTTCATCACAGTCCAATGTCGATGCATACCTTGCGGAGCACTCTCCCACTTCGGAGGTGGTGCCTGCTGAGGTTGTTGAGGTTGGCCGTATTGCGGAGCACCGCCTCCGCCGCTCCATGAGCCTCCGATGTCCTCCCAGAGAGCAGGAGTTGCGTTAGGTGGCCAATCGGGCTGTGATCGATGGCCTTGGATGTTCCTATATCTCTTGCCTGATGAGAATATTAAGCGTCATAACCCCCTAGCATAATATACAGGACATACCTTCAAACTCGACGACGTCGCCGGGACTGTATTCGACAAAGTCGGATTGCCACTGGCCGCGGTCGGACATGATGGTGATGGTCGAGATCAATCAAGTAGTGCCAGTAGTGCCTTGTGATTTCTTGACTTGAGCTGAGGGATGAGACTGGAGTTTGAGGGTCCTTATATAGTGTACTTGTCCATATGACGTTTGAGCGTCGCGACGAGACCGCGCAAAGGGACCCCCATTCTTCACCCTTTCACAACGAGCTCACCTAAGATGATAATCACGTATTTACGCCTCCGCTTGCTCCGTGAGGTCACTGAGACACGGAAGCGCAGATATATATAGTCTTCTAATGCACAATCGATCTCATTTGTGAAGATTGAAATGCTGCGCGAGACCGGAGAAAGGAATGTACCTGAGGACGAAGAACTCGCCAAGGAAGCGGGATGCAGCAGGATGCAGCAGGATGCAACGGCATGATGAGATAAAGAGGAGCCGGTGAGCCTCGTGGATTAACCCAATGCTCTGGGACAAGCAGGTATCATAACTGATCGATATAACAACTCAAGTTGCACTGTGGACCTGAAGCTCAACTCATATTCGGTCTCAACGTCGTCGTATCCAAGAAAGGAAATCGGACGATCACGGCTCCGCTCCAGCATAGGAAAGCAGAATGCACGCCGTCTTTCGTCAGTATCAAAGCTAGTTTCTTCTTCTCTACCATTCTGTCTCCTCTCCAAATTCGAACCATTATGCTCACAATACGAGTAAGGTCGAAAGCGGCAGAAATCTAACAGAGAAAGTTTGCTCCATTCGTCCACAGATCTGCATGTGTGTGCGTGCAGTGCAGAAAGATTCGTTGCTGCCTCGTGGCATGTTCATTGTTGACTATCTTTCCATATACAGACAACCAAAAGGACTCCACGTTTTTCCGTCAATGTGACTAAATCATCATCCTGTTAGAGCTATGCAGACTTAATGTGACTCCCATGAGAACCTGATTTCGGGTTATAAGTATACATAGACATACCCCTAAAAGAGGGGTAGGACAGCCCATTGCACTGCGTGCTCCGCATCTTCTTCGCTGCGCGAAGAGCCTTCCTCCGGAGTCACAGAATTTTTGTGCATTTGACAATTTACGTTCTCCAAGACTTCACGTTGTTGCGGTAGTCAGCAAAGACACTCAAGACTCAGAAACAGCTCAGTAGCGCAGTATCTGCCTCTGCAGTGGCCCTTTCATTCTTGCAGCGACCACAAGTCCATTTTATTATGCGGAATAAATTGATTATTTTTTAAAAAGAGACCCGAGTATATAAAGAGGACCAAAGAGGGACGCGGTGCAAACAAGTAAATACAGACGCACTCATCCCGCGGCAAGCGCTTAACCGACCGACAGTTTCTTTTCCTCCAACTCCATCGTCCTCCACCTCGCGTCCTCCATCGCTGACGGCCATCTCATCGTCGTCGCCGGCGTTCGAGCCGCCCTTGACGCTCAAACAGCCCGCGTCTCCCTTTACATCACCCCCGCATCACCCGTCGCCGTGTCCATCACGGCTCGACGCCCACCACGACGGACGTCGCGCGATGACGGGTCCCGAGCGCACCCCGCAATCAAATGCGCGCTTCGATCCCATCGCGCACGTCGTACTCGAGCCCTACTCCGCCCCGGGCACGCTAAGGTCCACAAAGAGCAAAGGTAACGCGCCGCAGCCACCGCGTCCACAAAACGCGTGGATCCTTTATCGCGCCTGGGCGCTCAGTGGTCTCCTTGAGAGGCAGCCTGAGCTCAAGGGGACTCCTCAATCACAGCTCTCAAAGATACTCGGTACTCAGTGGGCCAACGAAAGTCCAGAAGTCCGCAAGCATTTCGAGCATCAGGCAAACCTGAATAAGGAACGGCACGCGCAGGAGTTCCCGGATTATGTTTTCAAGCCACAGAAGAAAGAAGAAAAGGAGAAAGAACGAGAGGAAAAGAAGAAACAGAAGGCACGTCTGCGAGAGGCAGAAAAGTTGAAGAAGGAAATCGAGAAGGCGTTGCGTGCTGGTCGTGTTCCACCGTCGATGATGGGTATGCCGGCAAATGCACATGAAGGCGGACTAGAATCTCAGCTTCAGAACCTGGCCGTTTGCAACTTTGGTGATCTCGGGCCCTCACCTCCCATGTCCAAATGCCCGTCTTTGTGCCCGTCTCCTGTAATAGCTGCAGCGTCGGTCAGCAATGAGTCACATAGCGCCGAGTCGCGTGTTGAGGAGACATCATCAACTACCGATTCAAGTGTACCGGATGGCAGCGTGTCTACAGAATGCACAACTATTTCTGACACTTCGAAAGCTCCAAATTCGGGTGTGGACGAGTCAACTCAGCAGATTGTTACGGTACCATCCTTATCCGATGCGCCTTGCCCTCCTAACAATTCGATGGTGGTGGATGCGTCGCAGGCTCCAAGCTCATCATTTATTGATGCTATCGATTGGTCGCAGTTCGAGAAGGGTAACGCGGGTGACCTGGAATCGTTCATCCACCAGGCATTCCCACCAGGTGTACCAGGTCCCTTGGAAGATGTGCGAAATTTCTTTCTTACTTCCGTCGTGCAACGTAGCTTATCTTTCTTGTTTGCAAGCGCTTTGAAATGCCTTCAGGGAACATCATCATTGCCCCTGGTTTTGTTGAAGGCTCTTCACAATCTAACGAATTCAACGCTAGCGGACTGGTTAGTATTCCCTTAGGTGATATGGCTGGAATGATAGACGACCAGTATAATTGTGATCTCGCAAACCCGTATGCGGAACAAGATACCTCAAGTGCTTCCAATTCAAATACCGAACAAGCCAATGAAGCGATCTTCATGCAGCCCTTCGTCCCATTGGACGTTTCACTTGAACACCTCTTGTCTGCAGGGAAGGATGTTGGAGACGCCCTTCTTGACGAGCGAGAAGCTTCTGCAAATGGTGAACGTGTTATGGCAAGTCAACATATACAGAATGGTGTGCCTACAAAATCGGTTGCAAAACCTGGCGCGTCTGCATTCCTCCCGAGCCCTCCAGAATCATCTGCGGAGATGACTTCTCCTCTGACTACTGGGACGTTCGATTTTGGAAGTGCAACGAATCTATGTGCGTCTGGGTCAAATCAACAAACATTCGGTAGTCTGGGGTTCTCGGATTCGATGCCGAATACAGATGCGGGCTCAACATTGTGGGGATTGCCTTCGTTCGGTGATTTCGGAGCACCAGATAGCTTTGGACTGGGGTTAAACAATGGTTTGCCAAGCATAACTACCGAATTACCAGCAAACATGGGAGATTGCACTTCTAATCTCCAGTCATCTTTATTCTCCTCAATTCCTACACCAGTATCAGCGGGCCCATGGCTAGGCGGTTCATTCGACATTGGCGAAATTCAAATGGCTGATTTCTCGTCATCCAATCCTATTGCGTCGACATCGGGGCAAACTCAGAAACCGAAAGAGGATGATTGGTTCGCATCATGCTTCAATGAATCAGGGACCACATAGCATTGTCAGCACGGTTTTAACCATTTACTTCTCGTCGGGACGTTTGGTCCCGCGCCGACAAGTTTTGAACGGGCATATGATTTATAACAGACCTTGACTGAGTTCCAATTTGTGCATACGCTGTCGATTTTTGTCGGTCTGGTCCCGTCGCATCGCTTTCTTAGATCAACACACTTGCTTTCCTCGCTTCGCTTTTTGCTTTGTCCTTGCTTTCCCTTTTGCAGTTACTTTAGGCCTGAACGAAGGCGCTCTGCATGACGTGTACCGAATGTGTTTTCCTTCTGTGCAACAACCAAAACATCTCCTCTCACTCCTCTTTGCCTTTATGCTGTCAACCGCTATCTTCTCATTTCTCATCGAACTTGCTAGGGTATTTCATTTCCTTTTCATTTAACTTACGAGCATCTCTACTCATCACCGCTGCATTCATCTCATCGTGTCATCTTTTTAACCTTTTCCTTAGTATTTTTTTCTTTCTGTCCATCTTTCACTTTTTTTTTTCTTTTGATTTGCAGCCGTACCGAATACAATGGTCTCTTTCTGTGTAGAATAATTAAAAACGAAACCCCCAAGTGGTGATTAACAGTGTATATTTGGATTTGGAATTTCTGATGGTTCTGGAATAAAACAAAATACTATATAATCGAATTCGGAATTGTAAATGTAACGCATACTGATATGCTTCCGTAATCGTAAAATCTGTAATAATAATCCGCAGTTGCAGATGGTTCCGGCGTGCCGCGTTGTTACCGTGTTTGGCCTGCTCACTACTCACTGCTCACTGCTCTCCCTCGTATTCATATACAGCACACATACGCACACAACGATGAACCACTTTGATCATTCTGGACATGAGGGTATGGACCACGACATGCCTGATCACGGTGGGCATGGTGGACATGGAGGGATGGATATGGGTGGGCATTGCGCGATGCAAATGATCTGGTACGTTTAGTTAAGTAATGCGTAGCGTGGTCGGAACTGAAATGTGATAATTGAACTGTAGGAATACACAGATTATTGATACTTGTATCGTCTTTCCTCAATGGCAGTGAGTTTCTTCTTAAACCCGTTGTCCTTTCTTACATGTACATATCTCATTTACGTGCCTCTTCTCACCAAATCATAAACACTGAACATGGACCAATGACGTATGAAGCATCCGCTCACACACCTCCTTCGTCCTCTCCTTCTTTGCTATCATCGCCCTTGGGGTGTTCTACGAGTGGCTTCGCGCCTTCGCGAGGAGGGTGGATAAGTCGGTTGCGAGGTCGATCGTTTCTTCGGATGCTGCCGCGAAGGGAAAGACTCGGGTGGTGAGTGGACGAAGGAGCCCCCCTCTGGGTCATGCGCATGGTGATGATGATGCTGATGAGGGTGCGGGTCTTTTGTCGGGTGTGTCGTTGAATGGGAAGGCGTCAAGTGTGTACGTACACTTTCGTTCTTATTCTGGTTCTCGATTTCGGATGAGAAATTGATTGATTTGTATTACTATTTACTTTGGTGTGCTGGATGCATAGGTCGAGAGTGCCACCTTTTTCTCGTGCACTTCGAGCTGTATTGTACGGCGCGACAGTATTCCTGTCTTTCTTCCTCATGTTGGTCTTCATGACATACAATGTAAGTCTTACTCCTCTCCCATTGTCTCGCTATGTCGTCTTCCATCCAAATCCTAATTCCAATATCGAAACCGAATTCATACTCACAAATATACATATATGTATGGCATATATACAGGCATACCTTATTCTTGCAGTCGTGCTCGGTGCCTCCCTAGGACATTACTACTTGAACGCAAATATGGATGCTGACGCTGTTTTGTTCGGTGGAAGCGGGAACGATAAGGGGATGGCTTGTCATTAATTTCTATACTGATTTCTATGTTCGGGTTTTTACTTTGCTTTGGTATTACTGTTTAAATGCTGAATGGAATAGACCATGATGACCTATGCCACACCCTCTATCCGTGCAACACGCTGTGAGAATGCTGCTTGTTTATCTCCCTATGTAACAATATACTGCTTGTGGATATTCTCAAAGAAGCTTTATTCCAGAGCAATTGGTGCACGCCAAAACGCATAGCGTGACAAGATAATATGCTTTATATAGATATAGGTATCAATTACTTTAGCCAATCCTAAGATAGTGGCAAGAAGTTAGCGAAGGCAAATTGTCAAGAAAACGGTCAAACATTCTAGCCTGGAAGCACAAGAAATAGAAATACGGGTTGAAGAGTGGCAAGATGTGGGCAAATGAGGCTCAAGAAAAAGTCAAACGCTCCGGTGAAGAGAAGCACAAGAAAATTAGACAAATGAAACAGATTGACAACCGAAGCGGCGAGGTTCCCAATGTGAATGCATTTATGGTGAGATATGGACAATCTAAGTGCGGCTGCTAGAAGCGGCGTATCGGTCCAAGGTATATTGTGACTTGCTCGCAGCCCGCTGACGTATACCAAAGAGCTCGATGAGATCTGAGCAGGTTAGAAGAGCCAGATGAGTTTAAATATAAGAGTAAATATATAGATGTTACGCCGAACCTTGCATGCGAGCTTCCCTCTTCTGCCTAATCGTGTTCGCATTTTTGATACCAGAGAAAGCCTGTCAGACAAAGAAAAATGCAAAAGAAAAGGAGAAATAAATCAGTCGACGTGGAGAATTGAAGTTGAGAGGTTTAGCAAACCTCGCTGATAAGTTTCTTTTTCCTCTCCTGAATGTCGAGAACTTTTGACTCGACGGTATTCTCGGCTATGAGTTGGTAGACGTGTACCATTTTTGTTTGTCCGATACTAAGGGATAATATGTAAAAGGTTGACCCATTGGATGGCCACGGCCAGTGCTCACCGGTTGCATCTGTCTATAGCTTGGCTTTCAATGCCCTCTTGCCACCAACTATTCGCTTCATTAAAAAGGGTTGCCAGAAACGCATAAAACTACTTACGGGTCCATTCTACAAAGTTGCATCAAGATATGAATTTAGTACTATTTTCGAGGCCATGAGTGGTATCACTTACAGATAAACATTGTTTGCAACGGTGAGGTTGAGACCCAAAGAACCAGCTTTAAGAGAGATGAGCATGACCTTGGGATTTGTTTTACCCACACCAGACCACTGTGAGTTGGTATACATGGCTTTAGCCTTTCCTTTGTTCTTGGCCCTGGCCTTCTTAACTTCCTGCGAGAAATCATCATGGTCATACACGAAAGTGTCGTCCGAATCAACATCACTAGGACCATCGGCGAAGTCATCGTCTTTACTATCCTCCGTATCGCTGGAGCCGTCTATAACGATTGTCTTGCTCTTGCCTTTTTGTCGACCGCTGCGAGACGGAGCTGAGGATGGTGGAGATGAAAGCTGCACAGCATCTTGACCTTCTCGGATCGGGACGGTGAACACTTCAAGTACTTCTTGACGTGACTTTGCCGACATCTTTCCGTCAAAGCGCACAAACGAGATGCTGCAGAGACGATAGATAAGTTCTGCGTATTCAACGGGGATACGAGTAGAAGACACTTGCCCGGCTTCATTTAAGGCCACCTCGATCTGTCGTGTCATTGTCAGTTATCGGACAAGTTTACCACTCATAAACAACACAAAATGACCTTGTCCAAGAATGATGTGAACTGAGAGAAAACAAGAGATTTCTCGTTACTCGGAGTTAGCTGTAGGAGATGAACGAGTTGCTCTATCTTCGCAGAGGACTCGCTTCGCAATGCATTGTTCTCGCCGTAGTTCGATTCTTTCTTCGGGAATACCTGCGTCAGTTCACTGGGAGGTGCAGGCTCGACGAGGTCTGCCATGGTGATTTGTCTGCGATCCTGATGTTAATGGAGACTGTTAGCACCGACAAGAATGTAAAAGTATGAAAACATTATTACCATTGGGCACCTCGCGTCTCGTGTGATGATTTCAGTTACGCTATCAGCAGTATTAATATACAAATAAGGCCATGAGGTTATCGACACATACCACTCGAGACAGAATGCATGTGAGCAACCCGTAATCCTTGGGTCATTCAGCACTTCGAAGCAAATGGGACATTCCTTTGTGTGAATCAGTAACCATTCTGAGGAGATCGTGAGCAAAGCGTTGTACTTACTTCGCTGTCCTCAATCATCTGTGCTAATATTGCTTGTAGACGAAGCTTAAGCTCAGGTGTAACCTTTACAAGCTTCCCAGGCTTGATGTCCTGTTCATCGTCGTCGATAGAGTTCTGCATCTGCTCTACATAATCAACAGGGATCAAGCCTGGATGGAGAACAACTTGACGGAGCCGGGTGAGCATACTTAAGATGCTAGTATGTGCCTATCAAGAAAGTTTTGGTTACTTTTAATTTCCCGGAATGAGATGAACTTACAGTTCTGCCGTCTTCCCGGTCCATTAGGTTCTGGAACTTCTGCTTGGACAATTCTTCGATCGTGTCATAGAGCCCCTACATAACTTGTTAAAAGGATAATCGGATGAAATTATATGTCGACACTTACCCTCGTTGAAGGGTCGAGCTTGACAGGAATAGTAACCATCTCAACCTTCAAGCATAGTCAGGGTATTTGAAAATGTATTGAATCAGAGAAACCCTTACTCCTGGGAGAGGAACGAGTTGCTTTCCATCGCTGCCACGCATCTTAGGGGAATGTTAATCAGGTTTCATGTGGACTAGCATAAGCTGATGATGTCTTTACCTCTTTGGTACGACGGAGGCAGATTTGACTCATTAGCGCCTAAGCTCTTTATGTGAGCTTGATCTGCGTTTAATACAGGGAAGTCACTTACTCGAAGTAGCTGGTAACCTTCGGCCATTCCATCCTTCAATGGACGCAAAAGCAAGCGCTTAAAGAAGTCTTCGCTATCCAATGGTTTGCAAATCTGCAAGAAAGATAGAATAGAGCCGAGGTCCTGCATGACAATGTTAGAATCTTAGTCTCTGCTTAATTACAGACGAAGACATACCCTTGGCGAGTTGATCTAAAAGAGAGTTGAGCTGAGATAGCAGGGACGCGAGACGCTGTTTTCAACGCACAATTGGAGTTCCTGTCACTACCCAGCGACGTTGGGCTTCTAACGCGCAGACGGCTTGGGCCATTTTCGTCCGAGGATTTCTAATTGTATGCCCTTCGTCGAGAACAATCCGCTTTTCGTCGGTTAATTAGTATCGAACCGCCAGTAACAATGCACAGACTAACCTTCCACTGCACACCGAACAGACCTGAACCTGTCTTTTGTCGCTTAGAAGATCCTGAATCGTTACGTGCGGCTCCGCTGCCAGCATGTTCGCCCACAACGACTTGGTAAGTGGTAATAACAACATCGTACTTCCTCAAACGGTCGGGACTGGTAGACCTTCCTGCACCGTAGTAGACGTGGTATTTCAGTGAGCCGGGAGCACAGTGTTCTTTAATTTGGCCTTCCCAGTTGGAGATGAGCGACAAAGGCACCACTGCACGAGCAAGTTAGAGTGTATCCTATGAATTGGTTGGAGCTGGGTACCTACCTATCAGTGTCGCACGGGAAAACTCTTTTGGTACATCGGACTTCGTAGCAAGGACGAGCGCGAGCATTGTTAATGTCTTCCCCTGCAATTCTTCGTTAACAGGGTACGAAATTTATATAAACAAACACCTACCAGGCCCATACTGTCCGCGCAGAGTGCTCCTCTACCTAAAACAGGTACCGCTTCCTGTGGTGTCTTTGTGGCCACTGTAATCCTATAATGAGGAACAAGCCGAATAGTACTGCTAACACCACTTACAATTATAGTAATAAGTCTATATACGATGAATTAGCCGGACGAATGGAGGGAAATGTCGTACGAAATACCTTGTTGCCAGTTTTTCGAAGTTGCCAGAACTGAACAGGCTTATCCTTTTCTGTCTTCGGTAGTTTAGGATATTCATGGTTAATACACCACTGAAGGCCTTGACTCTATAGCCCGGTTGTTAGACGAACAACATCTTGAATGGAAGAGACCAACCTGATGTTTCAGAAGATCGACAAGCAAATCACCTGCATTCAATCCAGGTGGGGTTGGATGTGCCGGTAGTTCGATGGCATCTTCCTCGGAGCATAACTTATCTAAGAGCGAGTTTCTACGATTCTCGTCGTCAACCTTCTCTAGACTGCTGATGATTGAGTTTAGCTCTGCAGCCTTGCGCGATGCCTCTATCAGTTCCGCTTGCTGAGCTTGCAACTTCTGTATTTCTTCTGGAGAAAGTCTATGACCAAAAGACATTTCAGGCTCATCGTACGCGGAATAATTATGTGTTCGTGGTGCCTGCGACTGGCCGGGGATCTCACGAGCGCCATCTGCCCTAGCAGGAGGGAACCCTCGTTGACCAGGTGTTGCCCAGATAAGTTGCCGCTCTAGTTCGTTGCGCCTATCAGAAGCACCGTAAATTTTTAGGTCTCTGTTTTGTCAAAGTTAGAAATCGTAAATTTCCTGAGAATACTTAAGTCTCGTACATCGACATGGAGTATGTCCTTCTGTGCACTGTATATTTATAAGCGTATTATATTCTATGAACACACGTAACACTTACAATTTCCTTCATGCATAATACCTTCTACACTGATTAGCCCCCGGTCCATAAGCGGGCTCAGTTTTGTAACTACTTGACGGGGCAAGTGCCCGACCTGCGTCCCGCCAATGTTTTTTACCTGTATTGCCCATCTAGATATAAATGCATTAAGCGACAATTTACAGACTCTCATTACATGACGCACCTATCGTACGGATTGTGGGGCTCTCTTTGCAGAGTAACCTCCTCCCCAGGGCCAACCATGCCTAATATGATATCAGTTTAAGTAGTCATGGACTCTGCAATCGGAAACAAACCATGATAATACTGCACACCGACTACCTGGGTCTTCATAACACAGTAAAGCTCATCCCTTGTCTCTTGCTGCCCATCTTCATCACCGTCACTTATCAGGTCAACGACATCGCTAGGTGTCAGCCCACTTGACTGATAAGCAGTGGACGCCTGTGATTGCTGTGATTGTGACGATGCTTGAGCCTGCGAAGAACCAGTTCCAGGGCTTGTAGCAGCCTTCCTCTTTTTATTCGCTGCAGTAGACGTGTTTCTTTCGGGTGGAGGGGCATACGTCTGCGCTGACGCGGGAACGTCTGCAGGGTCAACCTGCTTACGCGCAATAGCTTGCCTTATCTTAGCCTGGTCTGCGTGCTTCAAGCTAAGGAAGCCGGGTATATACTCCAAGTCCGTAATGGCTAGATTTCGTAGGATGGTAGGCGTCACGCAGCCCCTGGAACAACAAAGTGAAAGGCTCTTAGATACAGACTGAGTGCCCGATACTGTCGCACACTTACCAATGCCTCCATTTTACCTGTTCGCCGTATTCCCCGAGAACTACTTGTCCATAGCGAAGGGCTCCGAGGTCAATAGGAGTACCTTTGCAAGGTGCAGGACCGTTGCACTTTGCGCGACCTGACTTGCTGTACTACAGCAGATTGAAGGGATTGAGTTGTACGATAATTAAGCGTGCAAAAGAAAAAGGGTACCTCAATCATATGCCCGGCTGTCAACATCCTTAGATTGCCTTCTGTTCAAAGAGCGGAGGACGAGGAATTAAATTTCGAAGGCGTGTTTAGTGTTGAGAAACGAGACACGGGACACGAAACTTAACGCGTCGCGAGTCAAAGAACGCCTTTTTATATTACGTAACACGCGTCATGCTTGATCGGGCTTGAAACCCTTTCACTTCCCTCGCGAGTCGAGATGCACGCCCACATTCGCACGCAGGCTTTATCCTAATGTCATCAAAAGGATGAAGCATCTGGACGGTGGGCCAAACAATGTCAAATGATATATATTCTCCCAGAAGATCTGACCTAACTGGTGGGAAGCAGAGTCGACTGATTTTATTTCAATGCTACAGTATGATGATCTACACAGACTGTTGGCTCTGATTGGCAGAGAAAGAACTTGTAACAGTTATGACTCGAACTGCAAGCATTCATTAAGACATGACGTCCAAAAGCATGCTGAGAAAATAACGTACGGCAGAGAGGTACGACTCGGCAACAATTCGCGCACGTGCATTGAGACTGAGCTTCATTTCACTGATTTCCTTGTCCACCTCCTCCATGAATTGGATGATAAAGTCGACAATTTTATGCTTTAGCATCGTCTCCGAATGGTTGTTGGTGATTAAGAACGAAATGTCATATCCCTATATATTTGCAGGTTAGCACATACGGGCACTCAAAGGAGACTCGAGATAGTACAGGACGCTAAATGTGAGCAAATGGAAAAGAACTCACGGGCACGGGTTTTCTCCGCAGTACTATGAAGCTCTCTGCCCGTTGCATCGTAAAGCGTGTAAATTTGTGACACAGAATTCTCTCGATTTCGTCGGCCTGTTTTATCTTTATGCTAACTCGAATAGAGTTGATGGAAGGTTCAACGTAGACGCGTTCATTCTCATTTCGCGAGATCGTCAGAGGGTTTAGTAACACTTCCTTCGATGCCCTGCGTCAACGGGTGAGCACACAGAAGTCTACGGACAAGATACCGAAGTGTACAGACCTGACTTCCACCTCGGGGAAATTATGTCTCTCTACAACCTGACAACAAACATGTCAGCTTCCAATTGCACGCGATATGTTATCCATTGTCCTCACCTGCGAAGGGAAGTCCTGTACAGTGAGCGCCGCAGTCAACGTTGACCGCACAGCGGCCAGATATGGTCTAAGGACGTTCGACTACCAAAGTAATCAGCAAAGTCTTCTCTTTTCGAACAAGGATACTGCAATAATCGTGAGCTCACCATACGCGACTGCGATGATTTAAGATATGGATGCTGTTAGTCCGTTGCACCGTGCAAGAGGGGTGCGCCGTCGATCACTGCGCCTCAGCACGTGATGGCGGAGTTTGAAAAGCAGCTGTTGAAAAAGAAATTTCTGGCGTTTGTGGTCGGTCGCGCAACCCCAGGTTGTCCATATCTCGATCGCGTCCTCAAAATGTCTGTTGCACTCGCTGTTTGGAGCGTTCGCGTCGAGCCAGGAAAGATAAGCAAGGTCGTTCCTCAGGGAGATATCCGCATCACGGGTGCTGCACTCGATGCTGAGCTCAAAGACCAGAAAACGCGTTCATCCGTCAAGCTCACATACATGATACCTCAGGCTGCCGACGAGGACGAAGAAGAGCAAGATGAAGAGCCTCTTCCTTCGACTACTTCGGTTGTGCTCTGCTCGTTGATTCCTGGACAGGTGCGTTAGTAACTGACTAAAAAAACGCTTCTTTCTCATTGGCTTTTTAGATTGAGCAATCTTCTGTTGACCTCGTTATTAACGAAGATGACGAAGTAGACTTCGAAATTGTCGGGAAAAAGTGAGCTTCGGGACTCCTTTTGCGTAACCATCCCTTGTCTAACACAATTTTCAGTGCTATTTACCTCAGTGGAAACTACATTAGTATGCGGCTTGAACAATCTCGTTTACATCTGGCTAAAGAATATTCTTATCTGCAGCGCAACTCACGGGCTTCTCTGCTAACGAATCGTCCGAATTTTATAGCGACGAAGAGACCTACGATCTTCGCGACGTCAGCTCAGATGTTGAAATGGACGCTTCTGAACTTGACGAGTTAGAGGAGGATAGTGAAGAAGAAGATTCTCAGTAAGCAATCTAACTCTTCACACCACTGTAGTATAATAATACTTAATGCAATTCTTTATATCTTTAGCCGCTTCGAGGAAATAAAAGATGACGCAGAAGAAGCTAAAGCTGTGGTGTCGGGAAAGAAACGTCCTCGCGAGCCCGATGTCGCCGAGTCAGCAATAGACGGCGAGACCAAACTTAGCAAGAAGCAGCAGAAGAAGTTGAACAAGAAGTTGAAGGCTGAGGGTGGCGAGGCAGTACCTAATGGCGAGGTATCTGCGGAGAAGAAACCCGAAGAAAAGAAGCCGGTGGAGAAGACGGAAGAGAAAAAGGGGAAAGAGAAAAAAAAGGAGAAGAAAGAGGGAGAAAAGGCTGCGCCGAAGAAGCCGGGTGAACTTAAGGAACTTCCGAATGGCCTGAAGGTTAAGGATGCCAAGACTGGCACTGGGAAGGCGGCTAAGAAAGGTGATATGATTTCCATGCGCTATATTGGCAAGTTTACAAACGGCAAGGTATTTGATCAAAATACCCAGGGAAAGCCAGTATGCCGTGTTTCTAGTCGACATTAAATGATGATTGACTGATATTCCTCTTTATTAAGTTCACTTTTAAACTCGGTGCTGGGGAAGTGATTAAAGGTGTGCTCATTCTACTCATGACGAAAATTTATCGCCTTACGTTTTAATCCAGGCTGGGACGAAGGCATCGCCGGCATGCAAGCAGGAGGCGAGCGTCTCCTCATTGTACCTCCAAACCTGGGATACGGCGCTCGCAAGATTGATGGTATCCCTGCTAACTCTACACTCAGATTCGGTGAGACAATATACTATTATGAGGATTGGATAGTCATCTCACGGAGCGCCGTTTTTTCAGAATGCAAGCTTCTTGAGATCAAGAGTTGAACTTGACTTACCTGCTGTCATTCGCTATTCTTTCCCATCGTTTCCCCCCCAAAAGGCCGTGAATCTCGACCATTTTCCAGTTCTGTCACAGATTCTCGGCTTCATGTGTATTCCGGCATGCTACTTCCTTTTGTCGTAGTCTCTTTATCCCTCTTCAATGATATATCCATGAATATGAGTGCATGACATCGTTTTATCACTACATGAGATATTGGTTTGATTGATAACATGCTGGGAAAAGTCTACTGTTGTCCATCAGGCTTCAACGAACTCCTTCCTGCCCGCAAAATCTCATCTGTTGAAAGCAAGTTGACCGCAATCACTGAACTGTTTAATCGAGTTAGTAATGCTGGGTAATGATAATCTTAAAGAAGGGTAGTCACATACCAAGAATGGAGCATCTGCCGTTTGACACGGTAGTTATCCCAAATACCCACAACCGTCGGGTCAATCGGTTCACCGGATTGAAGATCGAGTCCTACTACATGTCCCTCCGCCGCCTCATCTTGTAGTGCAACTACAGCATCTTGGACATCAAATCCACCATTCTGCGCAAGTGTCTTCGGGATAACAAGCAAAGCGTCTGCGTACGCTTGTACACCCATCTTCGCGCGACCTTTCGCAGTTCGCTTCACGGTGCCTGCAAGGTGGGCGGAACATGCAACTTCGAATGCTCCCGCACCAGAGATCAGCGAACCGTCTTCGAGCGCGTTCTTCGCTGCACGTAATCCATCGCGCAACGCATCATTGATTTGCGTGAGCGTGTGTGCATTCGGACCTTTGATGAGCAATGTCACGCTCTTCGGATCCTTCACTTCTTCAACGAAGGTATATTTCTCTTCGCCAAGCGTGTGCTCGTATACCAGTCCTGCCCACCCAAGAACATCGGGTGTCAGATCGTCGACAGAGTTCTGAGCGACACCACCGCACACAAGTTGCAGTCTGCGAACAATTGATTCAGTCCCAAGCCTTTTTCAAAGCATAAATGTATGATCGTACCTCTCCATATTACGCCTCTTCGCTCGGCGAAGAGCAAAAATACCGTTCTTGACAAGAACATCTAGACTGAGTGGATCGATGCCTTTTTGGTTAATGACGACGAAACCCTTTGGTTTGGTCTTTGCGTCTACTGCCTGGTCGCAGACCAAGTTTTTGAGCTCGACGATCTTTTTAAGCTTCGCATCGACAAATTTTCGCTCAGATTCTACAAGTTTTTCTCGTTGTTCCGCAGAAGAGTAGAAGAACCCGGAATTGACCTCACTGGAAGAACCAATGATGTCAGTATGAAATTAACAAGGTACAGATCGAAATGAACATACGTCTTTTCATACTCCAGGCTAACATTTAGTGTCAGAATATATGCGTTCTCAAGGCGCTTGGGCATATCTGGATGACGTGCACCATGATCAAGCACGAGTCCACGCACAAGCTGAGTCTCCTGTGCAGTTCGGTGCTGCATTTTCATAATCTCAACCATGTGAAGATCTATAGGTTCTCTCCATGTCTCTTTAGAACCAGGAGGAGGGGGTGGAGGACGAATGCATAGAACGGCATCAACGACGTCCGCTGCAAGCTTTGATGCAAGCGATGAAGTAAGTTTGGTCGAAAGGGATGTGTTCACGACGTCAATCAGTGTTGCACGGTCCATCTTGGATGATTGCTTGAATTTATCCAAGAACTGCATATAATTAAACGCGGTTCAACATGGAGCTTATCATGCATAGCAAAAATTTTCAGATGCGTACGCTCAAGGCCTCTTTCTTTGCTAAATCGTATCCCTCCGCGATGACTGTTGGATGTACACCCTCAGAAGTGTACCTTTCGGCTTGTTTCAGAAGTTCGCCAACGAGAAGGACAACTGATGTTGTCCCATCACCAGCCTGCTCATCCTGTGCAACAGCCGTACGTGCAATCATAGCAGCCGTAGGATTTTGGATCTGCATCTCAGACAGTAGGACTTTGCCGTCTTTCGTCACTTTAATCTGCCCTGCGCCATCTACTAACATCTTTAGTGTACCACGAGGGCCTGACCGACGATTCCGCTGGTAAGTCATCATGAATAAATCTTAGTGGCCATGACTTTCTTACCGAGATTGCCCTTCACCACGCTGGCGAGGCCCATTGCACCATTGGTGTTCACCTACAATAGCAATTTCACAACAACTGAGTTCAAGAAGTTCTCTCGAAGACACCCACTTTAACGTACCTGAAGAGCAGCTGCTCGCCGCACGCTCTCTGCTTTGGGATTAACTAGCTCTATACTGCTTGACATAGTGAGAGGAGAAGGAAGGTCTGGGTGACTTGAATGCGCGCCTGTGCAGGACGACGCGTCAAAAAAACTATATTTCTTATTTTGGTAATCGAATGTTACAGAAATTTCCATTCAAGGATGTATTCCCTGAACTCAAATTCGTAGCCTAGATTTAAATATCATACATAACCAAACGTATTGAAGCATCGTTCAAGAACAAATCCATACTTTTTATCATGTTGATGATGCTTCATCTGTAAAGTCATATGGAAAGTTGTAGAGATGACTTTCTATATTTGGTCAAAGTTTCCGACGCTCTTGTCGCTAGATTTCATGTGTGTCTCCGCTCCGAATCCACGAGACGACCAACGACTTCTCGTGGAGACGTCCAACTCTGACAATGTCGAAGTCGACCTCCGAAGCCGCTAATGATGCTTACCAAAGGACACTTTCTCGTTTAGAAAGTATAAAATCACATTTAAAGACTACCCCACGTTCGGGTCGGCTTCAAGGTAAAGTTTGCATCATTACTGGTGTGGACTCGCTTAAGGGAATTGGGTGAGAATTGTACTTGTTTAGCCCCGCAGTGCTCATAACCCCGTCAATTTTTAGTCGCGCTTCTGCGCTGCTCTTTGCCCATGAAGGCATGTGTGATGATACCTTGGAGTACTGATAATACGTCAGACTGATGAAAAGGGACGCAGGCGCAAAGCATTTGTATCTCCTCGATTACTCTGGCAAAAACTTGCCTGAGCTCCAACGAACAATACAAAAAGACTATCCCGATGTGCAAGTTACTACTGTACAAGCTGACGCAGCTAACGAAGAAGCAATAAGCAACCTCTGTGATCGAGCTATCAAAGAAGAAGGAAGGCTCGATGTGTTTTTCGCAAATGTAGGTATAATTCCAAGGGTTCGGCCACTTTGCTCTGAGAGACCTTCTCACGAACTTTTATAACCGAGTACTGATCATAACCATAACAGGCTGGAATAGTCTCTGTCGACCACCTGGATAGTCTGACAGAAGAGACGTTTATGCGAACTATGAGAGTGAATGCCCTGAGCGTGTTTCTTGCTATAAAATATGCTTCAATTGCAATGGCAAAGCCAAATCTATCCTGCGGAAAATCCGAAAGTGGAGGGAGTATCATTTTAACGGCATCGGGTGAGTCGTCTTGTAACATCAACTAAATTATGGACCCTGAAACATGTTGGTTTGAAGTCGCAGGAATAAGGTCAGGTGCCGGCCCAATCGACTGTAAGTTAAATATGTAGAGTATACTCAACGATGGAAGTCGAATTTATTTGTACTTGGCCAGATTCCGCCAGCAAGGCTGCGTGAGTATAAGGCAAACACTTTGTTATTTCATGGTCAATTCAGATGACGAATCCAATAGTGTAAACAATATGGCACAAACGGCCGCTTATCAGCTCGCAAAGCGGAATATCCGTGTCAACTCCATCTGTCCAGGACTGATTGAGACCGGCATGACGGACTTCACTTTCGAGTTGGCCAGGCGACGTGGCACGGCTGCGAAGATCGGTCAGCTAAATCCTCTTGGACGGTACGGAATTGCAGAAGGTGCTGTGGAATTTTTATTGATGCGAGAGAGGCGAGGCTAAACGAAAGTTCTCAGAGGTTGCTCAAGCTACCCTCTTCCTGGCTTCAGGTAAATCTTCTTCCCCAGGGAGCGGATAAGTTACTGAATACATACGCAGATGAATCGAGCTATGTGAATGCACAGAATATAGCGGTCGATGGGGGCCTGTCTGGTTCGATCCCAGTGGTGCCAGGCAAGTTCCACTGAAGCAGGTTTATATGATCATAGTAGTGGTACTTTTAGTCGTAGGATTATCCTATTAGCACGACAAATGACATATGTCACGATGTAAATATGATGTCTAGCATGACGTTTCTTGTGTCACTGAAAGTCCCTCGTCATATACTGCGTCGTTGCTTGAGTAATCGTCCAGGCGCGTTCGCTTTGACGTGTCTGTAACAGTGGAAGTATGGAGGTTTTTCTGATACACCCACGAGACTCTCCCCGTCATCCGAGTCCATCTTACCTGTACGATGAGATACTAGTAGAAGAAGCCCCCATACAGATGTTCCACCTTAACCACCATCATTTCGACCACTTCAATCACCATACTTTGTATGTCGTCCTGTGTCCCTAATCGCGTCGAACTGATGCTTTGCTGGCATTCCTGGCATTCCTGGCTGGAAGTCCAAGGTAAGAATGCAGATATACTTGCCCCAAACCGCAGGACCCCCTTCAGGAAGAGCTTATCAGGGTTGAAGGCAGTGAACGAGGACTTCGAGAGAGGGGGAGGCGTGGCAATGATCTTCACGAAGTCGAAAGTGAACCGCGACTGCGTGTTCGTCCATTCAAATCGAGTAGCTGCCTATGCCGGCATCTTCATGCAAACTGCCGACCTGCCGTCCGCCAAAGCGTCGGACGTAGAGCTTGGAACACGAGACGCAACAGCGTTACGTTACCCCTCTCGATTACGGAAAGGGAGAGGCCAGAATGGCATTGGCGTGATCTATTCAAGACTTTCTACTTCCCCATCATTAGTCGACTTCCTGCGCTCGTTACAGCTCTGCTTTCGACGACGTTGGCCGGTTAGGAGCATCCACCCTGCTTGTCTCAGATTATCCTCTTCTTGGACTGGGACTCGCCTTATTTGGAATCTGGATGGCGATCATAAACTGAACCCTGAGAAAAATACAGTACAACAAGCGCAACAAATCTAATGTTCGCGGAAGCATTTTATGCGTACCTCTGGCCCAAAGGTATTGACGAGGTGTTGGGAATATACTGCTTGCACCTGCAATACTTCACCCTTGTTAACGCGGGAGCTAGCAATTACATGGTAGTTGTCAACAGAGTTCCACTTTGCAAAGGAGATGGCCAAATCATTGAATACCCGTAGAACTGTGCAACTGAGAGGATTCTGTTGACAAGTGTTGTCAAAGAGGTGTCAAACCCCAACACAGATACTGCAATCTGACAGTTTGAGGTACAGCAGTAATAAACGGAGGTCTAGCAAAGGGACTCGGACTCGACAGCTTGTGGTGGGTGAAGCAGTCGCCCTCCATCCTTCTGTATCAATCCGACCCCACCTCAACCAGTATGAGAAACAGGCAGCATAGGATTCCCTGAGATAACGAGGAGAGAGTAGTGAGCTTTAAGACACTGATGCTAATGATGACACTGACGTGAAGTAATGTGCAGGGGCAGATGGAGTGATGTGTGCACCAATTTCTTGGAGAGTTTGCCATATTATTATGGTTATGGAAGCTTTGAATTGCTGCAGATTGTGAGGCTCAAAAGCTCCTCATTAATTCACTTCACTTCTTGGCTATCTTTATCTTGCGTCTCTTGACACGTTAGGGCGGACCTGGGTCTGTACTTTGATGAAGGGTCGCGAAAGGTAAGAGCTCTTTCCGTTTTAGCGGATTTTCTCACCACATCAAGCACGATTCTAATGATGGACGATTGTCCATTACATACAAGCTTAAACACTATATGCTAGGACGTTCTACGCTAATCGTGTCGTCTTTCCGTACGTCCACTCCCATGGTAAAGACGCGACCGTCGGACACAGTCAAGATGACAACGTGCCAATCACGATGCGCTTTTGGCCCACAGGCGGGACGTAGGAAAGATGACAGACCAGCTAAGTATCAAGCAGCCCGTGCCAATACACAGGGCTGGTCAGGGAAGAGGAACACCACTAGGATAAACACCCTACAAGATTATTAGGAACAAGACACTCCCAAGGATGCAAGCTGCAATCTAAGGACTTCGGTTCCTGCCCGTCAACCATATACTCTGGGTGGTAAACCGCTACTTCTGGATGCAAAGCAACGCTCACTCAGTAATAATATGGCGTCACGTAAGCTCGAAGGAACAGGTGGAAGAGGCCAACAGTTCGGCGGTGAAGAAGTTGTACACCCCGCCTCCGAAAGCCCAGCTAGCCGGGCGCGTTCGCAGGTGGTCGTGAGTGTCAACGCACGTCGGTCAACTTGGAGTGCTTTGGAGTAGGCGGCAGTAGGATGAAGGGGGTGTGCATCGATGGTTAGGAAATTTTGGTGAGCACCCGCGTCTTCTTATACCTTTTTGCCCACCCTGCATAACCCTGCTTACATTCTCATATTGGTTCAATCAGAATGATCTTTAAGGAAGGCCTGATTGTCCCAATCTTTAATCGAATACGTCCGGTGACTATATGTTTATCGTTGCGGTCCATCGCTCCTCGATTGGAAGGTGCACCCTCTTGCTGGGTCAACAGAAAGGTTTCATTTCAAGAAGCATGCCTCCTACACACGACCACCCTCAACATTCTATCGTGCTGTCCCATACCAGCAGTCCGTCTCTGCATCTTTGAATGTGGTGAAGAATATGCCGCATGGATATGGTGCTTGCCTGACAAGCACGGCTTCGAAGATCTGAGAGCGCCAACACTTTGGACCGTACTCTTGTCGGATCTCGGCGGTGAAGTATCCCACTGATCTTAACCTTCTGTACATCATCTATTACAAACATCTGTTGTTGATTTTTGTTTCCCTCCAGGATTTAGACACTTATAGAAACCAACGGGAAGCACGTTACCCACTCCGCCATGCGAATCTCGATCTTACTGGACAAACTCTCCCATCTCTACTGTACTACGTTCACTCTGCACTGCCTTGACACTGTTCACTTCTCTCATATAAAATCCTTCATAGAATAAACCCCGCCAGTCATCGAAAAACGTCAACAATGGGGCACGTATGGAATTTGGGCCTGGACATTTCGTGGTCTAGATGCAAGACTTGGTATTGTTCCAACCCTTCATACCTTTTTCGATGCCGAGGCCAAGACGATAAATATAATCAGCACCCCTTTGATACAAGGCTTGCTCTCACCTAGATCTGGATCTCCTTGGTTCGGAAAGTTGTGCGGAAGCTGGCTGTTTGGAGTGCGGATGCAAAGTTTAGTGCTACAAATTTCACAGACATGCGCAACACCCTTTCGACGTCCTTCGGCTTCGATTCGACTCAGACGCTGAAGATAGACTAGGCGAGAATCTGTTCTTCCACAATAAATCCGAGACCATGATTGCATCTGCTGACGACCAATTATCTAGCAATTTAGTAGTGGACGAAGTGAAGTGAAGAAGCTGGATGATCACCCGACCTTATGTCGAGCTCATGTAAAGAAACTCTCCCCTCATTAAATGAGGGGAAGCGGTTTTATTAGGTCTCCTAACGTGGACATCGCTATAAAGTAGCAGGGATCTTCGTCTAAGCATTGATTCCGATACACGCAGGCATGTCGTGTAGGCACGGCGCCAGACAATCATGATGGGACCACCGGGCGAAGTCCTCGGGTGCCTTGCAACGATTTTCATTAACAAGCAAGTTTTCAGTACCCCGCCTGATGTCTATCGGGAAAATCCGTGTTGGAATGAATCATGGTTAAAGTACTAGTTCAGCGCGCAGACAGCATTTCAACGAGTCTGTAGAGAGGGCCTGAGCGGGCGCCATAAGTGCCGATTGTTCTCGAAGTCACTATGAGGCGCAGAGCCCATTTCACATGAACGTAGCATACGAGGCTCCACACTTTCTGTATGAATCCATAAAAGGTATTGATTTCCGATGATGCACTTGAACCCGAATCTAACTAATGCCATGCATGTCTTTATGGTTCTTTGCTCAGTAGTGGAGCAAGTATCACGAGGAGTAAAAGGCCGACACCCGCTCTGTTCAACTCAAGAACTGATCAGGTATTTGTCTGTACCGTTTACGCCCGTTCAAACACCCTTGCGCTGAATTTAATCTATGGACTTCCGAGGCAACAGGTGTTGTAATGTTGATTGTTTAGTTTGGGCTTATCTTTCCTTTAAGTACTATTTTCGAATATTGCTTTCCGAGAAAGACGCATTTTGTTCGGAAAGGCACGGGTGGGACTGCGGACCTGGCTTTTTTTACTTATATATTGGTATTGGAATGCCGATTGTCGGGCCCGCCAGCGCGGAAATAGGTGACAAAGGTCAAACCGGAGAAAATCCCCTTAATTACGTGGTTCTCCTCCTTTCACTGCTCGAAGCCTTCAATTCAACTCAGATCGTAGTGTAAGGTACGGTGCTATTATTTTGAGGTCCAGCTCCAACTACTAAAGGCAGCGTGTTTTGGCTTGTAGGGCCATTACGCTTTGGTTCGCCGATCCTATGACGTTGAAGTTGCAGTTCTTTGGAACGGATGGCCGTAATCCCGGAGTGAGCTTTTCTCCGTATATACCAGGCCTCACACGTAATGAATAACGATAGAAGACAACATTTTAACGTTACAATTTCCAAGCTCCTTCCACATCCAGGTCGTTGGGAAAGCAGTCCACCGCCGTGAGGCAGCATTGCTACAACCTTTATCTCGCATACATGAAAATCCGGTATTGGATAGCAATGCTACACGGCGAACCATCCATCATGCTCTTGGCACAAAGCAGCCCAAAGAGACTCCGATGATCGATTGAACGTTGTACGAACCATAGTGGATACAGACTATAGTGGTTGCAGTGCCAGTCCAAGAGTGACATAACTGTCGAGCGGAATGGTGGAAGGGCGTAACGACGAATACTTTCATCATCCTTCATCTCCGTTGAGCTAGTACCATACTGGTATCGATTTATCAATCGATCAGCGAAGGCCCCATTGTGGAACTTCACGATTACCGCGGGCGGAACAGTGAAGTTGCTCTATTTAAGGTACATGCATTCAGTTCGCTAGCGTACATGCGCGCTGTCGAGAGTCAGCAGAGCCAGTACCACGATTGGAGCTGATATTTTATTTCATATCTTCGAAAAAAGCAGACCCATTATACGATATTGAAGCCATTACGAGAGTCTGATAGCCTCTGCGTCTCGGACAAAGTTGTATTGTCTTCCGAGATCCAATCATACATACGGAACTGCAACCGAGACTCATGGCATAACTGCTTGCAACCGGCAGGATCTTGAAGGATTTCAATTATACTTATTTTATGCACCTGTGGTGGATTGCATACGTCGTGCCAATACGGTGAAATGAAATATGTCATGAGTTACTATGCTAACTCTTGAATAAAGAGAAGTAATAGTTAGCCATTGGGCAGTGACACATGATTCGTCTGTTCTGAAAGACCGAACGCCCGATTCAATGGAATATCTTTGCAGGATGCAAAGTAGCCCTTTTACATAAAAACACACGAAGTCAGTTGAAAAACGGGATGCAAACAAATAGTTCCTTGCCGATCACTGAGACACGCGAGCTGCAAAACATTGATTAGGACAGCCCGTGCTAGGCTAAAAGAGGCTTTCCGAATCTTTGTGGTATCTGCACGACATGAAATATAGCTAGAAAGTACGAAAGATCTAAGTAGGAAAAAGCATACTTGTGAGATAGGAAAATTACCCTGATTCGTTACTATAGCTCAGGAAGTCGTTACGTGAAGCTGATGGCTCCGTCATTTTGGCGGTCCGCCAACATTCCCGTTTTCACATTCCAATGTCTTGCAACCGCCACCACTTCTCATCGTGCGACAAGAAGACAAATGGCGTTCCATTCCCTACACAAGGGTCCACTGAAGAGAGCGACAGCTGAACTGTGCGCGATCACGCGTTCACACTCCAGTTAGCGGAAGGTGGCATAACGTGCAACGTTGCACGACGGGACGGGAGCACTTTGACTTCGGGGTACGTTCAAAACGGACCAGAGAGAAGACGTATACCGCGGCGAATGCGAGCTATTGGCGTCAGAAGCCGAGTGACAGCGCCATTCGGAGACGCTTGTCTCGCCTATAAACTCTTCCCTTCAGTGGTCATTCGCTCTGGAAAGGCGTGGAAAGCATACCAGATATCAAGGGAGAACGACTGAACGGTAGAATACGCAAAAAAATCACAATTTCTCTTTGTGAGTGGACTTCCGTAAACCTGTAAAAGCTTGCCTGTGGACATTCTGACAGCGGATTTCATAGTATAGGCACTTGGAGACATACTACTTGCAACAGCGGGCCAAAGATGAGCCAAACCGAAAACAGACCCAGAGTATATCAGTACATCCGTTACTTCTCTGCGAATCCCTGATTGTGGGGCGTGTTCGACTCGCTGACAACTTGGAAAAAAGGCCCTCGGTCCGTATTGGTGCTTTCCTGTGCTTGTCTGCGTTCATGCTTCCATTCAACGGGATGTGCCGCTGTCTACGTCGCATACAGTTGAGCTGTAGAGTGAAAGAACATTTATTAATACTTATGCAGAACACTGAATGGCTTAGACCCAAGACAGGTTTTGACTTGACTCGAATGCCGTGTTAATAAGGCTACTGCAGAAAATTCCACTCCTGAAGAGCCCAATACCGGGCAACTATCACAAGGAACACAAGGTCAGACTTCCACGAGGCCTTCATTGAGATAGAAAATTTCTTACTTGTGTATTTCGAAGATGGTGCTCTTCTTATGACATGGACAATACAAAATGGCCTTTTTCAAGAACGATGAAATAAATTATTTCGAGAATTGGCGAAAGCGGAGGACCCACCTGAACGTCCACATCCTCAGTACTGTCTACAGTGCGCATGTACATTTCCCCAACGACAAATCAACTTGTGCCAGATGGGCGAGAATCAATGATGATTCGCAGACTTAATGACCTAGGAGGACATGGGGGACAGGGCATTTTGTCTACGATGAATTTTCCGGACGCTAAAATTCTTGGCTTCGAAGCTCGAATGGTCGTTCCTTCTCTCCAACGTCCGGTACGTTTCACACTCCCTGTTCTACACCATAGGCTCTGAGCTCTTAGAGAGAACTAGAGCCAGACCGAAAACTTTTCGTGCTGAAAAATCTGCATAGTTAGCAATAACTCGTCAATTTCGGAATAGCGGCAGACTTACGGCACTCGTAGTATAATGACTCGACGACGACTTGTTGAGAAGCGTACTGCTATTCATTGCGGCGTTCACGTTATAACGAGCCGCTTGACTGCCAGTCTTTCAATGACGGCATGCTGTCAGCTCATGGGACGCAAAGTGTAAAGCCTAAAGCCCTTCCCGCGTCCCGTAAATCGGCGCATCTTGAGCCACCTAGGCGTCGGCTTCGTGGATGGCGGTGGATGCCGTAAATATATAGGTAAGTATACGGTCGTTGTGGTGAGACGCAGGTTGTCGGTCAGACTCAGCGGACTCAGCGGAGTTACATCAATGTGGCTTAGCACACGAACCAAACGACTCAAACACGCTGCAACGTTCCATATTCGGCGCCTTTCATTAGCTCGCTCATCATGAATGTCGTCTCCTTACCCCCCACTGTCCAGCTCGCTTCTCATCTACGGAATACGAATACAAGACAGGTGCTTCACAAGAACCGCCATGAAGCAGCATCATAGACTATTTCCCCCGCCGCACAAACCAACCAGTCCCTTCTAACCTCATCTGGCCGACCAGCAACCAATCATGATAACTGTCGGACCACGGGTCACGTTGTGGATTCCCTGTCCTCGTGCATCGCAATTCGCAAGCGAAGCCGGAGCTAAGTATGGAGCTGGATACTTTAGCTGATCGATAAAGTCTACTGCGTCGCATGTGTTGTGGAGGCTCTTTTGCGGGCGTCATTGACCTGCATGCAGCTTCGTTGTGTCCGGAAGTCTCCACCCTCCATGAACAGATAGAACTGACAGCCCCAAAGGAGCGAGTAGAAGTGCACGGCATCTATACCTTCTCATGTTCTCTTGCCTCCTTGGTCTCTCGGCTGCAGAACGGCGCGAACAACTTCCCTGACCACGAGCCCATTTACTACTTTGACCCTGTATCAAAAGGGCGAGTATTCACCCAGACGCTCGCTATATTCTTGACGTGAGATACGCATTGCAGACATGGGCTGTACCGAACGATTGGTGAGCTCAGATCCTGCTTCTGCGGGCCGGCTGGTGCAGACACTATACGATTGCCAACTGAACGTGTAAAGTGATTCAAGGGTGGGTGAAGTTAAAGTGCTTCTAGTGCCCACAGATTACATTGTGTACTCCCCCTTTCTCTATCCTTTCCCTTATTATCACGACATCGTCAATACCCTCGGCATCGATGAAATGGAACCGCCTTCTCCTGCTTGCTCTCGGCCTTCCTACAATTTCGGGATTTATGTACTGTCTTCTTCAGTGTTGACATACACGTTGTCGTTTAGGTACTATAGTCAATCCTTGGCCACGACATTTTCCCTCGTAAGTCGAGGCGACAGTCTGCCCATAACCCCCCCAGCCCTTTGCCATCGCTCATGCAACGCATATGTCGAGTTCATAGAACGTTTAGTTGCTCAGTTTATTCCTCTCTGTGCCTGATAGTCCCCACACTAAAATATTATCCTTCTTTACGCATTTCTTCCTATAATCACACCTTTACTCTTATTAATGAAGCAAACGAGTGAGCATTGCACAAGTGTCATTCGTATTACATCGCAAGATTGAAGTTAAACTACAGTTGCATGCCAAGTGTCTGTATCATTCCAGAAGGTGGGCCGAGAGCAGGGAAAAAGGGGGAAGAACATTGAACAGTGATACCAGGGCTATGCGAAGCGAAGATATACATTCCATAAAGTTATGAACTATATATATGAAAGAACTGTCAAAGAGGATAACACTGGAGATCAAGCATTTTGTGCGTAAGAGACCACTGTGTATTGGCTGGAAAGGGACAAATGGTGATTGGTTGGTAAATAAATTACAATTGCGTGTCGATCGTTCGATAAAGTCAAGCAGAAGTGTCTGATTCATCCCATGCATCCCACGAGGTAGTAACGAGCATCGGGGAGCGAACCGGAACCGGCGAAGGTGGTAGAAAGTCGGAATGTAGAGGACCGAGGGTGAGCACGGGTTGATTCAGTATCTTCGCTAACGAAGGAGAAGAAGTGAGGGTAACGCTCGGCGGAGTATGATGTATCGCGACGGCGGTCCGTTCAGTCTCTGGAGCTGGCGAGGCTTGCAATGGTGTCCGTGTGGAATCGGGGGTACTGAATGCTTTATTATGCAAGAGATAAAGTTTTGAATTGGACGGCCCAGGAAGAATCACATCCTCTTCTCCTGAAGATGCGTCAAAGTCATCAAACATACCCTTCTTCACTCTCGATTCAAAGGCGCGGATGGACAAGTCGGAAAGAGAGGTCCGGTCAGTGGGGCTCGAAGGGGCACTGTCAACAACCATACGTTGATCATCCATTTCTTGAATTTTACGACGCCTCTTCGGTCTTATCTGCTCTGGAGAAGATGAGTGTGTTAATTCTTCACAGTCAGGATCTGCAATGAGCGCTGGAGGTGCCCAAATGCGCTTTGACAACACCAAAGGATTCGGTCGTGAAATGAGACCGAGGCCCTTGAGTGTCGAGACCGAATTTTTCTTCTCGACTACATCACCATCGTCATCCACTTCTTCATCCTCGTCCGAAAGGGGTGGAAGGTCGCACACAACAGATAGGTGGCGCGCCTGTCGTTCTGCTTCGTCGACTACTTCCGGTGTAGCGCCGCCGTTATTTTCTGGGGTGGGTGGGTGTCCATCTGAGGCAGTCTCATCTGTATCATCATCAATGAGCGTTGGAGTACTATCGGACGAGTGTGCTGCGCGCAAAGGACTGGTGCGCCAACGTGATACGAGGTTTGGGTTGGGGCGCAGGTTCAATAAACCTGTTCGCTTTATGCCCTCGCCTACGGGAGGAAGAGGTGGTAGTGCTGGCCAAAATGTCTTATCTCGACGGTCATCGTATTCATCATCCATACGATGACCCTCAGAACATGCTGCCGCTTCGTCTGTAGTAGGAGGTCGACTATTGTTGCGCTGACGGCTCGCCGAAGAGGCACGAGCACCATTAATGGTCGATTTGGTGATCTGTTCAATAGCTCTTTTCTTAATTGGACCGTGTAGAGGTACTTCATCCGCATGCTCGTCTTTGACCTTCGCACCTCGGACATTAACAGTCTTGACAGGTGGACATGGTTTCACTGCGCGTGTTCGTGGGTCAATCTCTGGTGCCATTTCCTTCCTCTTTCGTTTCATTCCGGCGACCAATCCTTTCGAGGGTATAGACTCTGCCCGCACTTGAACCTCCTGTTCCAGTTCCTTAATGAGCCTGAGTTGAGCGAAACGTGCTGCTGCAAGTCTCATGTCTACAGCAGATACAGATGTACGAGAAGCACTGTCTGCACAATCAGAAGGAGTATTCTCGCGGGTCAGTGCAACGTAGGACGCTGATGTCGGAATACGATGAGGCCACCGAGCGCCCCAAATTGCAAGATGACGCGCGCATCTATGCGGAAATGCAGAGGCTTGATGAGTACTACAGCATTTGGAAGCCGCACATTTAATGACACACCTTTGACAATCCTTCTCTATTTCCTTAGCTTTTGCCTTGCTTTTGCCTTTACCCTTTCCCTTCACAGGGGACACATCTTCTATGTCCTCAGCCGGTAAGGGATTCAGGCAGGTCATGCAAGAAGGTACAGAGGGAGCTTTCTTCTGCTTCAACACCTCTTTGTCAGGGGTTACAGCTTCCATTGCTGTTGCCTTCAACGCAGTCGAGGATCGGCCACGAGTTGAAAGACTCGTATCTACCGGAGTCTCCTCTTTGACCTGGAAAGACGTTGAGCCCTCTGGTAAGGGATACTTCCGCGGTCTGCCGCGGGGCTTTGTCACCTGTGTCATCGACAAGGATGCCACCGCTGACTCAGATCGACGTGAACGAAGGTTGAAAGCACAACCTGAAGTCCCGGTATTCTCGGATACGGCGGATGCGGAACGACCCTGTGAAGGACTGCTTGACATCGAAGCCTCCCTGGCCTTCTGTCCACGTGTCGTGATGACTGACTTGAAAGATGTCTTCTCTGTTACCGATGCACTGGCGGACTCAGGGTCGTCTTTGGAAGGTCGTCCTCGTCTCTTCCGTGACAACAGCATAGACGGGTTTGGGGAAGCATCCCGAGACGACGCGAGTTCGGGAGACGTGGGTCGCGATGACGCTGGGGCATCTGGTAGACTTTCGCGGGGATAAAGAAGATCGTCGACGGATTCCACTTCTTCGTCCTCGTCACTTCCTTCACTTTCTTGAATGACACGATAAACTCCTCTTCGTGTCCGACGTTCATTTAAATTCACCTCTACCTTTTTCCCTGAATCAGCTGTCACAGCAGAAGACGTGTCTGAGTCGCTGTCATTCTCTGAATCCGACCCGCCGTTGTCAAATGTCGAGGATTCCGCATTGTCATCGACTTGAGGGGCGTATCCACCTTTTCCACGCCGCTCACATGTCTCACAGAGGCAATGACGATTGTTTTTCCCAACTGTAATACAAGCCATTAGTGAAGCAAATCAATGCGCAAAGAAACTCCGTCACTGACAATACCCTTCTCCATAGTGTGCTGTCAGTTCCTGTCCCAGAGCAATAGGTTTGATTGTGCGGAAAGTTATGTATCGACCATCTCTGAACAGTTCGCAGTTATTGTCACAGTCATGCTGCGTAAGGAGTCAACGCCACTAATCCCGCATGAATTGTTGTGGCGGACACTCACGTTCACAAACCGAGCAGGTCCCAGGAACAAATGATTCTTCTTCAGCTGCTTCGAATGGATGACACTGAAATCACGCCGTCCACCGTCAATGCCTCCGCTGGGGTTTTTCAGCTCTTTGTCTTCATCATCCGTGAGCTCCGCTAATGACCCCTTAAGCTCGGATATTAAAAACCCGGCTGGCATTGGACGCGTCGCGAGGATGCAAAGCTCATTCTTGCCGGTAATGCGCGAGTAGCGGGTTGTCTGAGCAATCTCTATCGAGCCATTCGGCAGGTACAGTTCTAAATAACGCGACGCGTGACTGGCGTGGGCAATAAATAAAGGGGTTTTCACGACTTGCATGGAAAGTGAAACTCACGTGGCAAACGCGTTTATCTGCTTTTGCTTGTAGTCTTGGATGAAGTATAGCACGGAATGAATCCTTGAAACGATAGATCGATTGGGTGAGACAAGACGCGACATAAAAAAACGCCACGGAAACTCACTCAAATAATTCGCTGATGCCCAGTTTTATCACCTGTCGCTCATTCTGGCGTGCATGAGTTATCTGCAAGGGAGAATGTCGCGTCTTTATAAGTGCGGCCGCGCAGGATCAGGCGGGACCAGGCTTACGCGCTGGATAATATTTAAGACGGCCTGCGAGTCCGTTTTCGGCAGTCTACGCTCCGGATTCATTCTATGTACGAGGAGAGGGGTGATACCGCCAACGCTGCTGACTTTCTCTATGAAAAGATGGCTGAGATAGTCGTCGTCGCGAGAGAGGTCGGTCGCGTTCATGCATTTCGTATATGCCCATGGGACGCGAGAGATCCTGGTGCTCGGGGCAGGAGACTGCTTTGACGGTTTGCGACCCATGGTGGGGAAGAGAGGGGCGGCGAGCGCGTCGGGAGGGCGACGACGACGGGACGCGCGAGTTGGTGAGTGGAGAAAGGAGGGAACCGATGATGAGCTAGTCGGGGGTCGCGCGCTTTAGCACACGAAAAAGAACCACGCAGCTATGGCTGTGACGTACTCAATATTGCCTTTTACGGTATTATCACGTTATAACGTCCTGAGACAAGGACAGCGCATCTCGACTTTTCCAAGGCCCCTTCCTAACCTGATTTTATTAGAACCACACGTCCAACAAGAGCAACCACCACGGGCCTTTCTCTCCTGTTTCTGACGCTGCGAAATTTAAAAGTACAAAAAAAGAAATTTTTGTGAGGTACTGCCTCCAATCCGTGGCGTCTGACCAAACACCGCCCTGGTCGCCTTAATGATCACCTCCGGCAGCGGCATTTGCCCTTGTGTTCAAGCGCGTTTGCCAGGCGGAGACGAAGCACTTCCGGCTGGTTTCATGTGTCGCCCTGGAAGATTGATGGCGCTCTTAGAGTACTTCCTCTCTGGCGTCCCGAGCATCCCTGTGTGGTAAACGCATGCAAATTTAATCATTATCCTCAATTTTTGTTATAGAAAGCCGAAAAAAGGACTTGAAAGCCAAACCGGACTACCCAAATTTCTAGCGAGAAGGGACCGGGAGAAGCTTTGGTGGCTCCGGGGTTGATGTACCTCGACTCCTCCGAAACTTGCTATGGAGAAACAGGAGCTCTAGTCGCCATGTGAGTTAATTTAAGCTTTGAGTCTCACCCGTGGCAAGGTTACCAGAAGGAAGCTTTGTGCACAGCGGACGCAGATAAAGTTGAACTGGTCGGTATGACGCGCCGTTCCCAAGGCTCAGGGAGTGTCTCTCATCAAAGATGTCAAGGTTTCGTCTTCTTTCTCAACGACTGTCAAGGAATTTTAGCGTGCAAAGCTTATCACCGGAGAAGCCGGGTTGAAACATTCGAGACTCAATGATCACCACATATCCGGCGGGAGTGGCACGTTGCATTAGCATTAGAAGAACACGCCGTCCGGCGGTCACACTCCGGTTTTGTGATCACCGTTATGCTATGCGTTCAGCCATAAACCTTCTGGAACAGGACGAGCACGATTAAAAAGGCAAAGTTGACATCTTACACGAGCGCAAAGCACTCTGCTATTTTAAAGGAGGAATCTACTCCGATCAATCATGACGATTACAAGCGGACGGTGTTTCAGCAAGTTTCATCAGTGATCAGCCACAGATCCGGGCACGGCCTGGCAGATTGGATTCCCCATCGAATCTGTGCTTGACGGCATGCCCCGCACTTTAAAAATATCAAAGTGGGTCATATATTTAAAGGCGAGCATTTCAGTACTTTATTCGCCCAGTGAGTGAACCAGGTCAAGTTAATTACGACATTTTCCCGGATCAGCTTTAAATTTTCATTTCCGTTGATGCACTTCCCGCTTCCTTCATTATCTTCTTCGCGAAGCATATGGTCGATTGCCCTTCGCCACTCGACTCTACTTGAAAGTTTTATGTCGATCCACTTCTTACATGGTCGACCGGTCGTATGGCGATTCCAATGTGGCAGCGACACTGATTTTTTTAACTGATTTTCATGACGATGAACGTCCCGCGTTCCGGCGAAGCGATTCTTCTGAACCTTGCTTGACTTCGATGCATTTCACTTCCGACACCAAATTATTTGCAAAGAAATGAATTTCTTTGCCCCTATAGATAATCTTGCCGGAGGCAACGACTGCAAAAACCACGCAATTCGCTTTGGCTGAAAAATTCAACAATGTCTTGGCATTAGTTATTCGCTATTTCAAGTGTCGGTGCATTGGTAACATTGCTTCTCGCATGTATAGAACTTATATTCCATGAAGACTTTCGCGACAGGTACACAGGGCATCCTCCCAGAAATGACGAGAGTTGCTCCTCAGAAACCAGTCTAACTGCCGAAGTCCTGCGGGCTTCTTCGCATATAATTAGTCTTGAATTACGTGGTATATTCGGTTCATTTTGAAGTCCACAACGTCATGGTACGATTTCGTATACCTTTTGTACCTTGATCGTATCATATGGTCTTTATAACTCTCGATGACTCTGTTCTGGTGCAATGTATTGCGTTACCTAGGTTTGCTGGTGCTTCTGTTCACGTAGTTATAGCATATAAAAATAGTTGTGATTAATTATGCTTTAGCTACCAAATATTCGACACCAAGGTATTCTAGAGCCTAATAAAGACCGGATGACAGTTTACTTACATGCACGACCTTGAATAATACTCAACATTTACATGTCTACCCTGGATAGTGCGTCGTGACTTACATAGAGGTTTAGAATGATGCAGAATACTTTATTCTCAAACAATCTATGCGGTAGTTGCTGAAACCACAATGCGCACTTTACCTTTCCATAATAACTTACCCATAGAGCACGGCTGACTTGTTCATTGTGTCAACTTTCTTGTATATCATGGTAACGGGACAAACAAATATTTACATTTTACTTTAATATATAAAATTTAAAAGCGAACTAACGATTATAATATGAAGTACAGGATTGGCTATTATACCAAAGTCAACAGCGAATGTTCAGTGAACAGGAAGAAAAGGTATCGGAATATCCTCGAGATTATTGCGATTGCTGTGTAGTATTGGCGTTAGTGTTATTACCAGTGCCACCCGACATAGCAGTAAACGCGTTAAAGTTATAGATATTCGCGTTATCTTGGAATGTGAAATTACTCGGCTTAACTTGCGCGACGACTTGATTGTTTCTACTCAAGGATGCACTCATGGTATCACCAGGTTTCAAGGGAAGTGATAATTCGGAAAGACCGGCTTTGACTTGAACAGTCTTGGTGATTGACTTTGTCGAGAGCGTGACGCTTGATTGTTCTTTAGCAAGAACAACTGCAAAGAGCGCATCTTCCATCTATAGATAAATCATGAATCAATATCACGCAGGGAAACACATGCCAGGTAGCCAAACGTACGATGTCAAAGTCTCGCGGTTTGCCTACAGGGTCTGAGGAAGTAGCGTCTTTCTTATGTGGTCTCGCCCATAAGTAGATCTTATCTTCTTGAACGGTCGGGTACTTCCCAGTCTTGTATGCAGTGATAAAGTACTTTGTCATATCAAGGAAAGCGCTATGGTCAAATCCATTGACCCATGCTTGACTATTTGGTTGCGCGCCTTTAATTGGCCCGATGTACGACGACTCCCCGTAGTCGTTCCAAGTGATTATCTCAACCATAGGGAACTTGTTCCGCGCAGAGATAATAGCTTGCCAACGAGTTGGATAGAGTAAGTCGGATAGATACACCCACTGGACAATAAAAGTCAATGAACGTGCAGAAGTCGTATTTATGGAACATGGCTTACGTTCTTGTTGTAACTTGACGGAGAATAGTGCGTGAAGAACCACGGAGATGCTGAGTCATGGAAATTGTTAGTTTGTCTCATTTCAAGGTAGATAATCGTTTGCTATGAGCGTACCCCCAGCCAAATATAGCTTATCCTTCAGTGCACCGATGTACTGCTGATCCGTGTCCAGGGAGCTCGAGTAGCCGTGGTTAACATCACTAATTTGAGTTATTAATTGTGAGTACTGTGTGTTAACCACGTTGTCCTGCGCCGCTCCCGCCTTCTGCACTGCAGCTTTGAATGTGACGTTATTAGCGGCTATGGGCCACGCAGAGTTCCACTGAAATAGGTGTTATGGTCAAGTCGTCTACCAGAATCAGTGCGTAGGATAACATACATTGAACTCGCCATCAATAGCATTTGAGTAACTCCCAAGAGTCGTAGGATCGATATTGAGGTTTGGAACGAAGAATATGTTGCTTAGCTGCGATTTAAACTGAGAAGACCACCCTTGTGCAGCATTTCCTTGGCCAAATGTGCACTGTTCGCCAGAGAACGTAGACACAAAAGCCTTGTTATTGTATTTGAATTGCGCTGGATGATCTGCGTATGCCGTTGCGGTCTTGCGTAAAGCTGTAGCATTCTCCGGAGAAACACAGGGAAGGATGCTGGAGATGTAGTATCCTAAGCTAATGCCATATTAAGATGGAAATATTGGAAATCACATACGACATATCAAGAGAAAGGAACATCTTGAAGTTCGAGCCTAGCTGCTGTGCTGCTGTATAGGCGTTCTTGACTTGATCTGACTGCCACGAGTCGGAACCAATATTCAAAGCGAATGCATCGATCCCACTTGCATTTGCCAATTGAATATCCTGCTTCCAATCTTCAACCGTGTAAGGGGCCGTGTTTCCAACCATATGGTGTGCAAAAACATATTTCTGGTTGGAGTCACGCTTCTCAGGAGGCGCTGCAGAAACAAGAGTAGAAAGGATCGCAAGCACTAGGGCAAGTAGCCAGACAGGAGATATGAGGTCCCTAACCAGCTTCATCGCGTACGAATGTGACGGAAGTAAGGAACGTTAATGACAAGGAAAGTAGAGGCGTCGAGTATAAAACAGTCTAGTTCATCAGCGCTGGAGTCGCGAGCTCTGCAAAATTGTGGAGGCTAAGGAGAACCGTCTGCGAGGCACAGCGAGTGGGTAGGACGAAAAGAGAGACAACATAATACTTTGCCCATGCTAATATGGAACTGGACTGAGCAAAGGACAGAAGACCTAAATATAGTCATCCTTTCCCGATTGATTTATGCTGAGTCACTCGGACCTTACCTAATCGATATGTTTCAACGATTTTGACATTTTGTTTTGACTTCAAGTTTTGCTTCTTCCAAGGCAGGACCCTCAACGCTGTTGATCATGACCAAGGAGCACATTTATACAGTGATGCAATGACCTTAAATAACTGAGCTATTTCTGAAAATTCTGCTTCGCAACGCTGTAAAAAATTTCCATTAATAACGGGAACTGCGATTTGTGACGTGCAAAATACACACGTCTACTTTGCCAAGCAAAACCTTTCCAGCACCGGATAATATTCAGAGAACTTTGCCTCGCCAACGGCTTCCTGATGTGTTCAATCGCGACTCACTCCCCACGTTTCCTGACTTGATGATCCGTCTCGGAGTGCTTCACCTGGTTTCTGTCCAAGTCATCAAGGTTACTGAGATGTCAATAGCAGCGAATCGGAAGGGTTCTTGAGAGTCGAAGCTACAACAACACATGTAGTCGATGTTATCTGCAAAGCGAGCAGTGTTCTCGATTCCTGCCAGGTAACCTATGTATAGGATACTTTGAGAAATTTATTTGTCGTCCTCAAATACACTCTCAGTAAATTGCAATCTGTTAGAAGAAATCGCTGGACAGTATATCTCGGTGCCAAGGACTTCGAAGCGACTTGCAACCGGGATCTTCCTTCACCCGCGCTAATTGGTGAAAAGATAGCGTGAGAGTCAGGCTTTGCTGACAGCGGGACAAACTTACATCCATGGCATTGTTTTTACTCTGACAGACGGAACGCACTCCTGATACAGTTCCCGTGTGAGCCCCAGCCAGAACGCGATTTCAGTTGACACGAGGGTGTGTCGGTGCAGGTGACTTGCGGAGTTTGTCTGTAGTATGAGGTATTCAGACTGGTAACGGTCTGTACGGCGTAAACGGGAGAAACAAATCCGACTACGGCATCACAGGAATTCTTGCTTGGCATCCGCTCGGGTTGGGAAGGTTTCTAGACCAATGATTGCGCGTGCACTAGGACAACTGAACAGGCCACTACAGTTCCATGAGTCCCGTATCTCGCCGGACATCTGGTTGCGCAGTACGAAAACACTAGCACTCATCCCTGTCTTCTGAAAGTATTATCAACGTTAGGCAGAGGGCGGACGGAATGATCCTGCTGTTCCCGTCCAGTATCGGCTTAGTTATCAGGAGTACACCTTTACTATCAGAAGAACTCACCACCGAAAGCTTCTATATCCAGCGCGTTTCGTACTCCCGTACAACCATCTTCAGTCGCTGCTTACGGTCTCTGAGCAACAGAAAGTCCGCAACATATACACGTAATTGATCTTAGACACTATAAGGTCATGAGATTGGGTCGGGAAGCGAGACCAGTCAAAGGACTGTTCCTGGTGGATGTTTCTGCTGTTACACCTTATCCAGTAATTGCATAGAGACGGTCGACGAGATCATTAGCCTTGATGTCTGAAGTTGCTTTGTCTTCCCGTTTGTTTCCTTGGCTCGTGGGAACATCACGGATCCAGATTGGACGTCTAACTTTGATGGCACCGTCTTTGGCACAAATGAGATGGCAGTTCTGAAACTGCGAAAGTGTAGCTTCCCTTCAGAGAATGACAAAGGGGCACGTTCGTCGTTGCCGTGTACCCGCTTACGCCCCCGTCTTGATAAACAGATATGTGATGTGCACACGGATGTGCCTTTGTGCTAAAAACTGCAGTTGTGGCTGGAGGATTCCACCACGGCTCGCGTAGGCTGAGGGCGATCAGATTCCTATTAGACGAAGTTGTTCCCATTGCCCGCAAAGCCTCCAAGCTGTGATTCGCCGTGATAGATCCCAACAGGCACTTACGTTCGAGATTGCTGAGTAGCCTTGACAACAGCGTGCCGCCCGCCGCTAAGAAAGGACATGCCGGCGAGTTGTTTCCGAGGCACGAACGGGAAGATGGAGATGGAGGTCAGAAACCTTCGCCGGGGAGACGGCGATTGGCGGCCAGCGCACGATGTGCGGATTATTAGAAAAACTATGAAAATCATTAGACATGCGTCGGCTGCCGTCGTCCAGGTGATTGAACATAGGGTAGATAAAAAGCAGATGTTGGTTTATGCATGGTCAAGACTAAGAGAACTGCTGCTGTTACTGCCGGAACGTATCCCCTTACCAAACCCAACGACCTTCGACGTTAGCGTGTTGGTTCGCCAAGTATAGAGACCCGTGCGGCGGCATGCTGGGTGTCATTCGCTCCATGTCCTCCTCTTCCCATCTCCTCGCAGACGACAATGACAACGACGTGTATTCGACACCGCCGTCGACGCCAATGAATCCATTCAATCCAACATCATCCGCTCACGCTGAGTCTCGGCTTGTCGGCGTGACCTCGAATGGAGACGCGCCTGTGTCTGAGGCCAAGCCATCTCTATCCCGACGCGGTAGTCGACCTAGCAGCCTCCTTCTCGCACAGCACGACAAGCAACACTGGATGTCCGATGTACAGTTAGAGTCGGGCTCGCCAGACGCTCGACGCAGCGACGCTGATGGAGGCAAACTCTATACTAACGCAGATGACACGCAGCCCGTTACTAGTCCGACTCGCTTCGTCGAATCGGACTCTCATGCGTCAAAACAATCCTCGCTTTCTCAGCAAACAGTTTCCCCGGCAAGGACGACGACGTCAGCTCCTGAACAGTACTCCCAGATGCAGACAAATTTAAATTTAAACACTGCAACCAGCACCACAAGTCTCACGAGCAGCAGCTCGACCACGGGCTCATCTACAATCACCCAGCGTCAGTCCCCAGTGGCCGGAGTCGCACAACATTACCCTCATTCCCATCCTCAAAAGCAACTGTCGCTCGCCGCCAAGTCGCCCTGTTTCGTGCACTCGTTCCTTGACAAGGGCGCATCATTGGGCGACTGGCTCAAAGGAAAACACACTAACATGATGGGTGTCCCCTCGTCGCTCGCGCCCCACGCGGAGAAGCCTGCTCTGTACCCTAACCACAGTCAACCCAACTTGGAGATGAATCAGAACAAGCATCCGCACCTGCATCGCCCCTTCGTCCAGGCCATGCATCCTGCAATGCCGTTGCCGCAACCACCACACTCCCCTGGAAGCTCGCCTGATAGTGACTTTGACGATGAGGAAGAAGGTGCGAGTCTTACACGGCAGCTCGCGGAGACCGCCGTAGGCGTCCGTGAGATGAGCAAGCAGCTGGGTAAGTTGGTGTTTACTGCCTATATGCTCTGTGTTTCGACAACCTCCGCGCAATTGAATGCCCCAACCCCAATCCTAATTAACACCAGCGGTGCAACGGCTACTCTCGGACTTATTTTACTACCTTGTCTCTCCTCCACTTCATACTACACGATGACTGACATGCATTATTTCACAGGTCGAGCAAGGATCCGCTCCAACATTCAGAACGTACTCATCATTACGAAGGCGCGAGACAACCGACTGATTAAACTTACCCGCGAGATTGCGCTGTATCTTATGCAAAAGCCACGGAATGATGGTCGTGGTCTCGTTGTATATGTGGACAACCAGCTACGTTACTCAAAGCGCTTCGATGCGGCAGGTATCGAACGCGAACACCCCGAATTATTTGTACCCTTTCCCCGCCGACGATCATCAAGCAGCCATGCTCTTGCTGCAATGGCTAATGGCGATGGAAACGGAAACGGAAATGGGTCTGGCTCGGAGGCTTCGATGAACCAAGGAGGCCAGCTACGCTATTGGACGAGCGACATATGCAGCCGGAGCCCGCATCTCTTTGATTTCGTCGTCACTGTATGTTTTCTGTTCTTTCTTTTTGTTTTCGACTTGGCATTGATTGTTCGCGACAAACCAGCTTGGCGGTGACGGGACTGTCCTTTTTACTTCATGGCTCTTTCAGCGCATCGTGCCACCCGTCTTGCCCTTTGCACTGGGCTCTCTCGGTTTCCTTACGAACTTCGACTTCGCGGACCACCGAGCAGTCATGGACAGTGCGATCGACAATGGCATCCGAGTCAATCTACGTATGCGTTTCACTTGCACAGTCTACCGTGCTGTGGCACCTGAACCTGGCAAGGGTAGGCGAGCAGTGAAGAAAGCTGATACTGGTGAAATCATGATGCGCAACCTGGAGAAGGGCGGCTGGGAGGCACTGGAAGGCGGTTGGAGCGAAGCTGCATCCTCGAAGGAGGGAAAGAAGTGTGGGAAGGATAAAGAGATTATGTGCTTCACGACTCGTCCTGTAGAGAGCTTTGAGGTGCTCAACGACCTTGTCGTTGACCGTGGTCCCAGTCCGTACATGTCTTTACTTGAGCTCTTCGGTAAATATTTCTCTTTGAACTCTTTGTTCACTTTCGCTAACTTCCATGCAGGTGATGAGCATCATATGACAACTGTTCAAGCGGATGGATTAACTGTGTCCACACCTACCGGGTCCACAGCTTATTCGGTATGTGGTTCCATCATTCAAGTCTTGGCACGTCATTTACCTATCCACCATACAGCTCTCAGCAGGCGGATCACTTGTTCACCCTGAGATCCCTGCGCTCTTGATCACGCCCATCTGTCCGCACACATTATCATTCCGCCCAATGCTCCTGCCTGACAGCATGGAACTGCGTATATGCGTCCCATTTAACTCGCGGAGCACTGCATGGGCGTCATTTGACGGGCGGGGCCGCGTGGAACTCAAACGTACGTCTTAGCAGTCCTGCATCTCGCTGATGGCAAAATCCTTATCGTGTTTACTTCCACGTTTTGATTGATACAGAGGGTGACCATATCAAGGTGACAGCATCGAAATACCCATTCCCAACGGTTTGTGCAGATAAGCAGTCGACCGATTGGTTCCAAGCGATTCAGCGAACGCTCAAATGGAACGAGCGTGAGCGACAGAAATCGTTTGTGGTGGTTGAGGAGGGACCTGCCAAGCCGAAATCACAGAAGCATAAGCGCTATAACGAACAGATCACCGCGGCAGTTGCGAAACCGGTTATCTCGGATGTCCCTGAGGAAGATCGAAACGCTGAGGATGATGAGGAAGATGAAGTTTCTGACGATGGCGAGGAAGAGGAAGAGAAGTTCGATATTGACGACTCTAGTGCACCGGAGGCGAGCAAGTCAGAGTCGAGTACTGATCTTGTCGCAATGGCAAAGGCTCGGGAGGAGGAACGGGCGAAGGAAGAGGCGGCGCAGGCACGCGCTGCGGCACTTGCATTGACGGGACATGAAGAGGGCTCTGACACTATTGGTTCGACGTGGTTGCGCGAACGGAGTGATACCATCCGCTCTGGGATCCAAACTCCAGACCGTTTCGCAGGCGCACACCCACACCCCCCGCGCGTCTCACCTCGACATGTCTCGTTCGGTGATGAAATCACTGAATCAGCCTCCTCGGGGACGTCGGGAGAGAAAGGCGATCGAGACCATATTCACTCACCACAGTTGTTGAGCAGTGGACGGTCACGCATACCGCGAGACCGCGATCTGGAGGCCGAGAGTGCGAAAACGCCGACAATGTCAAATTGGGAACTTCGTGCCAGGGATGATGACCAACCGCACCGAGTGCACCGAAGCCGGTCACGCGAGCCTAGTTCCGTCGGGCGAGCATTCGCTGTGTGGGGTCAGGATGAGAGCGACAGTAACACGAGTGACAGTGATGTCTAAGCTTCATCGCTGCCTGCTCGTCTTCCATTTTCTTTACTACATGGGTCGTACGACTTTCTTGCTTTCAAGCACGTCGTTCGTGGCATTGCTTTCCACGTTCTTTAATTCTTGGTTTGCGTTGTAATCTAGACTAGTGCAATCCTTTTGCATTCCGTTCATTTCTCAGCGTTGCTTTGCTTATTATTCACACATTAAAACGTAGATAAAGACACACGGAACACAAATGTTTAGATGATGTTAGCTCATGTACATGTACTAGTATTAACAAGCAATCTGTATTTAGACTTTGCGCTGCTCTGGATTAAGAACGCGGTGGGATAGGACGGGGGGCACGGATGTGCCTTACGGAAGCATTTATCGAGCAAGACAAGAAGGTTAACATGATTGGTAGCTTCTTGATTGAGGCAGAACTTCCCTTGAGCGCAGGACATACCGTGTATGTGCTGCGGAGTATGGCTGCAGAAGAAAAGGCTTTAAGCTTGGGTATGGTGACAAACATGCGAGTGTGTATTCAAGTTTTGCACCGGAGGATGAAGGGGGAAAGATACGGGAGTAGATAGCCGATGCGCATTTAGTCTGTTATCAATGGACGAGGATGGTATTGGCAGGGTCCAAGCGGTCGATCGGCCAGTTGAACGACCGATGCTGCCGATCAAAAGGATCAGACCAGGCGCGTGGTCTGCAGGGTCTCCGCATACTCCTCATGTGCGCCAGATAACGCTCATTTTTTCATTTTCTCCCAGTCTTTTTATAACCCTACCCGATTTCATCGCAGTTAGGATGGAGTCTGACGCATTCTCTCTCAGAGCGCAAGCTCCTTAAGCCCTCCGCGGGCACTCAAATCTCTTTGCTGGTGTTGGTTCTAGCCGCCTTACTTGCACACCCATTCAGAGTGCATCATGTATCCTGCACCGCATCCTTCTATCCCGCAGGGAGAGCTTATCTCGGACGTGACGCACCGTACCGTATCGCGTTCAGATGCCGGCTCGGATAGTCTCCACAAGGGCGAAGACCCAACTGCTATCGACAAGGAGCAGCAAATACTCCAAAGAGAGGTCGCCAAGGACGAAGAAGAGCTCGAACATGACCGCCAACGACAACATGAACTCTACATGAAGCTCAGGCCTTTCATACTCGGGTTAACAGCTGCAGTCATCCTTGGATGGTGGATATCCGCTACCATTCTTCCTGCGACGAGGCATCGCTGGTAAGTGTCTCTTATGCCCGTTCGTTTCTCGAAGTCCCCGGCTGTAATTGACTGAGTGCGCGCTTTGCAGGATTGTACAGACCTTCTTCGCATGGGCCTTCATCTTCATTATCGCCTTCCGTTTCATCCCGAACCGTGTCATTACACATCCCGTCAGCGCCGTTTGGACACCCCTCGTTCAAAATCCATGGTATCGACTTCCGCGTAAAGTGCGGCTCAGCATAGGCTGGGCCTGCTTGCTCGCGATCGTCTTTGGCTCCGCGTTCGGATTCAAACTGGAACCGGTACGTTTCGTCGCGTGACCTCTTGATAAACCGTATGGTCCTGTCTAACCGCGACTTCTTGACATGCATACACCTTTGTATTCCTTATTCACCGCTGGTGTTGGCCCTGAACACCGACTATATGCGCGGCATGTGCCTTTCTGTCTTGTGCCTTGTGCTTTGGAAAATGCGTAGGGAACAAACTATGGCGATAGGGCGATCTCAGTACTCGGGTTGTTCATCTTCCAATGTGGATTCTACCTGTCATCGATAAACAAGAAAGAGATCCCATGGCCTACTGTGATCGTTGGCCTCTTCCTTCAGCAAGCAATTGCGCTGTTTGTGCTCAAGAGCGATGCTGGCTTCTCAATTTTCCACTGGATTGCAATGCTTGCGAGCGACTTCCTCACTCAGGGCCTTGCGGGCGCCGCATTCTTCTTCTCTCAGGACGTGGTTACAAATGACCACTGGTTCTTCGTCAATACAGTACGCAATCGTTTCTCAATATTTCTCTTCGCCGGACGAGTTTCGGACATTTGACCCTCCACCTTGTATAGCTTGCGGAGATCATTTTCTTTATTGCATTCGTGCAAATGATGTACTATGTGAGTTATCGGAGCAATATTGGCTGATAACGAATTCCATTTACTGACGGAAGTATTTTGATAGCTGGGTGTAATGTCAGGATAACATTTAAAAAACCACTCTCAATCTCCGGATTCTAACTTAAGATTCTGATCACAAGGCAATGGATTATCAAGAAATTTGCTTGGCTGTTCTTCAAGCTGATGAATGTTAGCGGTGCGGAAGCCGTCGTAGCGGCTGCTTCTCCCTGGATCGGACAAGGAGAGAGTGCATGTCTGGTCAGGCCTTACGTCGACCTGATGACTGAAAGTAATTAAGAGTTCATAATCATATTATTTTTTTCTTATCTAATTCCTTATCGATTTAGGTGAACTCCACCTCACAATGACTTCCGGTATGCAGCAATCTCTCTTAACGTATCTAAACTTTCCTTTCCAAAATCTTGCTCACACGGTGGCGTAGGTTTCTCAACAATTGCCGGGTCCGTGATGTCGGCATACATTTCACTTGGTGTGCCTGCTCAGAATCTGGTCACGTCGTCTGTCATGTCCATCCCGGCGTCCATTGCAATTAGCAAGATACGTTTACCGGAACTCGAAGAACCAGTCACGCGAGGACAAGTCGTCGTCGACCGCGGAAAAGAAGTGAACCCACCTGCAAATGCCCTACACGCTTTCTCCAAGGGCGCGACCTTCGGTCTCGTCGTAGCCGGATCAATTCTAACCAATGTTTTGACGATTTTGTCTCTTGTAGCTGCGATTAACGGGTTACTTACCTGGATCGGAAAGGGATTTGGGATTCATGAGTTGACGTTACAGCTCATTGTCGGGTATTTGTTCTACCCGATTACGTTTTTCCTTGGTGTACCACGTTCGGAAATTTTGCGGGTTTCGCAGTTACTTGCGACGAAACTGGTTGCGAACGAGTTCTCCGCATACCTGAGTGCGTATCATCTAACCTTTGCCCCGTTACGACATACAGTGGCCTGAACTCTCCTTCCTCTCCCTTGTTTTATTCTTATTTGTCGCACATGAACAGCTCTCCAGTCGATAATGGGAAGCGACAATCCGCTTTCACATCGTGCCTTCACCATAGCCTCATACGCACTCTGTGGATTCGCCAACTTCAGCTCACTCGGCATCCAAATTGGTGTACTCACTTCTCTCGCACCGTCCCGTGGTAAAGTGATCTCGAGGATTGCGGTTTCAGCGATGTTGTGTGGATTCATATCGACGTTGCAGACTGCGGGTATTGCGTGAGTTGTTTTGGTTTCATTCATAATGTGTTTCGATTTCCCGTCCTGTTATGGAGAATTTGGTGCTCACGAATGCCTTTAATAATTTTTTTGCAGTGGTATGCTCATCTGAATCTACATTGGCCTCTCCTTCTCCCCCTCCACGCCTTTGTTTCCCCCTTCAGCCCTCTCCCTCCCCTCAACAACTCAATCACTCTCCCCTTCCTCCTTCTCAACCACCACCACCACCACCACCAGCTCTCTCTCACACCTAGCTGAGGGTAAGACCTCGATGACAACATGATGCAACCCTATTACTCCCGTATCCAACGAATTGAATCGAAACGGTAGACTCAAACGAACGTGTTTTATTTCTTGTTTCAATTATGTATTACAGTACTCATTTACAAAGTATTGTAATGTAAACGCAAGACAAGGATGAAGGTGTAAATCAGTAGATGAAGTTTGATGGGTTTTTTGTCTGATTATTATTTCAACTACATAGCCGACAAAGATGTTGGCATAAGTCCATACTGTTATGAGTTCAAGAATGTGATTACTATTACTACAGAGTAAAATTATGTCCACTGTATTGACATGTCCCTTAGCTTGTGTTATTGTCAGGCTTTAGGTTAGGCTTGATTGCTTACACATATTGAGTGTGAATTTGTTCATCTTTTAAATACAATATACACTGCCCTGTTGCTTTCCACTTATTTTGGTCATACATGCTTGTATACAAGAATCTGACACATTTGCAAAAAGTTACAAAACCATTCCTTTGTCAATCTAATGTGAAATGACAAGACAGGACACTTTCAATACTTGAATCATGAGTTTATCCTCTGACTGATAGTACTTACTACAGTATATTTCCTCCATCAAGCTTTGCACTGTATCCTTTTCTTTGTACAATTTGAGCATACGCTGTTTGGTTGTTCGTTTTTATCGCACTACAAAATAAGATTGTCACGGAATGCACAACTGTCTCGAGTATATGCAACATACTCTAAGTTTCTTCTCTCTACAGGTTTGACATGGTCTACCCGGCCCGACTCTAGCAATCACACTCTGTTTTGTTACACGGCCGCGGGAATGCTTATATTCTCCTTCAAGGGGAAAAGAAATAAGCACTGTTAATTAACCGAGAACAGAACTCGGACACAAATCTTACTGTGGGTTTTGTACGTGTACGGAATGAAGACATTGTTTGTGTCAGCACATTGAAAGTAATGAGACAGAGACAGAAGTTCAGAACACTGGTACAGGGGTCACTGAGGGGTGGAACAAAACTATGTTCCTTTCTTCAAAAGCAGATCACTGTATATATCCTAGAGGTTCCCGTACGGCAGAGTTAGTAGTGAAGTGCTTCCAAGCATATCATGTACTGATACTGAAGATAAATTAACATGCAAGTGCTGTTCTCAAAAAAAAAGTTTTGATGTGCATCTGAACAGAAGCAAACTTGGCCATTGAGATGCTGTTTTGGAGTGAACGGCGCTATAGAGAGGACAAAAGGCTGCTCTGAATAGTAACTTCAAGTCATTGACAGAACAAAGGGCGCATCCATATGCAAACATGAGTGCATACATGCAAAGTAACTTGATATCTGAAAAGAGGACTTTAATTTCGATAAATTAAACATCAGAAGAAGTCATGAGTTAATCAATATATATATGTACAGCTCAAGGACATCATGATGTGGATAACTTTTTCGTTAGTTCCTCTCAGTCCTACCTACTGCAAGTATGTACCATGGGAAGAATTACCTGAATCCAGAATCCAGATGGTTCAATGGCGACAAATGGCTACATACACTGAGTACAAATATCCGGTGATAGTCCATATTTTGATTTGCTCAAGCCAGACGATCCATTCAAGAATTAGTCAATGAATGATACACTCAGTGACTTTGTTGTTGTACTAAGTCATTTCAATAAATGTGAATTAAATAATGGAAAGAGGCAGAAATGTAAATACGTACTTGAGAGTAAGCAATGACAACATGGCACCCTGGACAAGACTGAGTCCGAGATTTGCTTTCTAAACTAAAAAAAAAACGTTGTGGAGTTAGGGCATACTTTGCTATACCTCCACTGGTTCCTGACTCAGCAAGAGTCTTAATGGGGTCATAAATCGAGGCATGTCTGACTGAGTTACTGATATCCCGAGTCGCATCACTTTTTGCCGTCGCCGCGGCTAACATCATCCAATCTAAGGCAGTAGGATGTGGTCATTTAAATGATTGATTAAGATTGCAACGCACACTTACTTGTTGTCGTATTCTGAGTTGATGAGTTGCTCAGCGGTAACCCATGCTTACGTGACAGTATTTATTGTCTGTTTGAGGTGAGGAGTGGCAGTGGTGGCGGTGAGGGTACCATTGAAGATGGCAGGCAAGCGAGAGGGTCACTTGTTGTCTCATGATCATCCACCATGTCTACAGCAAGTGGTGATCACCATCATCGTTATATCGTCTACCTGCCACGCAGTAAGGATTCCAAACCCTGTCCTATTCGTGTTCCGAAGAATGCGGACGTCGATGCCCTAGATGCGGCAATTCGTAAACATCCAAATTTCAAACATCACGTAGAGGGCGAACAGCTAACTTTTTATAAGGTCTTTTCCAGCCATCTTCTAGTCTGCCACTGTGCAGATAATTGTCGTTCTTTCTTCAGTGTGGAATTTTGAATGTGGTCCCACGCAAGTCATGTTATGGACGTACTATGGATTGGCTTTGCAAACACGCGCGCGATGAGGAGGAGGAGGAGGAGGATATGGATATGGGGCTTACAGACCGTCTGAATGAATATTTTCCCGACGGCCCTGTGCCAGAGGACAAGAAGATGATAGATGTTATTGTTGTGACTAAATCCAGTATGTGTTCTGTTCTCGACCCCGTTTACTATATCCAACTGACCGCTCCCTAGTTTTAGAAAGTTTGGATGATACTGTTTTCGGTAGTACGCTTATGTTCTCTGCCCATCCACTAGATTAAGCAGGTTCCTTGCAAGTTTGACTAATTTATCGGTTCAGGCAACAAGCAACATCCCGCAAGGCCCCACAAAGATGACAATGAAATGAACAGGATTGTTGAAGAATTCTTTAAAAGATTGGACAGAAGGCTTTGCGAACATCTCAAAGGTCTACCATGGAAGGATGTCTGGCAAGCCTCGGAGGATACACAACCCCACTACGCGCAATTCATTGAGAACCTCGGAATTCCTCAAGTGTTAGGTCGCCCCGCACTACTCCTCCATTGTCTAGGGGATGGTGTGGTTGACGCGGAAATTCTGTCGGAATTGGCAGATGGATCGTCAAAGTATGCCCCCTCCATTTGATCCCATTGCTCATTACTTACTCACGTTGTCGTACCCGGCCCAGAATACTAACTAACACGTCTGGAAGTGGGAAGACTCGGCTATTGATTGAACTCCTGGCCATGAAATGGGGCTTTTATTTCACAACTGCTGCTGACTTCGCCAACCTCCGGCTCGGTTCCCAGGATGTGTACGATGCAATATTCATGCGGATTCCCAACCATACAAATTTTACCGAGAAACCCAAGGATGTACACAGCACCAACTCCCCAGAGCTGGAACCTGCATACCGCCGCAACCATAGCATTGTTGCACGTTTAGTGTATCAGATCCTCACAGCTCGTGTTATTGTCTTTGAGCACTTTTTGACAACATTCCGTACCCTTTGGCCGGGCGGAAATAAAGACATCAACGAGGCCAAGCTGTACTGGTTGTCATTGCAATTGAATTCCTCTGGAATTTTAGGATGTGACGTATTCAAGGATTTGGCAAAGATCCTTGATGATGCCAGCAACAACTTTATCATGATGGATTCGCTAGAGATCCAGAATCGCTTATTCAGAGCAATATCGGAGTTCAAGCTGGATAGTGGCATCTTCTTGGTACTCGACGAGGCGCAAGTGGCGGCAGAACAATTGACCGGATGTTTTAGGTCGTACCAATTCCCAGAGAAGCCACATGCTGTCCTGAGTCCGATCATTAAATCGTGGCTTGCTGCTACATCTTTTCCGATCATCGTGTCAAGCACTGGCCTGTCACTTAATATGATCAACGAAACTGTAACTTCGGCGGTTGGGAAGCCGGCTACTTTCTTGCCATTCACCACGACTGGCGCGTTTGATGACAAGGTTCGACAAGAGAAATATATTCGCCGGTACACACCTCCTGGCTTTCTTGACAGTGATTCTGGGAAGGAATTTCTCCAGAGAGCATGGAATTTTGCACGCGGAAGGTGCATATTGTATGCATATATAGTGTTTATTCAGCCCTTATTCAACTCTCCTTCAGACATCGCTTTACTGCAGCATTGTTGACTCAACTTTTGAGAGCATCGTTTCAATCGCCTCACAGAACGCTGAATGCCTTCGTCAAGTCCTTATGCAAGTTTACTCCTGCCGATGCTGAGCAGTTCATAAATGCAGAGCCAGAAATTAGGGAAGGCTTTGGCGCTATCATACCACTGGATTTCACAAAAATCACATCGAGTATGTTTCTATTATCTGTGCTCTTCAATTCAGACCTTACCTGTTCTTATCAGGGGTTGATGTGCTTTGCAATGTTAGTAGAGCATTGTATAAATGGCTCGTGCTTCGAACCAGGCTTCCATTTGAGAATGAGAAAGACGACCTGATAGAACTAGGGTTTGCCCGACTTGTCAACGACCCCGAAAAAGGATATATTGATGAACCGCTAGTTCTGCTTGGAGCAGCGCAGGAATTCAGCAAATCCTCCTTTTCACTAGAATGTGAGGCTTTGAGTGGCCTCCAGTCACACGAAGGTCGAGGCGAACATTTCGAGGAATTTGTCGCATATTCCCTCGCGTGTGCATTTGACGGGGAGAGGAAACTGTGCGAATTGTTTTCCTTCGGGGAACATGTCCCAGACTGGGCGCAACAATGTGCCGAACTAGTTGCTCTCACTATGGACAATGGAGTGGTAATGTCCAATCGCTTTCATCTACCACAATATCTCAGCTCTACAACATCCATCGGCAAGAGATGTGAGACAGTCGATGTGACGTTGGAATGGTTCCGGAACCCATCATCGGTAATCTGTTTCCCCGACAAGTATATGGGCCCAGACATTGTTTTATTTGTCTGCCTTGACTCTGGGTCGATCCTGGCAATCGAAGTGAAGTGTAAATGGGTCAGCAAGGGAACGTTAGATAAGGAGGCGTGGGAGAGTGCAGTTTCGACCCTTGATCTTGCACAGCTGTACAGACGAAAGGTATGAGACTGGACGTTGGATAACACTGCACAGCTGAATTCTTAAAATTGCAGAGTTTGGGTGCCAGAAAAACTGACAAGGCCAGGGGCACTGTTTTGGATCTTTTCAACTGTCTAAACCCAATAACCCCTCTTCCAAATGATAAGTGGTTCCAAGACAGATTGCCGGTATTGCGGGTCATTGCATCATTCCCCGCTACACCTTTTGAAGCTCAACGTCGAGGATCGACTTATTATACAACCTTTAACATGGAATACTGCTCAGAAGTAACACATGCAACACGTTTGCTGGAGAGTGTGAGCCTTTCGCTTCTTAATGTCAGAAAGTACACAGGAGATGGTAGTGCAGTTGTCCCGGCCAAGAGGCAGCATACATAATCTGTCTTGGTCGAGAATATAATGGATTGCATAGTTATTGAAATATGTTGTGAATCCATACAGTTGCTTTAACATTTTTCTATATACAATCTGTCTTGTCCACCCGCCGAGTAGAATATATTGTATATTTTGAATGCAACACAGGTTTTCAGAGTCTCCAAAGAATTTGTTTTATCTCGGTCAAAGACAATTTATCTTTCTATTTGCTGATTGTTTCAGAAGAACATCTTGAGTATGCTTAATGCAATCATGCCCGGAGGTAACCATGGCAAGAATTGTCCATTACCTCGAACAACAAACATATTGTATTCCGATTTATTGTTCATTATGGTGAGTTAGATGCTCACAAATACTTTTACTCTTACCTTTGTAGAGGTATGTTTATATAAATCTACATTGTACCTCCCTCCCCTTCATCCCTCTGTCTGTCTCTCGACCCCTCTCCCGTCCGTCTATGATCCTTCTTCCCGCCATCGAAAATCCCTCAAGTATCCAAAGAATTACAGACCTCCTTTTGATTATGATTACGGTACACATTTACGAAGTATTATAATGTAAAGGCCAGACGAAATGTGAAGTGTACTAGGCATCTACTTGTGCACCGGATTCTGTCAACGCATCGGGAAAAAGTCTAAAAGGTTATATTACATTATAATGGTGTGAAAAAAGTGAAAAAAGTGAAAAAAGTAAAAAAGTAATTTACATATTATCGGACCTCGATTTCTGATAAAGTAGTATAACTTTGTATAAGGTACTGTAAGGTTTATGAATGTAATAAAAGTACATAAGGGTAATACCCCTTTTAAACATATAAAATGCATAATATCGGACCTCCCTTTTTTGAAATGTATTGTAAGGATTACCAAGTTTTGAAAGGGTAATACATGTTTGTAATGTTTTACAGAGACTATACATAGTTATTATTTCTTAATAATAATAATTTCCCCTTACATCCATTCATTATTAAAATAACAAAAATCAATTATATTAAAATATTTGTACGATACATCATTATCTACAATAATTAAGGAAAATAAACCGAAACACATACATAGTGCAGCCTGCATCAAGATTTGTGCAGAGAGTGAGTGAGAGTGTCCGTGTCTGCTGTGATGCGAATACGAGTAGGTAGAGGTTGGGATCGGACCA